TTTGTTTCTTCTGTAGAAAGCAACCTGATGTTAGGAAATTCACGCAAACTGATCAGATACGGGTTTCGGGCTGGTTGATTGTATAGAGAGACTATCGGCAAAGGTAGAAATAAATAAGTGGAACGGTGAAAAAGGCCTCATACATTGGGGTTTGGGAAAGTTCGGAACAATACGATTTCAAAACCATTCTTGACGGTGCGGAAAAGTATTTGATAGAATTAAAGGTAAGCTTTACGAATTCTCGCAGCGCAATATATAAAATGGCGTAACTTAAATACGTTGTGAACACAGAAAACCCTGATGTGATCGTCAACTCAGAAGCATGGTTAGCGTCAGAAGTGCAGGACGGTGGAATCCGTTTGCTTGCCATTTTACTTTGTAGGGCTGACAAGTTAAGCCGTATAGGTGGTGAGATTATCCTCTACGTGAAAAGACTTTAACCATAAGAGATTTCGAGAAAGTGATACACGACTCAGAAACATATGAACCAGTGCTCTGACTGCTGAAATGTAAGTGGCAAGAAATTGAACTAGTTGTGCTATGCTGCAGTCTAAAATGTGTAGTGGATGACTTCCACCTGATTAAGCTTAAATATTAGTCAAACAGCTGTAAACACCTTAATGCACCGTCAATAATTTGTGGAAACTTAGAAGTAGGGTCATCGAAAGCATCTTTCGACTGCAAGTTGATAGAAACCACGATCAGTTCCAGTTTGGAAAGGACAGAAGGCTTGATGGCCTATTCTAGTCCCGGAAAAGATGATCACTCAGTTGATATAGCTTTCTTTTGAAAGAGTCGATAGATGGAGCCTCTGTCACGTGTTCAGATAGTGATTTCCACTCGTTCATGATTCGATGGGAAAGTCGATAGTCAGCTGACAAGTAATTTGTTCACGGCTTGTGAACCTTTTTGGACTGTCCTCGTAAATTTTCTATTTTCGAAGACGAGAAAAATGAGCGAATATCAGATGCGAATATTTTATTAGGTAGTTTAAAAAACTGTAATCAAGTTACCTCAAGTTCTCATATATTTCAATGTGATTAGGTTGAATTTAGGCAGACGAATATCATGCGGGAGCCTAGCTATTCCGGGAATCAGCTTAGTTGCTATTCTTTGGACCTATTCCAAAAGCTCACTGTCTTTTTTAATCAGGGGCTGGACGCTTGTGTGCAGTACCTGAGTTCAGGACGCACGAATACTGCATACAAAGTCGAAAAGATTTTAGCATCAACGTGACTAAGTATTGACCATAATGTTCGAAAACCTTTGGCGGCTATTGAACGGCATTGTGCAGTAGTTTTTTAGTCTTCACTAACGATGACTCTTAGGCCACTACGTGTTTGGACAAAAGGTAGCCTAATGTTATTCACGGTGAACATATCTCTACCTTAGTGACCAATATGCCTCACAATACACTTGGAAGTATTTATCGGCAACTGCCAAGTTTGATAATTTCTCTAGGTCATCTTGGAATTCTAACCTATAACCTTTACTTCCTATCGCTCTCCATATCTTGACATCGTCAGCATATAGCAGAACGGGTGATGATAAGAGACCAGAAAGGTCATTTACATACAGGGAGAACAAGACTTGCCCCAATACTGTACCCCGACGTATTCCGCTAAGTACAGTTTTCCAATTAGTCAACTTGGAGTTCACACGTAGTCCTTCTTGGCACACAACTAGGAAATCTTTTATCCACATTAATATATATTCTCCAAGCGCGACATTTCCTAACTAATATAACAACCGGTTGTGAGGACCTGCGTCCAAAGTCTTTCTGAGTTCATTGTAGGCTACGTCTATAGGTAACATTTGGTCTTTAATAGCTCACGGGCTACTAATAAGTTAGTGGGACAGGAATAACTTATTCTACAACCATGCTGCTTTTAAGAAAGGATCCAGTTTTCATGTAGATACCTAAACAACTTCTAAATAATCTTTTCTAAAATTTTACCAATCACACTAGTTAGGTCAACGGATCGGTAGTCCTCAGGTTTATGTTTCTTACCTGTTTTGAAGACAGGACTTACTATGGTGTTTTTCTAGTCTTTTGGTCAACGACCCTGGATTACGGATAGATTGAAGCACACACTTAAAGAGTCCACAACGACGTTAGCTAGCTCATTTAGTAACGTAGGATGCAGTTCATCGGGTCCCGTGGATTTGCCTATGTCAAGCGTATTTAGCAGACCAAAGACATCGAGTTATGTAGTGCCATTTGACCCTAATCACATGATCCCTGAACACTGACATATAATTACTGAAAACATTTGTGGTCAACAATTGACACGAAGAGATGATCAGCAATGGAGAAGGCGGGAAGAATCAATACAATTCATCAGATGACATGGCTTAGCCTTGCGGGCGTGGTCATTCTTGTGTAACTTATCTGTTTTATTCATATTAAATATACTGTTCTATCTCCAGCCTAAATGTGTTCTCCATCATACATTGGTGATGATTACGTAGGACGAGCCAGTGTAGACAATGATGTGACTTCCACGTAGGATCTTGTAGATTAGGCAGTCATATCATGACAAATCCACAATTTTAGGGCTAGGTCTATAATTAGAGCATTACTAATAACGAAATAGACCATTTTTCTACAGTTTTTTAGCGGTCTCCTTGTCGCGTGTGTGTGGGAGGATTTGTATGGACTGACGAGAAGGGTATATACATTGCTAAAGTAGTTTGAGAATACTTGGGCTTTACCATAGTCGTCCTCCGCTAATGATGAAACATTACTGTATCCTCGCAGTGCTGAGATATTTCCTCCTCTTTTCGTCCTCTGGTTTATATATACATACAAGGTTTGAGGTAATCTATAGATTCCTGAACATTTTTTTCTCCGCACAACATTCCAGAATTACGGAGAGTCAAGGCAAAAATATTCCGAGTTATTGAAACTTTGCCCCGTCAGTCCCCAGTAATCTAAATCTATCACACATCCTTCTCTTATGTAGAAGAGTGAGGACCCCTCTATTGAGTCATGGGGGAAATTTTCCCACCCCCTTCGGTGTAGCCCAAGGTATATGGAGTGCAGTAACTTTTAAGTGAAAATTTCAAAATACATCCCCATCTAATTCAATTGGGTTCTCTGGCTCTGTTGTTCAATCTATTGACGATACTGAGTATATAATATCTTCCATCTTTGCTTTCTAGACGTTACGTCTGGGTCGGGCTGGGGTGTGCTCGTGATTGACAGTTACATGGAAGTCAAATATTAGACCCACATAATCACTTTTACCTGGGGGCGACATGTAGGAGAGGTTTGTGACGTCATCCTTATAATGCGTCAATATAAGATTTGGTAAGGATGATTCAGGGCCTGGGTCGTACCTAGTCGCTTCTTTCACATGTTGTACTATGGCACGTTTGATAACCTCACCATTTAACGACAGTTCAATTCTCAGATTTCTCCAACCTACCATGAGTGCATTAAAGTCTCCTAGGATTAGACATCGACCACTTTGTGATCATGTAATGAGACCGTCTAAGAAGACCTCATTTACCTCACAGTTTGCACTGCAGTGGACCAAACCAATCACTAGCTCTTGTCACTTGCACTTCAAGCAGCAATTAATTAATTCATACGTCCCACTCCCAAAGAACATACTGTCAATAATGGCAAATGGGATAGTAAACCTAATGAATAGTGCCGCTCCCCCTACTTTACGCTTCTGTATTCTGATGGCTTTTACTAACGTGAAACCCCTGAAAACCAAGTTCCATACTATCTATGGGCTGCATCAACCACATTTCTGTGACTGCGTTATATTTGCCTTAGTACATTCAATCCGTATACCTAATTCCGACCGCTTATTGAGCAAGCTCCGAGCATTAGTGTAACAGATCCAATGCTATTTAAATGGCTTCGTGCTGCACCATAGTGACTTCGACGTCATTCTCTGTGAGAGTCTAACAACCTGAAAATCACAAGTTTTAGGTCCTTTTCGCAGTCAGGATGTCTTTCCTGATAGAAACAGATCTGGCCTTAAGTCTTCTCCTACCGGCTGCTAATTATGATGCGGAGGATAGAGAAAACTTCCTTTCTTGAGTTTTTATTTGGGACAGACCTCTTTGAAGTCGACCTTTCCTCCTTTGATCGATATGAGTCAGTTGTTTCCGAGCTCACTTGATGTGGTTTCATATCAATTTGTGTGACAGCAGAGCGAGTAATGTTCGATGTGTACTGATTTCGTTCGTTGATAAACTTTTTAGCGGCATATACGATTAATATAGCCTTGGTTGGCAAGCTGTTCGCATTCGGGCAGCGATACCAGCAAAACCGCATGCAACGTTTCGACTAAATGCTCTGAAAGCTGCAGGCGTCATATTCGTGCAAATTTCATGGTACCAGCCTTCGCACTTGTTGCACTGTATGCCGCTTTCAACAGGGTAACGACAGCCCGGGCGTTGTCAATTGGTTTTCTTGCGCTGTCCAGCCATCAATTAATATTACCCAGAAACAAGTGATTCATAAACAAAAAACGTGGAAAACTGAAAATTGTTAGAACCGACAGTGCTTACAAATACAACAGAAACAAAGTACTCAAAAGTACCGACGATAAAATACTTTGAAAGCAAAATAGATGCTCTCATCTCATACTTTAGTTGAAGTAAATTCAATAAAAGTGTAAACGGTAGTCTTGAAATGTATTAAACGGTCAAAACAATATTTACTCAGCGAGGAAAATACCACTGTCCCTTTAAATAGCTCCATAGCTTTATTCCAGTAAATTAGAAGTCGCAACCAGATATGACTTACGAAAGTTTTCCTCCTGGGAATCATAACATATCGGAACACTACAAGGCTCTCTCCTAGGTGATTTATTCTGTATGTTGTAGGTAAATGAACTCCCAAGTATAGGTGATGTAGAAATTTGGCTAGAAATAGCATAAGTAAATGCATTCGAAGCTATATTGGATCTTCATGGTACTAAAAATTGCAAGAATTAACATAGATTGATTTACCTCCTGCCCTTACTTCTGTAGACACTAACACTGTATTTTTCCGCGTTTAATGAATGTGAAGGTCATATGGATGATTTGGATTTACCAAAAGATGCAAAATACAAAAGCTTTATTGCACAAGTTGATAAGTCCCTCAAAAGTTTTGAATATTCTACGGAATGGGCTGACCTTATATCTGCTCTGGGACGGCTGATTAAAGTGAGTATTTTTTGCCAAAGGTTTTCAGTCTGAATTAAGAGTTGGGACATGTTAAGCCATAATTCCCGTGTTATTTTTTTCTTGAAACTCCGTGAGGTTTAGAAGCTCCTCGCTCTGGTGGGTTGGCGTCTGACAAGATATGTACACGGTTTCCGTTTGTTTTCTAATAATATGACCCCGTCTGTGGCGTGGGCGAGATGTCCTCATGTTAGTTAGATGAATTTAATGAACAGTTTCTTCTACTCTATTCTGCGGTTGTGAGACAGCGTTTACAAATACAACATCTGTAGGTCTTTTGTGTTTAGTTATAGGTACCTTAGAAGCATGGCGCTCATATGTTCAGTCCAACAAGTAAACAATGAACAAGAACAAAGATTCTAAAAGAATAGAATCGTTGGTTCTCGTCAGCTGCTAAAAATCTTCAATAATGCTCATCCTAACATACAATTTACTATGGGACAGGAACAGAATGACATTCTCCACTGCCATAAAACGTAGGAAAGACGGGAAAGTTTAACGTTCGGTTTATCTGAAAAGTACTTGGAATGGCCTTTACCTGAATTTCAATAGTTTATGTCCAGTCAGTTACAAGAATGCATTGGTCAAAACTATTTTATGGGGTAGAAAGAATATGTTCCACCGACAAACTGGAAGAATTTGTAGGTATCATTACCAAGTTGTGATTTGATAATTTTGAACAAATTGAGCATTGGGTAGTATATTATAAATAAATGGGTAAAAAAATTAGATTTTATGACGTTTCGTGACTCAGTGTAGGCCAATTCTCCAGAGAATAAATAACGAAGAAGAATTGATGAACGTTGAGAAATTCCTAAGAGACAACTACTACCCACGGAAATTTATTAACAAATATAGAAAACCTAAAGAAAACAAGACGAAATTAATTAGGTCAGTAAAAAAAACAATATCTATGAATCTTGACTTAAAAGGTGATGAGGTTGCAAACAGCCCACAGAAGACTAAACACTGCGCTAGCCAGAACTTATCCGGCAGCCAAACTTTTAATTCTGTATAAAACATGCTCAGTAACTCAATCAAATATTGACAAGCAACCCTTTTATGTTACCACCAACTGTGTTTATAAATTTAAGTGTATCTGCCAAAGCGGCTACATTGGCCGAACAGAAAGAAGGGGATATTTTAGATTTCTTGAACATGTTCCTAAAAGCCTCAAAACAAAAGACTCTAAACAGTGCAATTACTAAACATCTCCTTGATAAAAGACATCAGATCGATACCTTTCAATCTTTCAAAGTGATTATTTAAAAGATAGCTGAAATAAAATTCAATGACGTGATAAATGCGAGAGAGATTTGGAAAAAAATGTAAGCATTGCTCGTATATCCTGGGACCACCGACTAAGTAATGCAGTTGTTAGGAAACCGGTACTAGGTAAGGATGGGTAATCGATTGATGAAGTGGTGAAACTTCATCAGTCGAGATGGCTGGGATATGTGTTACATATGCCCAACCACCGACTGCCCCGACGTGTAATGTTTTATGGTGTAGGAGTAGGTTGGAAGAAAGCTACGGGGAGTCAGACCAAAACATGGCACAAATCCATGAAGTCACTGATAAGTAGACTGAGCCATGATGGTAGGTGTAAAATACCTGGTTGGGATCCGCGAGATTATAGCAATCGATGGTTAGAGACCTTGAATGACATGGCTCAAAATCGTCTTAATGGTGAAGGTGCATCCACTCATCGTGTTCTTCCAAATTCTAATCTTCTGAACTCTTCATGCCCCTTTCTTTTTTCTCTTTCCAAATTTATTGCACTGGATCATACCCCTTGAATAACATCTTCAAACCCTAATCTTTCCGATTATCGCTTGCACTCATACTACTTCTACTACTACGGGATTTAAATCGACAATTGTATCTGTGTGCTAATGTTATATGGCAACTTCAACTGATGTACATACTTACCAAGTTCTACGTTGTTACTGACTGAGTGACTGAACATAGATAATGCGAGATTAAACATTCAAACTGACGTTATGACTAGAGTTAACAAATTGAAGTATTTTCCGTATTTGAAATGAAAATTATCACTACTCAACAAGGATTTCAATATACTAAACAAGGATAATAAAAATGCATTTTTAAACAAACTAACTTTAACTGGTGAGAAATTTAAGACATGAATGCAGAATATACCAAGAAATCGTCGAAATTGACCAACTGCCTCAGCAATCATCATTAACTCCTCAGAAATTTGATTATCCTGACCATCAGCAACACCATAATTACTGTTGATCTCATTACATTGACTAAAATTACTACTATTATTATTATTGTTATTTGATGATAATGATTCCACTTGACGTTTAAGATTGACTGAACTGGATAACTGATCAAATACTGTCACTGCATACTGCCAATAATAAAAGTAAAAATAAACACATCATGACATTAATGAAATCAAAAACTATTAATGGATTACTTATAATTAATTAATTTATTTATTTAAACACATGAATATTGGTACAAGGAAGCACCAGATAAATATGCGCCTCACAAATTTCATTTGATTTGCGTGAGGATTGTGATACTGCTCGGGTGCCCAAACCGAAGCAGGTGGTTTTCTTAGTTGGCCACACCCCGAGCATTTGACCTGAAGGTCTATTCTACAAGGCAGTGGAACATCTTAAGGAAATGCAGTCCCATGGTAGCCGGCGATCAACGATTGATTGATATGACATTTGATCCCTCAGGATACTGGAGCTTATGTGCACCATTGGTTTGGAATCAGGGTTTTCCAACTCCCCTAGGTGGAATTTCCTTGTGCACCAACCCTGTTAAAGTGTTGGACATTCGCTTTTGTAAACAACACCCCTGGTGTGAGAAAGCAGTGAGTAGGACTTCCCTGGTAGAGGCTCTATATTCGCTTGGCCATGTGAAAGCATTTCGAGAGGGAGAGCGGACTCTCTCCACTCTCGGCCGACCCAGGGCGTTTGGGGGCAACATTGTGATTAATTGTAATCAATGATATACTGTTTAACAACTATGTGATATGCATACTAAAATGCTGCACGACTTTGCAGTGTAGTCCGTCATATGGATTCCGGATGATGTTGACGTTCTTCTCAGGTATACCGTAATGTCGAAGACGTTTCCATAATGTTCTCTTATCCACACGGTCAAATGCTTTCTCATAATCAAGAAAGTTGATTTATGGTGACGAATTCCATCCAATTGATTGCTCAACGATGATCCATTGTGTCGCGATTTGGTCTTTACACGACCAGTCCTCACTGAATCCGACCTAATAATCTCAAAGCTGGACGTCCACTGAATAATTCATCCGGTTCAGCATCACTCTGTTGAATACCGTTCCTGGTACCGATAGCAGTGTGATTCCTTTGTAGTTCTCACATTTACTCCGATCTCCTTTCTTCGTAATCTCGATGAGATATCCATCTTTCCAGTCTGTCAGCACTTGTTTTTCCTTCCAAATTTTCCTGAATAAAACGTGAGGTACGTTTGCAGCTGCTTCAATGCCTGATTTCAGAACTTCATTTGGTATATTGTCAGGTCCTGTTGCCTTTCCATACTTGATTTATATGATGGTCATCCTGATTTCTTCAGTCTTTGATAGAGTGACATCTATAAGAAGGTCTGTGTGTGGTGCTCTGATGTGCGGTAGGTTCACTGGAGCTGACCAATTCAAGAGTTCCTCAATGTTCAACCTACCTGTTCCTATGTTCTTGAGTATCAGTGATTGGCTTGACTTCTTTGTCTATGACCAGTCTATCTGGCTTACTACATTTCCCTACGTTACCTCGCTGCGTAATACTGCTTACTTACTCCTGTTATCTTTCATGGAGGAGCATAGGCCACCCATCAGCACTTTCCATCAAACCATGTCTTGGGCAATCCTATCCAGTTTTTACTTTCGACGAAAATTTTTCCTTGGTTTTCCCATTTCCCTTTAGACTTCCAAGCTGAAGCTTCCCTTATGATGCAGTTTGAGAATTTCCGAATTGTATGCCCTATCTACATCTTTTACTAGTTTCCTCTTCAACTGGAAGCTGGTTTGTCCTCTCCCACAGAAGATTGTTGCTGATGATATCCAGCTAATAGACATTTAGTATTTTACGTAGACAATTGTTTATAAATACTTGTACATTTTCGATAATACTTGTAGTATTTTTCCAACTTTCAGCTCCATACAGGAGAACTGTCGTGATGTTTGTTTTGAAAATTACGACTGTTATATTGGTTGACAGTTGTTTTGAGTTCCATGTGTTCTTCAACTGTAGAAATGCTGTCCTTGCTTTGCCAATCCTCGCCTTTACTTCTGCATCAGATCTTTCTTCTACATCGGTGATGCTTCTCAAGTACGTGAAAGATTCCACCTCTTCCAGAGCTTCCCTAACAAGTGTGAATGTGTTGGTGTTCGTGTTGTATTTGAGGATCTTGCTTTCACGTTTGTGTATGTTGAGGCCTACTGATGGAGAAGCTTCTGCTTGAATCGTCGTCTTCACCTGCATTTGTTCGTGTGTATCGGATAGAAGGACCAGGTCATCTGAAAAGTCCAAATCTCCTAATTGATTGGGAGCTGTCCATTGTATTTCGTCTCTCCCCTCAAATATTATATAGCTGTTTCAAATTCTTTGTTGCTAGCTCTCCCACATATTTTTGCTTGTTGGCTCTAATACGCCTCTTCCCTCGTTTGTTTGCTTCTATGTATTCAACACGTGCTTTGACTTTCTCTGTTTTCGTTCCGATGTTGTTAATTGTTGTGATCCTGTTCTTCTTTTCGTGAATCTTTTCCAGGATTTCGATAGAGATCCATTCCTTATGATGATATTTCATGTGGCCCGGAATCTCCTGACACGTTGAAGTTAGTTCTTCTTTGATACCTTTCCAGTTGTCCTCCATAGTAATTTCTCCTCCTCAGAGTAGATCTCGTAACGCTTGGAACACGTTGTTGAGAGCTATCTTGAATTCATTCAGCTTGTCAGTATGTTAAAAGAAGAATGTATTGAACCTTTGTAATTCTGCTTCCCTAGTCGTCCAGTACTTCTTTAGCTTCAGTTTCATCTTAGCAACTACCAAGTGGTGTTATGAAGCTATGTCAGCTCTTCTCCAAGTTCTCATGTCTTCCATTGACCTTTCGAATTTTTTACTGATGCAAATATGATCGGTCTGATTCTGTGTAGTGTGATCCGATGAGACCCATGAACGTTTTGTATGCATTTGTGGGAGAATATTATGCCGCCTGTAACCAACTTTTTGGATGCACGGAAATTTGCAAATCTGTCACCAATCTCGTTCCTTCCTCTCAGTTCATGTCGTCCCATAATATCATCATATCTGGTGTTATACATTCTGACATTGGCATTTAGGTTTCCCATAAGGATTGTGAAGTCGTTTTTCGGGCACTTCGCTATGATCAACTGCAGCCTCTCGTTGACCTAAACCTCCTCCTTTTCCCGGTCTTGGGAACGGCAATAAACCTACGTTGATAATGTAGAAAATTAAATATTGAAAAGTTTATTTCAAAAAGTGAGGATGAGTTTTCTGAGTAAAATTACGAGATAATAAGACTTGAGAGAAGGTAAAGAGTTAATAGATCTTTCCTGCTGTGACCAATTCTGAACCATGTCATTAAACGCCACCACTGGTTACGCTTATCGTATGGGCACATAACTAGGTAATTTGCATGTGCCAACTTGGCTCAAATCAATGTCCTTTGATTTCATGGACTGATGTTATATCTTTGTTTGGGTGGCTTGAGTTTTCTCTTAACCTACTCATAATCCAGCCAACCTTTTGGATCAAGGTAGGGTCTAATTGATGATACTTAATACATGTTCCAACTACAGCCGATAAATATTCACAGTCTCACAAACCAAGTGGGATCTTTGCATGGTGCTCTGTCTAAACTATCTCTTTCTGGTTTTTAACATTCTGTTTTGTTTTCTTTCTGATTGTTGTCAAAACTAACATTTGATGTATTGATATGTTTTCAATACTACCATATGTTTCGGTAAACGTACGCAGCCAACTTCATTTTTCTTTCACAAATATTTACATCAAGAATTTCCTCTTAATTAGTCTTTGCTTCGCGAAGTTCTTTCTATGCAGATGATGTACTTCAATCTCTGGGTATTAAGATCATTTTCATATTTTAAACGTATGTAGTGCATGGATGAAAGATTGTGACAAACTAACTAGCTTTGTTATCAATTACTATTACCCACCCTGTTTACTTTCAACACTCAAGTACTTCGATTTTATATTAAAATTCAATTATAGGTCATTCAGTCAAATACAAAATGTGGTTACGTTCCTCGAAGCTTTGTTATTGGTAAACGTCTCGCCCAATGTCTTCATCCTGCTCTACCGGCTGGTGTTCATTGCAAAGCATTAGAATGTTATGATGTAATTTTCCGCACTATTGGACCTGAACGTGTCGCCTATGATTTGTATGTTTATGGTCCAGGCTTGTTTGCACTACTCGAACCGTCTGCTATGACGGTTAAATCACCGCTGTTTGATATTTATGAAGAACACTTGCTTCCTCTTGGAAAATTGCTTCATCCATCATTTTTAGGATTATTAAAGGTACAATGGTTTGTGCTTTTTTCCTCATTCCAATTAAAGTCAATAGAATTGGTTCCATTGTTATTTCGGCTTTTTACAATAGAACTTCTTGGTTTGATTTTAAGCCTTCTGAATGATGCTATATTCTTGATAGTCCTAAAACTGTGCGTTTTCTACCCGCTTTCATGTACTACATATAAGTAGATATAATACATAAGTTTAAATCATTTTCAATCAGATGTTCATTCATTTCGATCCATCGGTAATAATATCATTTTACATAGGTAAATAAAATATTGCCAATAGTCATTATCATACGTATGGTGTGTCCTGATGTTTTATATACGCTTCACATGTTATACAGCGTTTTGGTTAGTGTTTTTTTAGCGAGTTGGTTTTCTACGGGATGGGGTCGCTAACCCCATGCCCAGTCCTCCTCCTTTACCCGGGCTTGGGACCGGCAGTAATGTTATATAGTGCAAATATATATTCTGCTTTTTATTCAAGGCCTTATCTAAATACATAATTTAGTATTCATCTTTATATTCGTCACTTACATCTTTCATTGCTTGACATCATGTAGTAGTGAACACAACCAGAAACAGTTGTGAAGTAATTCAAAATAAGGTTGTCTGGTCTTTGTTTTAAACGGATTTTCGATTATATGTCACCACGACCGTCTGTTATGGGACATAGTTTGGCTATTAAATTCTTTTTGTGCAAACTCTTATAGAGTCAGTCATTAAGTAATTTCCTTAAGCTTAACTGCTTTGCTGAAATGTATTGATTTGGTTTAACCTTCAGTTATATGGACTAATACGCTGATTACTTGCTTACGGTGAGATGACATAATGACCTGGTACTATTTTTAGCAGTGTGTATCGATACGACATGCTTAATTCATCAATCAAATTTATGATTATGATTTTTTCTATCCCGTGTCTACTATTTGATTTACACAGTAACCTTGATTCAATACAAGCTGAACTCCCATCGGTCTGCTCTTCGTAAGGTCATACACTCTGCTTGAGTGCTAAAAAATTCAATAACGATCTTCTGTTCTATATTTCAAGCACACAAACATACTGGGCTACATCACACCATTAACTAAAAAAAATTACAATTGTACACAAACAATCCAAAAGTGGTTATGAATAGGTTAAGGTATAAATAATTGGTTGGCAGTAAATTAGATGTAGTAAGCTTTATAATAAAAATTAGTGCGTTAAACGAAACCTTACAGTAAACGAAGCATAGAAATATGGTAATTCAGCTATTTAGTGCTAACGAGGTATGGCAACTTGGACCGATGCATATATGTGCCTGGTCCTACATTGTCGCTGACTGACTGACTGACTGACCATGCCATTTTATTTTATTTATTTATTTAAACACATAAATATTGGTATAAGGAAGCACCAGATACATATGCGTCACACAAATCAAATGAGATTTGTGTGAGGGCTGTGATACTGCCCAGGTGCCCAGACTGAAGCAGGTGGTTTTCTTAGGGAGCCACACCCAGAGCCTTTGACCAAAAGGTCTGATCCACAAGGCAGTGGAGCATCGTGAGGAGATGCAGTCCCATGGTAGCCGTTGACCAATGACAGGTTCGTCCGCCATTCGTTCCATCAGGATACTGGAGCTAGCCCATGTGCACCACTGGTTTGGAATCAGGGTTTTCCAACTCCCCTAGGTGAACTTTCCTTGTGCACCAACCCTGTTAAAGTGTTGGACATTCGCTTTTCATATTCTCAATTTCGTAAACAACAGTAATGTCACGAGAAGGCAGTGAGTAGGACTTCCCTGACAGGTTTAAAAGTAGAGTTGCACAGTCAAGTGTACCAGATAATCGACAACACTAGTAATGTTGCACAGTGTAGACTTGTTGAGTAATCATGTTTTTGAAAATAAAGAGTCACATAGTAGACTGAAATCTTAGTAAAACTACTAACAGGAAAGTAAAATCAAAATCAGTAAAATTGATTGATATACAACGTGAAGAATGCAATCGGACAACGGAGGTTAGTGATTCAATGGCATTTTAGGCGTATATGAAAGTGGTGGTTACTAACCTGTTTTTGACAACAGCTTAATGAATGACATTCTACTGACGTGATGAGGTCTTACAAAATTATAATATGATAGTACTTCTAAATGTGATAGTTTCATCACATCATTTCACAAATAGCGATGATTAATTACAAAGCTTTTATGCCCAAAATTAGTATAAGTGACACTCGTTCTGTTTTTTTATGATTGTTTGTTCAGCTAGTTGGTTTTGGAATGCTGTTCATTGTATATGTTTACCTTATTAGCGTACTTTTTATTTGAATATTAGTGCCATAACGTATAGGTATGTTATTAACCCCTGTAATTCTGATATTGTTTTTCCAGGGCTTGCTACCGGGTTTGGAACCAGGCGCGGAATTCTCTGAACGTGGAAATCGAATGTTAGAAATGTTCAGTTCCTCTGTGGGATCTGCATTCTTTTATACGTGTTTGTGGGAGGTAATATGACTTTTTTTTTGTATGAGATAACATAATGCATTACATATTTCAAATTTCCTCCTCATGAAAATGATGTGCTACTCGTTGCTTTCTCGCGGCGAGTTTGTTGCTTACGAAATTGAGAGGACGAAAGGTATTTTAGTGGCCAACAAATTCATCTTCCTAAGCGGATCAGTGTCAGCAAATCGGTTGCTGCTTCTGTTACAATTAAGTATCAAAGCGAGCTATGTTCAAGGTCAGCTATCGACCCACCAAAAAGTATACATGAACATTGGTTGTAGTAGCATGACTTCATGAAACTGGCGAGTAAAGTCGTTTTCGGCTTCGCAAAACATCGCGCTTATATTCACTGGTTTTCTAGAGTCCCCTTAAAACTCGCTGGGGCCCGTCCATCTTCTCTGGGTAACCGCGAGTCTGATGATAGATGTAGATTGTTACGTACAGTAACTGAAGTTTGCGTAGGGACCGAGAATCTTAACGGTGAGGACGTGCTAACGATTTCGAAGCAGCAGCTGTATCTGGTAACTGTCAGAAGCTCTGTCAACTCATTCGAGTGACTGGCAGCAAGAAGTTTGGTGTGAGTGAAACAACATGTGAAAATTATAGAACACCAATCAATAAAATCTACTGACATCTTGGGCTGCGGATAGAATTTTTTGAGAAACATTTGAGTTAGTCTGCTGCCCCGGTGACAATCAGACGTTTTTTTAATCTTTCCTGGTCAGTTTCGACTGGCGAGGTAGAAGTCCACAAGGAACTCCAACTTTTGAAGCGCTACAAATCACCAAGTCTAGACGGCTTACCTCCGACCTTTTTTAAAGACGGCGGTGACTTTCTGGTTATCGAACTGAGTTGTTTGCAAAATTTCAAGCATTAGAGAATGTTCCAACTTTTTGGAATGCGTTGACAGTCGTCTCTATCTCTAAAAATAGTTTGCGTTACCTACTCAGCAACTACCTTGGAGTAAGCTTACTTTCGAGTGCTTCCAAACTGTTAGCTTCCGTCATACCTCGTAGATTGTTCAAAATATGGGAAGGGTTGACTCACGAGTAGCAGTCTGATTCTCATCTTGGTCCAGGATGTGATCGTATCTTCACCCTCCACCAAATGCTAGGACACTGTCATACTTACTACAGATCAACAATTGTACTGTTTCTTGACATTGGTGCCGCCTTCAACTCGTTGGGCAGTACTGTTTTCTAAGACTGTCTGTTGAAGAAGGGTGTGCCTGAGAAGCGTATTAACATCGTAAAGGTTGTATATACAAACACCTCAGGCAGAGTGAGGGCATACAACAACTTCTCTCCATTGTTCCATTAAAGCCGTGGGGTTAGACAGGGTTGCCCAATCTCATCATTCCTCCTCAACTTTGTCATCGATGATGTTCTGGAAACAGCTCTGATGGATGTAGTTAATAGTTGTGTGGATCTGTTGTCTGGAGAAAAACTTCTCGACCATGAGTATGCGGATGATATTGTCTTACTGTGCGTTGATACTCAAGCCATGAAGTCCACACTTAATGAGTTGGCAATTAGTGTCCGTAGGTATGGTATGTGTTTTGCACCTTACAAGTGGAAAGTACTTCTACAAAATGGGCAGGACCATTTATCTGCACTCACTTTTGGTAGTGAGCAAATAGAAAAAGTAAATAAAATACAGGACGGTGTACTACTACTACTACTACTACTACCGTACTATGTACTTCTATAATTCCTTGGAAAAAGGCTGTAGACTCACTGTCTTACTAGAGCATTTCATGATTGAGGATTGACTACCCCTACTCCTCGGCATATCAGAATAACTGGGAAGCCTTTTTCTGCAGAGATTGTCACTTTGAATATATCATTGTGACAGATCAAGATTCATGTATTTTGTCTGTGTACTAGATTTTTGAAAGCTGTCAATTGGCCGTCATTATAATATTCTAGTTGTCAGTAACTTTCATTAGAATTATGATGTAGCAAACACCTTAAATAGAAAGCAATATCTTTTTCCTTTACCATTGGTTGTAATTGAGTTTTACCGACTACAAGTTTGTTGTTGTTCAGTTGACAGAATTCAGTTAGCACATGAAAATAGATACTATAAAATGTGGAAAGTGTCAAAGTTAGCTTTAATCTCAAGGTTCATATAGGATATTTGAAGGTTTATCTACAAACTTGATTTTATAGAAACTTCTTGAAACATATTAAAATTAATAACAAAATTGGTAATCATTCAATCAGAATACAACACTTGGTCCGTTGGTTTCCTAGAGCTGATTAGGAGTTTTCTATCAAACAAGAATTAATCGAGGTATTTTTAACGCTTTCTTAACTTGTGAAGACTATTCTGAAGAAGTTCATCAAGGTTCTCAGTTGATCAAACTATTAATATTTTTATCTTAGTGACATTGAAATTTTTTTCAAGCTCTCCTTTTGTCACGTTTATCATAAAAATAAACTTTTATTTACAAGCATGGTAAGCAAAGATGGATAGTGGCTAGCAGTGGAATACAGAACGCGCGTTTCGTCCTATTTGGGACTCGTCAGCTTTGTATTCATGGTTGTTAGGCTTTTTAAAGTAAATCTCCTTTTGGAATTCACTTTTCCTTCTTTTTTCTCTTTTTTCTTTTTAAAGCTTCTAATTCGATGTCCATCTATTCGACAATATGGAATTTCATTTATTCTTAATCATTTAAATAAACGTAAATTATTAAATAATCAAAGTTATATTTATGGTTTAGATAAAAATATTCTTGTAAGTTAAAAAATTGTTTATCTATTTGTTTTATGAATTAGTAGCTTGTTTCTATGTAAGTAGATTGTTTGATTGTCATAATTAAGTCTTACTCATTGCCTTCTCGTGGAGGTAGGGGTGTTGTTTACGAAACTGAAAGGACGAAAAGCGAATGTCTAGCGCTTTGACCGGGTAGGTGGATACAGTGAGTCCACCTAGGGGGGTTGAAAAACCCTGGTTCCAAATCAATGGTGCACATGAGCTTCAGTACTCTAAGGGAAAAAATGGCGTATGAATCAATCGTTGGTCACCGTCTACCATGGGACTGCATCTCCTTACGATGCTCCACTGCCTTATGGATCAGACCTTTAGGTCAAAGGCTCTAGGTGTGGCCAACTAAGAAAACCACCTGCTTCAATTTGGGCATCCGGCTAGTATCATAGCCGTCACACAACTATGTGGCGCATATGTATCTGGTGCCTCCTTGTACCAATATATGTGTATTCAAATAAATAAATAAATCATTAAAGAACATCTATTTAATTATTAATATATTTGTTCAATGTATATATACATATCCTGTCTAATTTATCTCTTTATAGGTAGAGAGTTTATGTTGTCTGTTCGGTGACAGTGTTCTACTGGTACAACGGGATGCTTTAGATTTTATTCTGTTAGCATTACCAATACATTTTTATTCGACAACAGAGTGTAATCCATTTCAGTTTATCACTAGCCAATCGTTAACAGTGAAAGATTTCGCTAAGTTATGCACAGCTTCATTGTCTATTTTACTACGCCGTGATGCATCTCTGAATCGTCGTTTATTTGTCTGGCTTAAAGGTGGTCAGTCAGTTGAGGGAATGGTTATGGATAGTTTAGACAACCAAGTAGGTGTTAGCCAATCAATGACATGGGCAGACATAGTCATGGATAAACTGGATGATAAAGATGTATTGGTAAGTTATTTATAAAAGATATATATATATATATATATATATATATATATATATATATTACTTACGCCTGTTACCCCTCGTCGAGGAGCATAGGCCGCTCACCAGCATTCTCCATCCAACTCTGTCCTGAGCCTTCCTTTCCAGTTCTTTCCAGTTGCTATTCAGCCTTTTCATATCGGCTTCTATTTCCCGGCGTAGTGAGTTCTTTGGCCTTCCTCTTTTCCGCTTCCCTTCCGGATTCCAAGTTAGGGATTGAGTCGTGATGCACATTGGTGATTTCCTTAATTTATGTCCGATCCATTTCCGACGTCTTTTCCTAATTTCCTCTTCAGCTGAAAGCTGGTTTGTCCTCTCCCATAAAACGCTGTTGCTGATAGTGTCCGGCCAATGAATGTTGAGTATTTTGCGTAAACAATTGTTTATAAATACTTGTACCTTCCTGATGATGGCCGTAGTAGTTCTCCACGTTTCAGCTTCATACAGTAGGAGTCTTGACGTTCGTATTAAAGATTCTGACCTTGAAATTGGTTGAAAGTTGTTTTGAGTTCCATATGTTCTTCAATTGTAGAAATGCTGCCCTTGCTTTGCCAATCCTTGCCTTTACATCTGCATCCGATCCTCCTTGTTTATCAACGATGCTCCCCAGGTACCTGAATGTTTCCACCTCTTCCAGTGTTTCGCCATCAAGTGTAATTGGGTTGGTGTTCTCCGTGTTGCATTTGAAAATCTTGCTTTTTTCTTTGTGAATGTGGAGGCCTATCGATGCGGAGGCTGCTGCTACATTTGCTGTCTTCATCTGCATTTGTTCGTGTGTATGAGAGAGGAGGGCTAGGTCATCTGCGAAGTCCAAATCATCTAATTGATTCTGAGAAGTCCATTGTATTCCGTATTATATATATATATATATATATATATATATATATATATTACCACGACGCGCTATGCTGATTAGTATTGGCGATGGTTGGAAGAGAGTTAGGGGCGGCCAAACCAAAACGTGTCATCAGTGTTTGAAGTCACTAACTGCTAGTCTGAGCCATGCTGGCAGATGCAGACTACCTGGTTGGTGTCCGCGTGACTATCGTAACCAATGGTTGGAGACTCTAGGTGACATGGCTCAGAATCGATCAAAATGGCGTAGGTGTATACATTCTTTATCTTCCCTTAAGCCTTGAGATTAAAATTGTTTCATAACGTTCTTCCTTGCTATACATATCTTTATATGCAACCTATCTTTTATATACTACCACCACTAAATTAATTACTTCTATGAATTCGGTGTTCATCTTGTTGTGCTAATGAGGTATAGCAACTTGAATCGATGCATAAATGTGCCTGGTCCTACGTTGTAGCTGACTGACTGATATTAATTTTAAGAATTCCTGTTTGGTCCATATCAACTGATCCAACGTTTGTACACCTAATATTAGGACTTGAGCTTGGTTTTTATATTTTATGTATTAAACAACCATTCAATCAAATTCATTTAATATTGTTCATTTGAATCTTCCCATCGATGTGTTAGGACTGCAACTGGTCAGTCTCTAATTGGCATATGTGGATACTGTGCGTATTACCTCGATATAGCCTCAATTCACAAGCATGTTAAGCAGAGATGGATAGTGGCTAGCAGTGGAATCCAGTTTGACGCGCGTTTCGTCCTATTTGGGACTCGTCACCTGGATGTACCTGCATCTCAGAGTTGATGTTCACTCTGGGACTCCAAACCCAATATTAGTCGCTTCAAACGCCATCGCGTTATCCACTCGGCCACTGAGTCCTGATAGCCACTTGCCTGTGCGATGGGGTGAAGTTTAAATTCATTTAGTATAGTTTGTTTGAATCTTCCCATTGATGTGTTAGGACTGCAATTGGTCAGTCTCTAATTGGCATATGTGCATACTGTGCGTATTGCTTTGATATAGCCTTAATTCACAACGCGCGTCCTGGATTCCACTGTTTGCCACTATCCATCTTTGCTTACAACAATTAAATCAGTTTAACTGTTTTTTTTAATTCTTTGTTATTTTATTTAGGCTTTAAATGGTAAACATGAAAGTAATAGTCAACGTTATTTTAAGCTATACTCACAAATAATTCTTACAGAAGCTGTTCGTCGTTTAATCCATAATCCGACTTGTTTACCTGTTCCATATCAGTTGAATGAAAATCATTTGAACTTTTCTACTAAATCTACATTCGGATCGGATTTATCTGCATTAGGTAAATTTTATTTAGATATTTTTCCATTAGAGAAATTATTCTTGTGATGAAATGAAAATAGAGAAACTCTTGTAATACTGTGGTGTGGTCTACTTATATCCATATAAGTAGTATATGGCGATGGTCAGACATAGAATGTATTTTGGCAGAAGACCGATAAGGAAAGCATTGCATTGAAGCGCAATTAGTAGGAAAATGCATGAAGAATGTAAATAGAGAAGGAACAGTGAAGTTTGAGACAATTAGTTGTTATTTTGTAAATTAACTGTTTTCTGTATGATTATCAGAATTTAGTGAGATAGTCTGTAATTTGTGCTTAAATACATTCGGTTGTCCCCAGTAGTATTCTGTGCAATACAATACTAATTCTGATTAAGGATTAAGGAGAACACAGTCAATGTAGATTTAATTCAGTTTGATATCACATTGCATATGAAAATCATAATACAGATTAAAACAGGAATATAATTGGTTTCTAGGCTGAGACATGTGTCCTATCGTTTAAATTAAGATGTTACGTTTCTCTTACAATCCGAATATAGAGTTGTGACAAACTAGTGAACACTCATAAACAGTGCATACCCACGTGTATGAAACACAGTACTATTCCATTCTTTGCACGTAATTTCGAAGTCCGCAAATAATGCTACGCATGATAACCGTTTGGAGGATATTCGTAATAGGTGACCAGATCATTGTCAAAGTCATAGGATGTGGCACGGTTATCGGTCAGTTCATATTTCACATTAAAACAGTAAAAGAAATTTAAATTAAAAGTCTCATTACTCATGATTCCATCGGAGATCAATGAAATCAAGATTGAAGATTTGGAGTATCAATCCTAAAATTTCAAATGTCAACCTCTTCTCTCTCTTTTTTTACATGTATCTCATGTTTAAATTTATTTTGGAGTTAGAATTTATGCATAAAGGCTCTTTGCTCAGAATGAGAATCTACACTACCATTGTCATAAATCTATTTATTTTTATTACTACAGTCAAGTAACCACTTTTTCAATGAATCTATGTTTTGTAGGTAGTGTTCGTCAAAAATTGATCTCATTTGGAAGTACTCCTGAAAACCAGGTAGCACTAGATAGTTGTTTCGTTGTGGTATAGGACTCCTTGGCAATGCGAACCCGCTAATTCATGAGGTGTCAAACCCAAAACCTTCATGTCTTGCAAAAAAAGAACACTTAACCATCAGAACTACTAGGCCAACGTTTGGCACAAAACATGAGGGTATTGGGTTATCACTACTCAGGAATCCTATTCCAGAATGGAATAGCTATTCCTTGGTTTTCATTAATAACCCGAATGAGGTCAGTCTGAGCTAAATTATACCTACAAATCAAATTAGTCTTCACAAACTCTCATTTATTTGTTTATTTCTTTCATGAATTTACCCATAATCACCAATAAAACTGTTTTTGTTTTCTAGTTATAGAACGAAGTATTTCAGAACGTCCATTTCGTATTTTAGTCGGTCTAATTGATCATCCAGATATAGGTCATGGTCTTTTAGATAATTTACTATTAGATATAATGTGGTATACATATGAAAGTTATTTCAAATTACATTGGCAAACTACATGTTCTATGATGAATTCAATTCAAATGCAAAAATTATCACATCGTGATTTCACATTAACGATATCCAATTTAGTAAATCGACCAAGTTTATGTGATAAACAATTACCAAGTAATATGATCAATTTAATTAAAGATTATGTATTCATTCGTGATAGTGTAAAATCATCTAGTTTACGTAAGTTCTATATAATATTCATATATATCTGTTTGTATAATATATACTTAGGGGGGGGGAGTTTTAAAAAAAAAATGTTTTTCTCTATTTCGTTTAAGGTGACATGACTGTTACAGTTGTGTATATGGGTGATCGATAATTCCCGATTACCCAATCTGCAAACGAAAGTCTTTTCTTAAGGGATTTAAAAAAAAAGTGAATATGTAGTGAAGGTATTTTGGCCTGGGAGTGTAATTGTGAACCCCTGGAGGCTAATAATATACAGAATTTGTGCCAGTGACTTAACTATTGTTAGGTACCACACATCCGCTTACAGTTTAAAGTGTGACTTTGTCCTCGGACCTTATGCTTGCTGATCTCACCCTTGTCAATATTCAGCTAGCCTGCTTGATTTGGTAGACCTTCGAAAAATGTGTTCCGTTCAATATAACCCTATTTTTAGTCCAAAACGTGGCACAAATCCATGAAGTCACTGATAAGTGAACTGAACCATGTTGATAGGTGTAGTCTACATGGTCGGGATCCGCAAGATGATAGCGATCGATAGTTTGAGACATTGAATGACATGGCTCAAAATCGTTTGCAATGGTGAAGGTGTATCCACTCTTTGTGTTCTTCCAAATTCTAATCTTCTGAATTCTTCATGTCTCTATCTTTTTTCCCTTTTCAAATTTATTTCACTGTATTATACACCTTGAATAACATCTTTAAACCCTAATCTTTCCGATTACTGCTTATACTTTTATTACTTCTACCATTATGGGATTTGAATCGACAACTGTATCTATGTGTTATTGTGGTATGGCAACTTGAACTGATGTACGTACGTACGAAGTTCTACGTTGTGACTGACTGACTGACTGACTGAACCCTATCAGGCCCTCATGATAACCAAACCCAGTTACCACGTCAGAATAACAACTGTGATCGGGCAATTAGCAATAAATATGTCATAATAAGTTGTGGTATCAGATATAGGATTGTTTAGTACTTCTTAATAATCACTGATTTATCCAGTCAATATTTATCAAAATATCACAATGTACTTTTAACACTGTGATCAATAATCAGTTCGAATACAGTTGTGCCATACTTTTATGTAAGTTTATCATTTAAAGCAATTTAACTTAACCAATTGGGTTTCCAATCCAGATACCTTTTCTATGACATTAATGAATAACTTAAAACCGACTTCATACACCTATACTTTTTACTTACTTCATTTTTCCGGTTAGCGTTTTTTTAGTGAGTTGGTTTTCTACGGGATAGAGTCGCTAACCCCATGCTCAACCCTCCTCCTTTAACCGGGCTTGGGACCGGAAGTAGCCCCCGGAGGGAGCTACAGGCGGTGTTACACCTATACTTTACTGGAAATAAAACTTATAATCATCGATATCTAGTTTGTTTATCTATCATCTTAAAAAAATTTGTCGTGTTTTTTCGTTTATTCCAGGAATAGATAATCAAGATAGAAATTTAGAATATGATGGAACAACTTTAAATAATACTAATCATCTAGCCGATAGAGAAGATTCAATACCATCAAGTGATTCAAATATCAAGAAGCTTTCAACACAAAATTCCAATCATCATCATCATTATCCAACTATTACTACGAATAATAATGTTGTTGATGAGTTCCTGCGTACATCTCATTTATTTTTCAGTAATATAAGTAGTGAATTTTTATGGAAATTTATTGAAAATCAATTTACTAAACTATTGAATGTATCACCGACAGTAACAGTCAATACAATGATTGGATCCATTAAATGTGATGATTGGCAACAATCATCATTGAAATTATCATTCAATCAATGGTGTTCTATCGTACATTTCTTATTGAATTGTTTACCAATGGATATGTATCCTAATGTTCGTGGTCATTATCTACCACATTTAATTACTCATTTAACAAATTGTTTAGTTGAAAAACTTCGAGTTAATTGTGAACTACACTATCATGGTCATCAATCTTTATTATCACAAGATGGGAGTTTCTTAGAGTATAAATTAACTTCTTTAGAATGGGCTAGTATAATCAATTGTTTAGATACGATTGTACATCATATACGTGAGGTAGGTTTGTTAATTTAATGTTAGTTATTCCATTATATTTATTATTGCAGATAGATCGGCCCTGGTACAGCCGAGAGTGGGGAGAGTCACCTCTCCCTCTCGAAATGCTCTCATATGGCCACGCATATATAGCCTCTGCCAGGGAAGTCCTACTCACTGCCTTCTCGTGAATGGGGTGTTGTTCACAAAAGTGAGAGGACGAAAAGCGAATGTCCGGCGCTTTAACCGGGTTGGTGGACATGGAAAGTTCACCTAGGGGAGTTGGAAAACCCTGATTCCAAAGCAATGGTGCACATGGGCTAGCTCCAGTATCCTGAGGGAACAAATGGCGTACGAATCAACCGTTGATCACCGGCTACCATGGGACTGCATCTCCTTACAATGCTCCACTGCCTTATGGATCAGACCTTTAGGTCAAAGGCTCAGGGTGTGGCCCCCTAAGAAAACCACCTGCTTCAGTTTGGGCACCTGAGCAGTATCCCAACCCTCACACAAATCAAATGACATTTGTGTGGCGCATATGTATTCGGTGCCCCTTTGTACCAATATTTATGTGTTCAAATAATAATAATGATAATCTTACTTAATCCTTATATTGTTGTCAGTGTTTAGTCACAGCACACAACATAATAATAATAATAACAATAATAATAATAATAATAATAATAATAATAATAATAATAATAATAATAATAAGCTGTATCTCCATTCTGTTTACTGACCATCTATTTTTGACTCAAGTTTAACAAATATTCACTATCATATTCCATTCTGATCGATGCTACAAATGGTTGTTTGTTTATACAAAAGAAATTGGTAGCTATCATTCAAAAGAGTTGGTGTGGTGTTAAAGTCTGGGTAGTTATCGTTTCTTACGATCCTCTCAGTAGACCGCTACATTCATTAGCTTGTGGTTTTGATTTGGTATTCCATTCCGACTAATTCAGTCTGAATTCCGCCTATGGCACCTCTAGGGTCGCTGCCAGTCTCAAGAACGGGTAAAGGAGGAGGGTTGGGTATGGGGTCAGCAACTCCATACCTTAGAAAAAACCTTATTAAAAATACGCTAAACAGAATAAACAAATTAGATTATTTAAACTCTACCCTCCAAGTCGAAGGAAGAGTTATGACGCCTCATGATGAAAGCCGAGATTCGGAAGTCATGAGGACCATACCCGTTCTACCAACCAGAGCGACAATTGATATAAGTACGTGGAATGTCCGGACAATGTGGGTGACCAGGCGTACCAGTCAAATAGTTGCGGAAATGAGGGGATACAACTTGAAGATGCTCAAAATCAGTAGAACCGATCGGACACAAGCTGGACGGAAAAGATTAGATTCGGGAGATGCTGCTGTACTCTGTACATGAAGAAGAAAATACTCCACACACTCAGCAAGTTGCTCTAATTCTGTCCAAAGAAGCACGCAATGCACTTATTGGGTAGGAATCTCATGGATCCAGGATCATCAAAGCCTCCTTCGAAACAAAGAAGGAGGGAGTCACAATGAATGTTATCTAATGTTATGCACCCACCAATGGTAGCAACGACGACGATAAAGATCAGTTCTGCGAGAGGCTGCAATCAATCATAGCGAAGTGCTCAGGAAACGACCTGACAATCCTTATGGGAAACCTAAATGCCAATGTCAGAATGTATAACACCAGATATGATGATATTATGGGACGACATGAACTGAGAGGAAGGAACGAGATTGGTGACAGATTTGCAAATTTCCGTGCATCCAAAAAGTTGGTTACAGGCGGCATAATATTCTCCCACAAATGCATACAAAACGTTCATGGGTCTCATTGGATCACACTACACAGAATCAAACCGATCATATTTGCATCAGTAAAAAATTCGAAAGGTCAATGGAAGACATGAGAACTTGGAGAAGAGCTGACATAGCTTCATAACACCACTTGGTAGTTGCTAAGATGAAACTGAAGCTAAAGAAGTACTGGACGACTAGGGAAGCAGAATTACAAAGGTTCAATACATTCTTCTTTTAACATACTGACAAGCTGAATGAATTCAAGATAGCTCTCAACAACGTGTTCCAAGCGTTACGAGATCTACTCAGAGGAGGAGAAATTACTATGGAGGACAACTGGAAAGGTATCAAAGAAGAACTAACTTCAACGTGTCAGGAGATTCCGGGCTACATGAAATATCATCATAAGGAATGGATCTCTATCGAAATCCTGGAAAAGATTCACGAAAAGAAGAACAGGATGACAACAATTAACAACATCGGAACGAAAACAGAGAAAGTCAAAGCACGTGTTGAATACATAGAAGCAAACAAACGAGGGAAGAGGCGTATTAGAGCCAACAAGCAAAAATATGTGGGAGAGCTAGCAACAAAGAATTTGAAACAGCTATATAATATTTGAGGGGAGAGACGGAATACAATGGACAGCTCCTAATCAATTAGGAGATTTGGACTTCTCAGATGACCTGGTCCTTCTATCCGATACACACGAACAAATGCAGGTGAAGACGACGATTCAAGCAGAAGCTTCTCCATCAGTAGGCCTCAACATACACAAACGTGAAAGCAAGATCCTCAAATACAACACGAACACCAACACATTCACACTTGTTGGGGAAGCTCTGGAAGAGGTGGAATCTTTCACGTACTTGAGAAGCATCACCGATGTAGAAGAAGGATCTGATGCAGAAGTAAAGGCGAGGATTGGCAAAGCAAGGACAGCATTTCTACAGTTGAAGAACACATGGAACTCAAAACAACTGTCAACCAATATAACAGTCGTAATTTTCAAAACAAACATCACGACAGTTCTCCTGTATGGAGCTGAAAGTTGGAAAAATACTACAAGTATTATCGAAAATGTACAAGTATTTATAAACAATTGTCTACGTAAAATACTAAATGTCTATTAGCTGGATATCATCAGCAACAATCTTCTGTGGGAGAGGACAAACCAGCTTCCAGTTGAAGAGGAAACTAGTAAAAGATGTAGATAGGGCATACAATTCGGAAATTCTCAAACTGCATCATAAGGGAAGCTTCAGCTTGGAAGTCTAAAGGGAAATGGGAAAACCAAGGAAAAATTTTCGTCGAAAGTCCGAAAGAAGCATCAAAAGAATGAGTAAAAACTGGATAGGATTGCCCAAGACATGGTTTGATGGAAAGTGCTGATGGGTGGCCTATGCTCCTCCATGAAAGGTAACAGGAGTAAGTAAGCAGTATTACGCAGCGAGGTAACGTAGGGAAATGTAGTAAGCCAGATAGACTGGTCATAGACAAAGAAGTCAAGCCAATCACTGATACTCAAGAACATAGGAACAGGTAGGTTGAACATTGAGGAACTCTTGAATTGGTCAGCTCCAGTGAACCTACCGCACATCAAAGCACCACACACAGACCTTCTTATAGATGTCACTCTATCAAAGACTGAAGAAATCAGGATGACCATCATATAAATCAAGTATGGAAAGGCAACAGGACCTGACAATATACCAACTGAAGTTCTGAAATCAGGCATTGAAGCAGCTGCAAACGTACCTCACGTTTTATTCAGGAAAATTTGGAAGGAAAAACAAGTGCTGACAGACTGAAAAGATGGATATCTCATCGAGATTACGAAGAAAGGAGATCGGAGTAAATGTGAGAACTACAAAGGAATCACACTGCTATCGGTACCAGGAACGGTATTCAACAGAGTGATGCTGAACCGGATGAATTATTCAGTGGACGTCCAGCTTTGAGATTATTAGGTCGGATTCAGTGAGGACTGGTCGTGTAAAGACCAAATCGCGACACAATGGATCATCGTTGAGCAATCAATTGGATGGAATTCGTCACCATAAATCAACTTTCTTGATTATGAGAAAGCATTTGACCGTGTGGATAAGAGAACATTATGGAAACTTCTTCGACATTACGGTATACCTGAGAAGAACGTCAACATCATCCGGAATCCATATGACGGACTACACTGCAAAGTCGTGCACTATTTTAGTATGCATATCACATAGTTGTTAAACAGTATATCATTGATTACAATTAATCACAATGTTGCCCCCAAACGCCCTGGGTCGGCCGAGAGTGGAGAGAGTCCGCTCTCCCTCTCGAAATGCTCTCACATGGCCAAGCGAATATAGAGCCTCTACCAGGAAAGTCCTACTCACTGCTTTCTCACACCAGGGGTGTTGTTTACAAAAGTGAGAGGACGAAAAGCGAATGTCCAACACTTTAACAGGGTTGGTGCACAAGGAAAGTCCACCTAGGGGAGTTGGAAAACCCTGATTCCAAACCAATGGTGCACATAAGCTCCAGTATCCTGAGGGATCAAATGTCATATCAATCAATCGTTGGTCGCCGGCTACCATGGGACTGCATTTCCTTAAGATGTTCCACTGCCTTGTAGAATAGACCTTCAGGTCAAAGGCTCGGGGTGTGGCCAACTAAGAAAACCACCTGCTTCAGCCTGAGCACCTGGGCAGTATCACAGCCCTCACGCAAATCAAATGAAATTTGTGAGGCGCATATTTATCTGGTGCATCCTTGTACCAATATTTATGTGTTTAAATAAATAAATTAATTAATTATAAGTAATCCATTAATAGTTTTTGATTTCATTAATCTCATGATGTGTTTATTTTTACTTTTATTATTGGCAGTATGCAGTGACAGTATTTGATCAGTTATCGAGTCCAGTCAATCTTAAACGTCAAGTGGAATCATTATCATCAAATAACAATAATAATAATAGTAGTAATTTTAGTCAATGTAATGAGATCAACAGTAATTATGGTGTTGCTGATGGTCAGGATAATCAAATTTCTGAGGAGTTAATGATGATTGCTGAGGCAGTTGGTCAATTTCGACGATTTCTTGGTATATTCTGCATTCATGTCTTAAATTTCTCACCAGTTAAAGTTAGTTTGTTTAAAAATGTATTTTTATTATCCTTGTTTAGTATATTGAAATCCTTGTTGAGTAGTAATAATTTTCATTTCAAATACGGAAAATACTTCAATTTGTTAACTCTAGTCATAACGTCAATTTGAATGTTTAATCTCGCATTATCTATGTTCAGTCACTCAGTCAGTAACAACGTAGAACTTGGTAAGTATGTACATTAGTTGAAGTTGCCATATAACATTAGCACACAGATACAATTGTCGATTTAAATCCCGTAGTAGTAGAAGTAGTAAGAGTGTAAGCGATAATCGGAAAGATTAGGGTTTGAAGATGTTATTCAAGGGGTATGATCCAGTGCAATAAATTTGGAAAGAGAAAAAAGAAAGGGGCATGAAGAGTTCAGAAGATTAGAATTTGGGAGAACACAATGAGTGGATGCACCTTCACCATTAAGACGATTTTGAGCCATGTCATTCAAGGTCTCTAACCATCGATTGCTATAATCTCGCGGATCCCAACCAGGTATTCTACACCTACCATCATGGCTCAGTCTACTTATCAGTGACTTCATGGATTTGTGCCATGTTTTGGTCTGGCCGCGCTTATTTATGTTAGTCATTATTGTATTTTGAATCACATGTTGATGATAGCATTTCTTGACAATCATTCAGCTGTTTTATGATAGATTCAAATAAGTCTTGAGATGGCCAAATATATTACGTTAACTGTGGTTTCTGGGTCAACAAATTCTGTATCTACCACACTAGTTAGTTCATCTCAGTCATTATTTCTGTGAAGTCAGTAGGTCAAAATTAGTTAACGGGAAATTTTAAATTTCCACTCAACCTTTGTGTAGTGTATGCTTTCTATGTCGACAGACATAAGTGGTATGCAACACCATTCGGAAGTGGAAAACCTGGCAGCAGAAAGCCAAGAATATCAAGTTGAAGAGAATAGAAAGGAATTGCAAATAGGAAGAATCATACAGGAAATGAAGGACAGATGATGGAAATTAGCAAATGATTGGTTCAATATATGGTTCTCATATTGTACCTAGAGATTCTGTATTTATATATCAAAATACATTGGTTGTCCGTACCTATGTTCTCGTTCACAACACTTGTCCGGATCGATCATCAACAATCTATCTATCATCTAATTTTCAGTCATATATTGCTTTAAGTCGCGGTGATAAGCGTTTCTTTTCTTAGGAGCTGATCTACTGATAAATTCCAATGCGTTTTTTTATTTAGGTACATGCCTCTCAATTTATTTACTGTCTTAGTCTTTACAACTTTTGATCTAAATATTCTTCTCTCCAAACTTAATACTGAAAGGAAGATTTCATTTGGTTTCATGGGATCCCTATTATTTAATTAAACAACGTATGAATTGTTAGTTTAATTGAATAGAATTCATTTATATTGCATGTCGTTTTTGATATTCATTTGTTTTGAAATTTCGGGGAATATCATCAATGTGGCCACTAGTCTAGGTCACTCGACACTGTGTGCACTATATTGAGATAAGATGATGGTTGGAGGTGGTCAGCAGGAAACCCTGGACCCGGGTTTCCTGCTACTTGACACTCGTCGGCAAGGTCTACCTGTAATCTTGAGGGAACTGGTGCTCCCTGACAGATTCGATCCCGTGTCACTCAGCTTCACAGTCAGAGACGTTAGCACTGAGCTACTCGGTCCGCGACCTACCTCCTGTAGGACTGAGATGTAATAACAATCGATTGATCACTGGGTGGTGATCAATGTCATGCGTGTCAAGTCCTTTTTAGTACCGATCGAATATTATCATTCTATCCTTATTTAGTGAATTAAAATTTATATGCTCAATACTGTCCCCAGGTTATATTCCGTATGATTTGTTAGGTATCTTCTTCTGAGAAGTCTTTAATTGTGTCAAATCGACCACACTGTGCTCCATGGCTTTCAGTTTATTTTCTGACTGTTATTATTCTGGAATATGGACTATCTTTGTATTTGATAGATTCCTGTCGAACTACTTATTTAAATACTACTTTGAATACTACTTTTTATTTTTTATTATTGTGTTTTATTTTCTCATCAATGCATTGCTAATGAAGATGAATGAGTTTATACAAAAAATTTCTACGGAACCATGTCAACATGATGGTATCATCATTTCGTATGAAGGAGAAATAAACAAAATGAATGGTCATAATGATGGTAACAATGAAGATGTACTTGACAAAGAAGGTGCTAAAGAAAAATCACATGAAAACTCCGTATTAAAACATAACCGTCAAGTGTCATCATCATCATCGTCTTCGATCAGCTGCATAGATCTTTTTGCACAAATTTGTCGTCTTATTGTGGAAATGTCTAGTTTCCCTTTGTCTATTATACATCAGTGTAAAAATTCATCAATGTCACCTAGAATAATTTCCAGCAATAAATCTGATCTTAGTATTTTAGATCTATTCGGTGGTGAACTTATACGGCATGGTGATACAGGTTAGTTGTGAACTGCTGTGAATGATTAAAGAGTTTTTGTAGCTGTCAAATTGTATATAATGTCTATGACCAAGAAGGGGTGTGATCACTTAACTCTACTAACAAAATGATAAATTAAAGTATGAGAATCCTTGCGGAACGCAATAAAGGTGTTACTTGTTTGTCTAGTAACATATATGCGAGTATTAGCATCATAATACAATTTATGTAATCACAGAGTAGGATATATGAAACTGATTATATGAATCTATACGAAATTTGGATCAGTTGCAAGTACTCAAAAACCCCACTTATTAACAATACAAAAAGTTCAGATCAACTGATATCGAGGTCGGGTCGGTTAGTCAAGCAAATAAACATAGTTTCATTAAGTTAAGTGGCATAGTCTCCTGCAAAATATAAAATGAAATAAACATACAGTATAACGTAGTCTTATGTAATCATATCTAAAGCTTACTGAGAATTCCATGAATTTAATACTTCAAACATTAGTAGATTTTCTTTTCATTACGGTCCTATTCGTCTTATTGTGGATGCCGGCTCAGTGGTCTATCGGTTAAGTGCTCTGTCGCGAGACTGGTAGGTCTTGGGTTGGAATCTCGCGTGTCGGAATCGTGGATGCGCACTTCTGAGGTGTCCCACAATAGGACGAAACGGTCGTCCAGTGCTTCCGGGTTTTCCCTGGTGGTCTAGCTTCAATTGACTCGTGATCTTAACTATATAAAACTAATTATATGTGTATAGAAATTAAGTTTTCTATACCCCAGATTTAATTCCTATGTGCCCCCAAATGCCCTGGTACGACCGAGAGTGGGGAGAGTCACCTCTCCCTCTCGAAATGCTCTCATATGGCCACGCATATATAGCCTCTGCCAGGGAAGTCCTACTCACTGCCTTCTCGTGAATGGGGTGTTGTTCACAAAAGTGAGAGGACGAAAAGCGAATGTCCGGCGCTTTAACCGGGTTGGTGGACATGGAAAGTTCACCTAGGGGAGTTGGAAAACTCTGATTCCAAAGCAATGGTGCACATGGGCTAGCTCCAGTATCCTGAGGGAACAAATGGCGTACGAATCAACCGTTGATCACCGGTTACCATGGGACTGCATCTCCTCACGATGCTCCACTGCCTTGTGTATCAGACCTTTAGGTCAAAGGCTCAGGGTGTGGCCCCCTAAGAAAACCACCTGCTTCAGTATGGGCACCTGAGCAGTATCACAGCCCTCACACAAATCGAATGAGATTTGTGAGGCGCATATTTATCTGGTGCTTCCTTGTACCAATATTTATGTGTTTAAATAAATAAATAAATAAAATACCTCGATCCCGTAATTTTCATCAGGCTGGGATAAAAACACTTATGGTTCGCTTTGGCGAAATAGTCGAAAAAATTTATTGAGTTTTTGTCTTTCGGGTTTTACTTAGTACTATAGGCCTGCTGATGAGAACCGTTTCGATGCTACAAGGTAACTGATTCAAACTGCTTAGAATAGACTTCAGATTACTGAAGGTGTTATGACGCTCGCTGTTTGCACTTAGTCGAAAGCTCATCACTTGAAATCTTAATTTATTCCTCCCTAGTTCAGTTGAGCCAGTCCGTCTCTTGACGGATTACTTAACTTGACCAATAGGACATCTAGGCTTGGCCGAGTAACTTTGAACACTGACGTATGTAATTTTTTTTACTGTCGTGGTTGTATACTTTATTGTTTACCTAGTTGTATTGTTTTGACAGTATGAATTAACACATTTCTACGTAGTTCTAATGGTTGAATTACTAGAGATAAGAAAAATGACTATGTACACACATGTCACTTATTATAGAATTATGGATTTTACGAGAATTTCTCAATTTTGTTTATTGAGAGTTACTTAAAGTGCTATTTGAAAAGTAAATATTATTTGTTGTGTTATTAAGAACTTGTATAACTAACTCAGTCTACTTCATTTCTTGGAAATGAAAGCCGTTTTCTGAACAGTCATGTGAAAAAACCATCTGGGAAATTTCTGTTTAGCCTAATGTTCACCTATCATTCAATCAAACGCGACATAGAACCTAGTTCATGTGTACATGAGTTAAAGTTTTCATAACCCATCAATACAGAGAGATGAAGTTGTCAGGCCAAATTCTAGAATAGTAGAGACAGTAATAGTATTAGTGGTATTACGAATGATTAGGAATAGAAGATACAATTTAGGGAAATATAATTAAGTGAAGTAATGAAATTGTAAAGAAATTAGGAACTTAGAGTTTAAAGGAAGACACAGAGTTGGTAGGCCTGTGTTATTTGCCAACGATTTTGAGCCATGCCGTTCAAAGTCTAAGTATTAGTTACAACAATCCTCCGGACCCATACTAGCATAGCTTAGTTCAGATGTCATTGACTTCATGAACTGATGCCATGTTTTGGTTTGGCTGACTCTAGCTTTCCTCTAACCTACTCCTATACCAGACAATATTGTCCATCGACGTAGGTGGTTGACAAATATACCACAGTTGATGAATATTTACTACCCCGTCAATTGATTTACGATCCTGACCTTTAACTCAATTGCTAACGAAAACTACCGCTTACTACGTCGTCCCGAAGATGCACAAGCGATGCTTCAAAGACACTTTTTGTCGGATAGTAGTAATCTACGAATATCGTCATTTATAAGTGATCATGCTTCACATCTTTTATGAAGAATACAACAGTAATGAGAAACGAAGTGTTTTCAAATGATTCATAAAAGAGAATGTGATGTATTCTCTCCGTAATTACCATGCAAATTAGTAGTGTTTATGTCTGCCTTTTCTTTTTTTTTCTTTGTTTCCATTCACTTCTAATGATAATCTCTTGATGTTGCTAATTGGTAACTATTTTTTAATTGTCTAATTCTAAATTAGTTATATTGTATCTTGATTTTTGTTTATTTAGAAGGCGTTTATAAATTTTTTTTTCTTTTCTGTCATGTGTCCTTTGTATCACTCTTATTCTATAAAGGTATTGATTTTTATAGTCTGTAACTTATTCTTGTTACTACCATTACTATTATTATTACTATTACTATTATTATTACTATTACCACCACCACCACCACCACCATTATTATTATTATTACTATTACTAGTAGTAGTAGTAGTGGTAGTAGTATTGGTATTAGTATTATTATTTATTCTTATTACAATATATTCTAGTAGGGCTAAATAAATATTCATTCTGATCTGTTATTCATTTTTCTGGAAAAAATTGCCTTTATGAAAGATAATAAGTAGTGTATTCATTTTTCTCACTTAGTAGCCTCCCTTTTTTTTAAAGATTTGTGTTATATTAAGAGATTTAGATATTGACTTGGTTCATGTTTACTAATTATTCACGTTTATGTAAGGTGTATTTATTTAAACATATAAATATTGGTAGAAAGGGGCACAAATCTCATTTGATTTGTGTGAGGGCTGTGATACTGCCCAGGTGCCCAAACTGAAACAGGTGGTTTTCTTAGGAGACCACACCCGAATTTTTCGACCAAGAGGTATGATCCACAAGACGATAGGGCATCGTAATGAGTTTCAGTCCCATTGTAGTTACTGACCAACGATTGATTCATACGTCATTTGTTCTCTCAGGATACTGGAACCCATGTGCACCATTGGTTTAGAATCAGGGTTTTCCAACTACCCTAAGTGGACGCGCCGGGCATTTGCTTTTCGTCCTCTCAATTTCGTAAACAATACCCGTGGTACGAGAAGACAGTGAGTAGGACTTCCCTGGTAGAGGCTATATACACGTTGCTATGTGAGAGCATTTGTAGAGTAAGAGCTGACTCTCCCCACTCTCGGCTGTACCAGGGCATTTTGGAGCTGTTTCGAATTAATATGTATCATTCATTCATAACTCAATAAAGTAAGAGATTGTACAACTCAACGTCTTAAAACAATATCTTTTAGAGCGTGAATGCTCAGTACATCGATTTTTTATTCTTCAAAGTTACTTAGTATCATTTGATTCACTGGTCTTTTTTGTTTTACATGGTATTTAAGCATTTCGTGACATATTGTTCTCTATTTGAATTTGATAACTAAAAAAAATTTTTTTCGTTTAAAGCAACTTTTATGTATACCTCATTTATATAGGCTCTTTAAAACGGAAATTTAACACTGGTTCGCAACAGTCTTCATTAAACAATTATCATTGTTATTTTCATTACAATTTGGGTAATTGACTTAATGTGTGCTGTTCTTTTTTTTTTAAGTGTATGTATGTGTGCTAGATTGGTTCTCACACATGTGTGTGTGTGTGTACTTATTCGATTTTCTTGATTAACTCATTATGCAGATAGTTTTTCTCAATAAATTTAACATTAAATATTTTTGAACGAAATGCTTTGTTGATATTTCCCCCCCCCTCCTATATCAGCTACCATAGTGTTTTTTTTAGTGAAATATCTTTCTCTTATTCGCCGATTCTCAGTTTGTATCTATCGGATTCTGCACATCAGATTCAGTGATGTATGTATTCGTGATGTTTTTTTGCACCACCACCATCATCATCATCATCATATGTGTGTGTGTGTGTTTGATGATCATATTTTCAATCATATCACCTCATCTAAAGTTTATTTTCATATCCTCAATATTTTTTTAGATACCGTTTGAAATATATCAGACTACGTAGTGTAGTTTTCACAAATCTTGATTTTACACCGATTGATCATTGAGATCTTGGTGACTAATGTCATGTTTAATTAGTGTTTCAATTCTAGAGAGAGGGGGGGTATATTCGTGGCTGAAATAACTTTGTGTTAATTTGTATGGCTGTGAGTGTTGTTGGTTCAGATTCAAATTCTGCATCGAGTATCAGTCGCTCCTTCAGAATGTTTAGACATCTTTTGTAGGTAAATGCTAACTAACATGAAACTTATGTTCTACATGGTTTACTGTCGGCTGTCTCGACCAAACATAACATTCAACTACAGCTGACTGATTAAAGTTCCATGTAACATATTGATTGGGCTGTAGGTTTAATTATTTTATAATCTACAGGTTATTTGATTATTATCAATCCAAATATGCGAACATTTATTCATCTTATCTTTGCACTCCATAGTTTTTCCCCTCTTTCATCTTTCTTAGAAATGTAATCATGTACACGCCATGTATATGTGTAGCTATAATTGAATCATATATATTTTATAGTCATTGCCCAAGTCACTTCTATTGCTACCAATTACTGATTATTTAACCTGAATCCGACCCTTATTCTCTCTCTCACCATCTTTAATCACAGTCATTTAAATCATTTCTTTTGTTGCTATGTTATTGCTTCAATTGTATCTTATTGTTGTTACTTCTTTCTTTTTTCAAGGTTGCTTCATCTTACCACAATGGCTTGTTTGTTTATTGTATGCATCATGTGATTTAGATAATTTCAATATTAAGTCAATTGCTTTATATACACTGATTGAATTATTTCATGCAGCTGTTTCTATTCATGGTTGGAGTACAGAATTTACATATTATTCTAATGACATCAATACTACGACTACTACTACTGATAATAATAATAGTTCTGAGGAGAATCATCGAGGAAACAATAATGAGAATGGCGATAAAGTAGTTCCTATGGATGATAAACATGATGAAGTAAATCGCGGAATGCGTTTAGTATTTCCTGTGCTAAGTGGAGAGTTGATATCATATCTTTCTCAAAAGACAAATTTATTCACGGTATGTAAGCAAATCATATATGTTCATAAATTTTATTGATCATCTGATGTCTTGCGTTCGAATTCTGTTCTGTTCAGCTTTTTCATGACATTGAATTAACGTTATTAGTTAAGAATCACAAGCTTATAATTTAAAAGATTAGTATATGGTTGATTAACTGAATCATCTTTTTAATTTTACGTCACAGATTAACCTTTGTGAGATAAGCTATAAAGAGCAGTAAGCAGTGGACATCTGTTTCGTGTTAACGTAAAAACCTTCATCAGTACTTATCGATGATCATTTCATCGATAGTTGAAATTGGTACCTTAAATCCTTGGAGCGAGGTTTTAATCTTCAAACTACTGGATTGGTATCCAATGGCTTATATTTCTAACTTCAGTCAATTCAGGATATTATGGGACTGGTATCCAATAATACTAGTGATATTTATCTCATTCTTGAAATTTGAACTCCGTTGTTCATATCTTCTCATTAAAATTTCAATAATGATTTCTACTTCCTGATGAAAATGTGTTTAAATTATATCTCTGAGCGCCAAATGCCCTGGAACGGCCGAGAGTAAGGAGAGTCCGCTCTCCCTATCGAAATGCTCTCATATGGCCACGCGTTTATAGCCTCTGACAGGGAAGTCCTACTCACTGCCTTCTCGTGGCAGGAGTGTTGTTTACAAAATTGAGAGAACGAAAAGCGAAAGCTCGGCGCTTTAACCGGGTTGGTGGATACGGAAAGTCCACCTATGGGAGTTGGAAAACCCTGATTCCAAACCAATAGTGAACATGGGCTCCCGTATCCTGAGGGAACAAATGGTGTATGAATCAATCGTTGGTCAGTGGCTACCATGGGACTGAATCTCCTTACGATGCTCCACTACCTTGTGGATCAGACATTTAGGTCAAAAGCTGCTGTTGTGGTCCCCTAAGAAAACCACTTACTTCAGTTTGGTCACCTCGGCAGTATCACAGTCCTCACACAAATCAAATGATATTTGTGTGACGCATATATATCTGGTGCCTTTTTGTACCAATATTTATGTGTTCAAATAAATAAATAATCTCTGAGAAGAAGCTAGGGTATTCAGTTATCGATCTCTATACTCATGATATGGTTAATGTATTCACATTTATATCGGAAATGCGTATGAAAAAGTATTCTAAAGGAAATCTGTATTATGTCTTAATGCATAGACATTAAAGTAGACGATATAGTTTGCTGCATGTTATATTTCAAGAATAAGTGATGTACTAAAAGAAAATTACTTGGATACTGTAATAGGGGAGTATGTAAAATACATTAACTAAAATGAATATGTCACATAATAATTGTAGAAAAAAATCCCCCCCTTTTAAATCATATAGCATTTTACAAAGTTTCTAGGATTCTGAATATTGGAAAATTAAGACAATGCGGAAATGAATACAATCAAAAGATGTAGATTGAATAATGAAGTATCATACTTGGAATAGTAGGTTATTTGAAAGGTAATTAATTAGTGAGTCGAGATATCTGCATAATATTCTTTAGTTAAAAATCTTAAAGATCTTAGTCACTAAGCATACAATTCAACAATCAGTAATTAGGTATCGGTCAATTGGACATTATTCATAAAAACTCGCGAGATGATAGCAATCGATGGTTAGAGACCTTGAATGACATGGCTCAAAATCGTTTGTAATAGTGAAGGTGCATCCAATTTTTGTGTTCTCTCAACTTCTAATCTTCTGAATTCTTCATGTCCCTTTTTTCTCTTTCCAAATTTATTTCACTGGATTATACTTCTTGAATAACATCTTCAAACCCTAATCTATCGGATTACTGCTTGTACTTTTACTACTTCCACCACTATGGGATTTGAATCGACAATTGTATTTGTATGCTAATGTGATATGGTAACTCGAACTGATGTACGTAGGTACGAAGTTCTACGTTGTGACCGACTGACTGACTTACATTTCAGTGTGATTGTTTCTCAGTGACTTAATAGTTTACACTAATTTAAAGAATTTAGTTAACCATATGTGTATGTTTAGTTTTACGACTTCGTAAGAGGTAAAAATTTAATTTTTACTTATGGAAATTATATAGATTTAATCAAACTACTATAATTTACGTATGAATGAAATAATGCATTCCTTTGTTCATCTCTCTCTAGTACTTGGGTGTTTCATTATGGCGTTATCTATCACCAGAATATTCTACGTATCACGATGATACAACAAGTTTACTTGTTCGTCTACATCAGTTGGCTCCTCCATTACCAAAATCTGTCGCTTTTCAATTAACTCCCGGGTTATCAGGATTCCCATCCAATATCAGTTCTTGTATTGAAGGCTTCATTCTCTCTCAAATGCTTTCATCTGATTTAGATATTAAAATAGATGCACATTCACGTTTTATTTTATTGTGGCATTTATTGAGATATTATGGATCACGTGTTCAATCAAATATTCATCCATTGACAAACTCTTCAACTAGTACATCAGTTAATCAGTTTCCAGTTACTAAACGATCATTACATTCTTCAGTTCATGATTCTTTTAGACTAAGTGGCGTATCCAATTTCATAGCAGCTGTATCATGGAGGCGTGGATTTCTTAGTTTGACTGGAGACAGTAAAGTTGGAAACAGTGATCTATCATCTCCTGGTTTAGGTTTGTATGATATTCCTTTCTATAGGTAGGTTTAGTTATTTTACTTTTTTCCATCTCGATTCCTATAGCTTTATCTAATTTATCAGTGGTATTACAGTTTGAATATACAAGCTTCCCCTCTGTTGATGAGACTCGCCCAATTATCTGATATAATCTGTGTAAACTTTAGTTATTGTATCCATTTGTACTAGCCTAATATTTTACATTACATATTCACACTCGTATACATCTAATGGTCGACAAATGACGTCACTAGATGCTTTGTTGTGTCTATCAAGATATATCAGTGGTCGAAATTGAACTGAAGTACCCAAAAAATTCTTGTCTTTTCAAGCTATTCCAGCTGGGTAGTTATTACTATTTTTTCATATAAGTCAATAGTTTGTATGTATAAAGTTTTGGATTTTTAATCCTGTTCGACTTGGATTTCAGTAGGCCTATATTTCATCTTTGACCTACGATATTGTACTTTGTTATATTGACTTGGATTTATTTTGCTTTATCGTTTTATATATTGTATATCATCAAAACTATGCTAATAACTTTAACCAAAAGTATGAACTACATATTTGACGTTAGAAATCTTGTCTACTTAATTGTATTTAGCCATACATTTTTCGACGCGATCTCGTAGATATTCCATTCAGTATATTTTATCATGAACCTTCTATGATTTCCATTAAGAAGTTTAAGGATATATGAAATATTTAGTGATAATTTAGTTCACTTTTGCTTACAATTTAAAAGCGTTTTGTAAGGATGGCTCGTTGGTAAACTCTAGGAAGCCTCAAAAAGCCCAGAAAGAGCCGAAGACATTCCATCCAATCACTGCTAGGGGAATATTCTAGAATGTCGACGTGTAGTTTCCCTATTGGATGGATAAGAATGACCTCCTATGTGCCTATTGGTTGTCCGAAATGATGATTTACTTTCAACAAAAAAAAACTATCAATACATGAGATTTCTGTACTAGATTTTGACACTGTTTTGGGGAATAAAGTTCCTACTCACTAGTCTTCTGTCTTCTCTCTTGCGACGTAGCAGGGTTTGGTCGTTCAAGTAGTTTAGTAGTACGCGGTATAGTAAGAATCAAAGCTCTAGATATAACACGTTTACTAAATTTCAAGACTTTTCCGGCGATTTTTATCAAGATTATCACTTTTTGATGCTACTGTCAGTTGATCAACCATCTATATCTCATGAGCTACTGTATTTATCATGCTGTTGCGGATTAGTGGATAGTACGCTTGAACTTCAGTCAGTTAGTTTCAGGTCTCAATTCTTGTACATTCACTTCAATTATCTTAATTTCACTATCAGTTGATCAATATCACTAGTTATTATACATAAAAGCATGTGACTCAAACTTTATTAGCAGATAACATGTACTTGACAATTGAGTAACATTAAAAACATTTAACGAAACAAATCATATGTAGATTGTCAAAGACCATACAATGAAAAGGTATATGTATGCTACTATGAGAACATGTTTTCATAGATGAACAATTTATGTTTTTTTTAAGTGTGTATACCCTTCTACTGATTATTGATAAAATTTGATAGTAGTTTGTTACTTAGAATTGTATAACTTGTTTTTTATGTTTTGTTTGTTTTCTTACTTTCATGTTCTCTTCATTTGTTCGCCTTCATCCTCATCATTCTCATCAAATAATCAATAGATGTACACTACTCCTATTGGATAATTTAGATTATGATAATCCACTTGGTCCTATCGGTTCAATTGGTTTAACAAATCTATTAAGTTCGCATAGATCTCAATGTAATCTGAATAAAAATGAACAAAATCTAGGTCATAATGAAGAATTGAATCAAATGGATCATCCAATTAGTTTTGGAAATTCTATTCTAAGAGAACAATCAATTGTATGGTTGGAGAAAGCTTTAAGAACTGGTCAAATAGATCGTTTGATTGCACCAATTTTAGCTATATTATTACATCCTTCAACAGCTAGAATAAGTTTAAAATCACATGTATTAAAACATTATTGTCAACAGATGAAAGTATCAACATCAAGTAAATCATTCAATGGTTCTTTAAAATCAGTTTATACAGCAGGTAAGAAAAACATTTCTCTGTCCATCCATTGATATATATATAACAACCTTTAGAGTCATTCTATAATCATATTGATATTTAAATGGGTCGCAGTTATTGTGTGGTAGTTGGACGTACTTACACGGTTCATACTTGTAATCAATCACTTCATCGCTGATAACACATTTTGGTTCAGTCGCAACTAGCTTTCTTCTAACCTACCTTTATACTACACAACATCGCTCATCGAGGTAGGATGGTTACTGGGTGTGCGTAACACATGTCCTAAACACATTAATCGATCGAGATTCACAATATTATCAACTTATTTGTCATCATATCCAGTATCCTGCATTATAGCCTTCTGAACACTCATTTAGGGGGTAAATGATAGTTCGCAAGGATTTATGATCAAATACTAGTAACCTATAAATTTTCACTGATGTCAAACGTCATGTTTCACAGCTGAAATGTAGGAGATGGCCTGCTTCTGCTCAGTATATTAGCTCCTTCGTTTGCAGACATCTTCCTTGCACTACATGTAACCCAAACTGGATATTCACGAACTGATATTATGTTTTGTTGTTAACAAAGGTTAGACATTATGTAGTCGGTTAGTCATCATCAGTATAGAGCTTGACAAAGGTATTCATAATTTAAAGTCCCACACCACATTGAAGTGACGATATGAAAATAACAAGTTGATTACTAATACGAATCGTAGTACAGTAGTAACCATAGTAATGAGAGAGACTAGACATTGGTATTATATTTTTAAAAGGCAGAGTGGAAATGTGTTCATGAAGGAATACTGGAATTCAGGATAAGGGGGGAAACAGAAAGTGAATATGTCTGACCCATCGTGAACAACTCTGTGTCATGTTACCCAAGCCTCTAACCACTGATCACGGCTATCATGCAGACTTTAAACAGGTTATCTGGTCCTGCTAACATAGATATTAAAAAAAGCACTTAGTTCTTTTTGCATTTATTCTATTATCAGTTATGTTTTAAAATGTATTTTCCCATTTAGACATTGACTGCAAACCGCCTTCATATGAAGAAGTTGTTAATAAAATGAATTCAACTAGTATTAATTCTGAAGTAAGTACTAGTTGTTTTTTTATTATAATTTTTCTCCATATTCTGTTTTCGGTTTTTGTTAACTAGACGACTCTCTGTTCTATGGAATACTTGACTTTTGACATAAAATAGCCCCGGCTTGCGACATGTTTAGATTACTTACTTACTTACGCCTGTTATCCCTCGTCGAGGAGCGTAGGCCGCTCACCAGCATTCTCCATCTAACTCTGTCCTGAGCCTTCCTTTCCAGTTTTTTCCAGTTGCTATTCATCCTTTTCATATCGGCTTCTATTTCCCGGCGTAATGTGTTCTTTGGCGTTCCTCTTTTCCGCTTCCCTTCCGGATTCCATGTTAGGGATTGCCTTGTAATGCACATTGGTGATTTCTTTAATGTATGTCCTATCCACTTCCAACGTCTTTTCCTGTTTAGATGTCGATTATTAATTACTCTAAGTTTTCTAAGACATTATTTGGTTGATAAAACGTAGGATGAATAAAGATTATCACTTAACTATGGTGAAGTAATGGTTTGTCGGTCAGAAATAGACAGGCACAATATTCGAAATTGTTTCAAGGTTAAGTATCAATGACGGAAAATCTTGGGTAGTATGGGTTTCAGGTCAATAATACTATTACTCTATAATCTCTTTTGATTCCGGAATACTATTTCACTTATCATTCATTTCTACCATTCTCTATTCAATTATTGTTTTATTTGTAACATCTGGTTAACGCTTTTGATTGATTCACATGTTGTGTCCTTTAGTCTGATAGTGATACTGTATCTTTTTCATTGGAATAGATGTGCAAGAAAAGTGTAAATATTCAGTAAACATTTCTATCGATCTGTTTTTTGCACATTCATATTTTCATAGTTGAAATCGTGAGTCAATTGAAGCTAGACCACCATGGAAAACCTGGAAGCACTGGATGGTTGTTTCGTCCTATTACGAGACTCCACAGCAGTGCGCGTCCACGATCCCGCACCCGCGAGATTCGAACGTAGGACCTACCAGCTTCGCGCCGGAGTACTTAACCGATAGACCATATTTATTGTATAATACGTAGTCTTAGCTACGTATGCAACGTTTCATGGTGTAGGAGTAGGTTGGAAGAAAGCTAGGGGTGGCCAGACCAAAACGTGGCACAAATCAATGAAGTCACTGACAAGTGGACTGGGCCATGTTGGTAGGTGTAGACTACCTGGTTGGGATTCGCGAGATGACAGCAACCGATGGTTAGAGACCTTGAATGACATGGCTCAAAATCGTTTACAATGGCGAAGGTGCATTCACTCTTTGGGTTCTACTGAATTCTAATCTTCTGAATTCCTCATGTCTTTATCTTTTTCTCTTTCCAAATTTATTTCACTGTACTATACTCCTTCAATAATTTCTTCAAACCCTAATCTTTTGGATTTCCGATTATACTCCTACTACTTCTACCACTATGGGATTTGAATCGACAACTGCATCTGTGTGCTAATGTGGTATGGCAACTCGAACTGATGTACGTACGTATGAAGTTCTACGTTGTGACTGAATGACTGACGTAGTCTTAGTGTGTCGTATTTTATTTACACTAGTCTACTATTGTTTACAAAATGAAGGTCTCTTAAAGAAATATTGTCTAATGGTTGACTACAAACATTTAGGTCGCAAATGATATCACAACTATATGAATATTACTATTACATTGTTATATATTATTAATCATATGTTGAATAAAATGATTCATAAATTCACTTAGTATTGTTTGTTTGAATCTTCCCATTGATGTACATCCAGCTGACGAGTCCCAAATAGGACGAAACACACATCCTGGATTCCACTGCTAGCCACTATCCATCTTTGCTTATCATGCTTGTGAATTAAGGCTATATCGAGGCAATGCGCACAGTATAGACATGTATCAATTAGAGACTGACCAGTTGCAGTCCTAAAACATCAATGAGAAGATTCAAACAAACAATACTACGTGAATTTCAACTTCACCCCATTGCACAAGCAAGTGGCTATAAGGACTCTGTGTTCGAGTGGATAACGCGGTGGCGTTTGAAGCGAAAGGTACTGGGCTCGAGTCCCAGAGTGAAGATCAACTCTTAGATGCAGGTACATCTGGCTGACGAGTCCTGAATAGGACGAAACGCGCGTCCTGCATTTCACTGCTAGCCACTATCCATCTTTGCTTAAAATGATTAACAGTTGTATTGCATGAATTACAATTTAATTGGTGATCAATTTTTGTCTGTATTCAGTAGCAAAGCTCTATCAGTGTTTTAGGGTTTAACATTTTTTATCCTGTTTCCTAACAGGAAAGAAGTCATGTGTACGGTGGGATATAGCTTTTCAAGTGCTTTATAGGAGAATAGTATAATCTAGATATAATGGTATTCAGCAGTATGATATATTGGGATCTCGAACCTTTATATTTTTGTTCATTATTTACGCTAAAAGTATTCGATTTTGTTTAAATATTATTCAATTTACTTTCTTTGCAATGTTGGAACTTCAAATAATTAGCCTTCTATGTCAACAGTTCCTGAAGAGCGTTATCGTGATAGATATACTTAATCACTTACATCATTATGACAAGTGGTATTTAGAAATAATATGGTTGTTTCTTCGTATATTGTTCAGTTTAATGGACTGAAATGAATTAGTTAATAAGAAATTATGATCATAGTTTCCTGGGTTTGAGTCCTGAAACGGAACAAAGCAGTTCAGTATATTGTTGTATTTCATATCAACATTGTAAAAATACCGTTTTCGCAATTCACAAGTACTAATATATGAAATAATGCTGTGTATATCTCATATGTATGCTCATATCTGCAAAGTTTACCTTGTTATAGCTTCTTGATAATGGTAGATATGAAAGAAAAGTGGTTCATAAATGTTTATTTCGATTGTATTGCTGATCAAACTCTTGATAACATTTGTTCTGTAGAAGTGATTGGTTAAGATTTTATTCTAAAGTTGACATAGTTTCTGTGTATTTTGTATTTAGTTTAATTCAGATCTGTATCATGAAGAAGCAATTTTAATCTTAAGGTATAAGGGAAGATAAAGAGTGTATACACCTACGCCATTGTGATCGATTCTGAGCCATGTCACCTAGAGTCTCCGACCATTGGTTACGATAGTTACGCGGACACCAACCAGGTAGTCTGCATCTACCAACATGGCTCAGACTAGAAGTTAGTGACTTCAAACACTGATGACACGTTTTGGTTTGGCTGACAACTTACGTCACCTATGGCGAAGACGAGATATCCGTCTATCAATTAAGGGACGAGTATACTGCGCAGCAGTTCGCTCTGTTATACTTTACGGCTGTGAAACATGGCCATTAAGAGTAGAAGATACTCGTAAGTTACTAGTATTTGACCACAGATGCCTTAGAAATATTGCTCGCATCTGCTGGGATCACCGGGTAAGTAATAGTGAGATTAGACACAGGGTATTAGGAAATGATGGTGAATCAGTTGATGAGGTGATGAATCTTTATCGACTGAGATGGTTAGGGCACGTGTTATAAAAGGAACCCTGATGACTGCATTACACTTTTCATGTTTCGTATATATTTGATTATGGGATACATATAAATCAGTATAAATGTTCATATATTTTCCTGCATTACTTGGATACCAGATAGTTGGACGTAGATGATAATAATTCCTGGACCTACGTATCATGTTAGTTACTATATATCGACAAGGTTTATTCGAAAGGTTAGAGAAACTGTTACTCTTTAACGGATTTAAACCCATTTATAGTCTAACGGTTTGTAATTAAATTCTAATTATGGCAGATTCTGAATAGTCATATAACCGATCAAACATTTACTCTACATTTATCATAACCAATTGAATAGTAGTTTCAGTCTTCTGATTGTCCTATTCCATTGGTATCTACTCATTTTTACTTGATTATAACTAGTTAAATTATCACATTTGACTTCCAGTTAAATATTTGCTTCATACAGAATAAGTATGTTTTTCATTTGGGTCAATATCAAACTACATTGTCACCATGTACTTCTTACGAATGTTGTAAATCAACTATACTTAGGCCCCAACTCCGTCTGTAGCTCCTCCGGGGGCTACTGCCGGTTCCAAGCCCGGGTAAAGGAGGAGGGTTGGGTATGGGGTTAGCGACCCCATCCCGTAAAAAACCGAATCGCTGAAAACATGCAAACCAGAAAAAATTATTCAAATCATTTAAGTAGACCCCAGTGAAAAAAAACATAGTCTCACATACACTACGTGCCGTTTTTTTATTGATGATTTACAGAAATGTAACTTCAATAAGCGTTATCTTGTCATCGTTTTATGAAAATTCTCTTCATTTCAGTCTCCTCCACATATTAACCGTATTCACTCAGAAAAAACATTTGATCTAATGAATTCAATCCGTGCAAAGTTTCAACGATTTCATTCTACGACGGAATTGTTAAATGAAGCAGGAGTAACAAATGAAATACACACCTCTAAACAACAAGCCGCTGAAGGTTAGCGATTATTATGATTAGATACCTGTTTGTGTTTGCAGGTATAGTGTGAAGTTTTAACCGGTTATTTTAGCTTTTAGTCTAATCGAAATTCAAGGTTGTTTCTCAACATCATTAAAAAGTGACCATGATCTACGTTGGCGTGCAATTTTTACGTGGGTTTAGTCGATCGATAAATAAACAGCAAAAATCACTACTGATTTGGAACGTGCCAGTGAATGTAAAATCCGTGATTCAGACCAGCGTAATAATCGTGTTCTGTGGTTGAAAACGTTGGATGACATGTATCAAGGTCATTTAGATTCTCGTTTGTAGTATTATTTCATACTTTGTATTCCGGGAAAATATTCCTTGTTTGCTGATTTCATCTCATTGAGTTGATGCAATGGACGATGACTTAGGCCGATGGATATTCGTGCCGGATACTTTGTTGTTGATCACCGATAGATTGTTTAGTGCTCAACAAAGAAGAGATATGACATTTTCAAAAGTTGGTTGTTTGGCAGTTGACAAATGAATAAACAGGGTATTGTTTTTTCAGCCAAGTCGTTTAACTGAAACTTCTGTCGATCAGATAATTATCTTGGAGACGATAGTCAAAGTAAACGATACCGTTTACTTGAAAGTGGATTTACATTGACTAGTAAAATCTGTTTTGACGATCTATCCCCTAGTTTGACTACTAACTAATGTATAGATATCTGGTAAACAGTGTTTGTTATTCCCGTTTTCCTAAAGCCATTTTCTAAACTACCTGTTGAAGCTTTTAATATTTGAACTTTGTGTCAGATAGGACAACAAGTTTCTTTATCTTGGACTCTAGAATTTCGTGTCATCGATGTATGCTGTCTGCGAAACGCTCATACGGTCATTAATTTGACCTTACCACATCAACGTAAAGAACCGATACTATTTATGTCCCGAGTATCTGGAGTTCCCACTGCCACTTTTTGTGACATCACCGATAGAAGCCCTTACGAACCAATGGTGCACATGGAATCCAGTATCCTAAAAAAGAAACAAATAGCGCATGAATTTATTGTTGGTCATCGGCCACCACGGGACTGCATCTCCGAAGATTGCTCCACTGCCTTGTGAATTAAACCTCTAAGTCGGAGGCTCGATGTGTGGCCCCTTAAGGAAACCACTTCAGTTTGGGCACCTAGGCAATATCACAGCCCTCACACAAATCAGTGATAAGTACTACTGATTTGATTGTTATTGTTTTTCGCATATGTATTCGGTGTTCCCTTTCACCAATCTTTATATGTTCGAATAAATAAATGCATTTGTTCAAAAGCAAAACAGTCTATGTTAGACAAGACTACAATAGACAGTCTCTTGTGCACTGCCCGACTAAACAGGATGGTAAGAACTCGAAAAGATAAAGATACACGCCGTTGCCTTTCCGTTGTTTCTGCATACTCTTCCACTGACTGCAGCTCAGATGAAATTAAAGATGAGTTCTACAGGAAGCTATCCAACCTCCTTCAAAAAGCTGAACGTTCCGACATAGCAATAGTGGCAGGCGATTTTAATGAATAATTAGGTAGGCTAAACCAAACCGAAAGGCACTAAGACGGATGTTGTGTTGTTGCAGCTCAGATAATGGTGACCAACTTGAAATGTACGGGGAAACATCATCTGACGTGATGACCGTCACAATGAACTCATTGATGTGCTCAAATAGACCACATTGCCACTAGTCATCGTTGGAAAGGCTCGACAGAAGACTGCTGGTCATTTTGGAGCACATGTTGATGTTCGGATTATACCTTATTTTGAGCATGTATTTATCTGCAACTTACTGGATTTAGAAAGGTCACGGCAAGGAAGGTTGTTTGTACAGTCTTAGCAGTTAGATTAACTAAGCTTCTAGCTTAAGTCTGGAAACGGGTCCGTAATCCTATCTGATTGGTCTCGACCATTAATTATCCCAGGCTATGAGAAAGCGCGAAAAGCATTTTCTAATAATCTCAGCAACAATACAAGCGTGTTTGGTTTGCTGATTCCTCCATCCGAACGCAAAATTTTGCTTCAAGATTGGCTTGCGTCAGCGTCTGTGTTAACAGTGGCGTGATAAATAGTTGGGCATGTCGACTGGTTCAATTATCTTTTGAATCTCATTAGTCCTGATAGTCTAGTTGTAGTGTAATGTGAAACATGGCTAGTAATAATGAAGAATATTCGTCGGTTAGTACTATTCGATACATAGTGTCTTTGAAGCATCGCTCCTGTATTTCGGGACCACAAACTAAGCAGTGAACTGGGTTAACATTTCAATACCAGGTTACTATAGGAAATCGATTGAAGAGATTGTAAGTCTTTATTAACTGTAGTGATTCAGACATCGATTACGTGTACTCCTCTAGCCTCTACCGCAACAGGTAACGTCGTCTGGTGTAGGAGTAGGCCGGAATACGTCAGTGACAGTCAAACCCAAACACGATACCAGTAGATGAAGTCATTAACAATTAGACTGAGTCACATTAATCAGTACAGATCATTATCAATGGTTATAGACTTTAAATGACATGGCTCAAAATCCTTTGCAATGACGCAGGTACATGCGTTCTTCCTCTTATCCTCGAATTCTCAGATTCTAAACTCTTCATAACCTGTTTTTCTTTTTTTTACTAATTTATATTTTGTCGAATCGCGTCTTCGATTCTTAAGCTTTCCTATTACCACTGATATCGTTACTACATCTAGTGTTGTGGGATTCGGTCTGACAATTTTAACCTCTCTGTGCAGATGGGTTGTGACAATTTGGACCAATGTTCATACGTACCAGGTTCGACTCTGTGACTGGATGACCCGACCGTTGCTGCTACCTTGACGTGGTGGTCGGGCTTGCCTATCGTGATGAAGCAATCGAGCTGTGCTGGCTGGAACAATCGTTCCTCGAGGTCCTACCATGTCAGACAGGTCGGTTGAAGACCGGTAAGACTAAAAGCAGCAAACCCAAGGTCCGAAGTCGTACTGATGACTGTACAGAGGTGTGACGGCAGTAAGGTGTTTCCTTCAGACAACCAACATGACAGCAATGCTGCCTTTCCACAAGGAGGGGTGGGGTTAGAAAAGGTCAACCCTAAAAATGCACACCTCGCCTTATCCCACAGATATCCATCTCCGGCGGTAAGGTTTTTTGAAGAACGGTGCTAACACAAAAAGGTCGTGTGTGACCAACCTCAAGCAGTTGTCCCTTGGGCACTGCGGTCACACTCTCAGGTCATTAAAACCACTTCTAACCCAATTTCCTTTTCAGGTACCTCTAGAAGAACCCTTCCACGGTGTGGGTAACCGGGAAGTGATAACTGCCCTTATACCTCTAACAGCACTCCAAACCACTGTATTCATTATCAATCTCCTTCTTCAATTCCTACTATTCCTTCTACCTTGACTTTCAACACTAAACTTCCTCTCTCTGTTTCGTCCTCAAGTGTCACCATGGCCAACGATTCTAGTGCGCGAAACTCTGTCCCAGGTCTACTAAAACCTCGTTCCAAACTACACATTGGAGCCTTCAACGTACGTACCCTATGCCAAATCGGTCAACAGGCCTCCTTAGCTAAAACCCTAGAATCTCGTACCATCGATGTATGCTGTGTCTCCGAAACACGCATACAGGATCCCAGTGTGGTCATTCACTTGACCTCACCTCGCCAAAATGGACAGCCAACGAAATACACCCTCCGTGTATCTGGCGTCCCGTTGTCTAGTTCTCGCGGACTTGCGGGTGTAGGCATAGCACTAAGTACAAGGGCAGAACAGGCACTATTAGAATGGATCCCCGTTAACAGTCACCTGTGTGCTGTCTGGCTAAATGGCTCCGTAAGAACTCGGAGGAACAGGAACACACGTCGTTGCCTTTTCGTCGTTTCTGCCTACGCTCCCACTGACTGCAGCCATGATGAAGTGAAAGATGACTTTTACAGAAAACTCTCTGAGCTTTTTCAGAAAGCTAAGCGCTCAGACATAGTAGTCGTAGCGGGTGACTTTAATGCCCAGGTAGGCAGCCTGAATCAAACAGAAAGACTTTTAGGTGGGTGTTTTAGTATTCCGGCTGAACGAACCGATTATGGTGATCGTCTGTTGCAACTATGCTCAGACAATCGTTTATTTCTAGCAAGCACTAATTTTAAGCATAAGGAGAGACATCATCTAACATGGCGACCACCTGCACCAAACCAACGATGGACTCAAATAGACCATATTGTCATCAGTCATCGTTGGAGAGGCTCAATAGAAGATTGTCGCTCGTATTGGAATACTTGTTTAGACTCTGATCACGCTTTAATACGAGCACGCATTTGTCTGCGCCTCAATGGACGCAGGAAAAGTACACTAAGAAGACCCATTAGGATTGAACTGGAGGACGAGAAAGCCAAATGCGAATTCCAGGAGCAACTGAGTTCACATCTAGGCAGTTCTGTAAACGAGACTGACCCAGATGCTGCTTGGAAAGACACACGAACAGCTGTGGAAACAGCAGTAACATCTATTAGTAATTTAAACCATAGGGCTCCAAAAAACCAATGGATTTCTTCTAAGTCTATTTCACTGATGGATTCGCGTAAACTCATCCCATCAGGCTCTTAACATGACGAAGAGCGTAAAGAAATTAGATCTAGGTTAACTAAAAGTCTAAGGAACGATCGTGAGCAGTGGTGGGCAACGAAAGCAAAAGAGATGGAAAAGGCAGCGGCTGTAGGGAACACCAGGCAACTATTCAGACTAATAAAAGAAACCGGAATTAAGAAGTCAAGTGTAAGTGAGACAATCTCGGAAAAGAACGGAACCCTTATCTGCTCTCAACCCAAACGTTTAGAACGATGGGCGGAACACTTTAAGGAGCAGTTTAGCTGGCCAGTCTAGCTGCACAACTACCCACTACTCCTAGAAAACCTGAATGGAACATTGAAGTAGGCCCCCGACCCTACTTGAAGTTCAAAAAGCTATAAGTAATCTGAAACGAGGAAGAGCAGCTGGTCCTGATGGATTGGTTCCAGAGGTCTTTAAATATGGTGGTCCAATTTTAGCGATTAGGTTGACTAATATTCTGGCTAAAATCTGGGAGACGGATGTAATCCCATCCGACTGGTCACAATCACTGATTGTCCCAATATATTAAAAGGGGTCAAAATCATCCTGCGATAACCATAGAGGGATTAGTCTGACCAACATAGTATCTAAAATACTAGCCTCAATAATTATCGGGCGCCTAACTAAGACTCGTGAACTGCAAACACGAGAAAATCAGGCTGGCTTCAGACCACTAAGTGACTTAGAATACGTAGATGACATAGTCCTGTTCGGTGAAGACGCTAGCAAAATGCTGAATCTTCTGTTGGAACTTAGTAATAATGCCAGGATGTTTGGGATGCGTTTCTCCCCATCCAAATGTAAATTGTTACTCCAGGACTGGCCTGCGTCAACACCTGAACTAAGGATAGGGAGTGAAGTAGTCGAACGCGTTGACAACTTCACTTATCTTGGAAGTGTGATCAGCCCTAATGGGTTGGTGTTTGACGAAATCTCATCACGGATTCGAAAAGCTCGTTTTTCTTTTGCCAACTTACGTCACCTATGGCGAAGACGAGATATCCGTCTATCAATTAAGGAACGAGTATACTGCGCAGCAGTTTGCTCTGTTATACTTTACGGTTGTGAAACATAGCCATTAAGAGTAGAAGATACTCGTAGGTTACTAGTATTTGACCACAGATGCCTTAGAAATATTGCACGCATCTGCTGGGATCACCGGGTAAGTAATAGTGAGGTTAGACACAGGGTATTAGGAAATGATGGTGAATCAGTTGATGAGGTGATGAATCTTTATCGACTGAGATGGTTGGGCCACGTGTTACGTATGCCTGAACACCGATTACCACGACGCGCTATGATGACCAGTGTTGGGGACGGTTGGAAGAGAGTTAGGGGTGGCCAAACCAAAACATGGCGTCAGTGTTTGAAGTCATTAACTTCTAGTCTGAGCCATTTTGGCATATGCAGACTACCTGGTTGGGGTCCTCGTGACTATCGTAACCAATGGTTGGAGACTCTAGGTGACATGGCTCAGAATCTATCACAATGGCGTAGGTGTATACACTCTTTATCTTCCCTTTAACCTTGAGACTAAAATTGCTTCATATCTCTCTTCCTTCCTGTACTATATCCTTATATGCAACCTATAATTTATATACTACTACCAACACTAAATTAACTTCTATGAATCCGGTGTTCGTCTTGTTGTACTAACGAGGTATGGCAACTTGGACCGATGCATATATGTGCCTGGTCCTACGTTGTAGCTGACTGACTGGATGATTGATACATTGTTTCTTAGTTTCTTGTATTATGAAATGAAATAGGTTAATAGCTTGTTTTTAATAATTGGTTGTCGATTTTTTTCTGTGGTCAACCGTAAATTCTTGATATTTTGAAGATAGTTAGAGATATCGTATTGTATTCAAACTCACGGTATGGAATACGACTGATTGATATTTCTCAGATGGAAATGATTGTTGAATACTGGTAAGGTGCAGTTAGTTTATTAAGAGTGATTATTTTAGTCTAAGGTAATCGGCCAGTTAAGTGCACCGATTTTCATAGGTTGTGAAACCTAAGTTAGTCGGTATAATGTGTAAGTCATCTTCTAACAACTATCTTTTGCTATTAATCCAACCAGTTGAAAAATAACAATCATTGAGTTTCCTTCTATTAATCTGATCATTAAATGTTTGAATTTATCTCACTATTCATTCATCCTATTACCCTACTTTTCGAACTCCAGTTTATTATCGTCATAAATACACATTTGCCGATCCAATATTGGACATAATTGTACGTCAGTTCTGTCTGGTTGGTCAATAATTTGCTGTATTATATGTAAAGTCCCAGGATATTATTTTGCACTTTATTGTTTGTTTTTTTAAATCGTTTCTTTTTTCAGCTGTTCTCAACTCTGTCCTATCTATGCGTTTAATGCAAGATGAAAAGAATCATTCATTGTTAGATTACGTCACAGATTGGCATCATGGTATGTATCTATTACATTTTACTTTCTATCTTTCTTTATAATTAGTATCTCTATTCAAAGTTATGCTGGATAATGTAAAATTCAACCCCATAAATATTTTGAAATATTCAAAGATCATTTACTTAGACTATTACTACATGCCTCCAAATGCCCAGGTACGGCCTAGAGTGGGGAGAGTCTGCTCTCCCTCTCGAAATGCCCTCACATGATCACGCGTATATAGCCTATGCCACGGAAGTTCTACTCACTTCCTTCTCGTGGCTGAGGTGTTATTTACAAAATTGAGAGGACGAAGAGCGAATGTCCGGCGCTTTAACAGGGTTGGTGGACACGGAAAGTTCACCAAGGGGAGTTGGGAAACCCTGATTCCAAACCAATGGTACACATGGGCTCCATTATGCTGAAGGAACAAATGACGTATGAGTCAATCGTTGTCAGTAGCTACCATGGGACTTCATCTCCTCACGATGCTCCACTGCCTTATGGATCAGACCTTTAGGTCAAAGGCTCCGGATGTAGCCCCCTAAGAAAATCACCTGCTTCAGTTTGGCACCTGGGCAGTATCCAAGCTCTCACACAAATCAAATGAGATTTGTGTGACGCATATATATCTGGTGCCTGTTTGTACCAATATTTTTGTGTTCTGATCAAATATTTTCTTTTCCTTTCTTACTCCACATGTAAATTACAATAATCATTGAATAGAACAATTTAAGTGACTTATTTAGATTGAATTGTTGTTTTCTATTTTGTTTTTGTAAATGAAAAAATAAAGACAACCATCTGGGGTAAACCTTCTTTACAAATTTTTTCTTTAACAGATTCTAGATCACTTTCAATGTTACCTGTCAATGAGCATTTGTTAGTTTATCTACAAAATTATGATTCTAACCAAGTAAGTTTTTTTCAAATTTATAATAGCTGTATATTTTGAATTCATTTGACTTATGAAGTATACTCTTCCTAATGATATATAGTTTAAATCATGAGTCAATTGAAGCTAGACCACCATGGAAAAGTGTTCGAATCTCGCGCGGCGGGATTGTGGACGCGGACTGTTAAGGAGTCCCACAATTAGACGAAATGGCCGTCCATTGCTTTCAGGTTTTCTATGGTGGTCTAGCTTCAAATGACTCACGACTGCAACTATAGAAAATTACTAAAATCTTCAAAAAACCTTTTCTTCTTAATGTCTTTGTTTAATTTTTTGTATGTCCTAGCTATACTATTTAATTATACTCAGTAGTGTGAATTATATCCCATCATTTATAGGACTTGTATAATGTTGCTGGGTGATTTGTTTTTTCTCTCAGTAAATCATCTTATTCTTCCTCATACTTTTAGTTCTATGTTTTAATCCATTATTATACTTAAACCAATATTTTATTTCTTCCCTTAGTTCCCCATGTAGCTACTTCTCTCTGGAAAACTTGTTATATTAATATATTTACCTCATTCATTTAATTGTCCGTAATAATTAGATGTCTGTTTAGATCCACCTGTTAACTGTAATATTTTAATGCTTTATGTAAAAAGTAAGTTAAAAGGATGATTTAATGAATGGTTAGCGTTTTTTTAGCGAGTTGGTTTTCTACGGGATGGCGTCGCTAACCCCATGCCCAACCCTCCTCCTTTACCCGGGCTTGGGACCGGCAGTAGCCCCCGGAGGAGCTACAGGCGGAGTTATATATCTATATATTTTTTAGGAATACACAGTGTTAGTAGAGCCACTTGCGTGTGAATATTGTTAAAGTCCTATTCTACTCAAGGGATGTTTTATTTTTAATAGAAATATTAGATTAAAAAGTTTTTTTTATGGTAACATATCTACAGTTACTTTCTATTATTCTATCTATTCCAGGTGATTTATGCATTTTCTCGTCTTCGATCAATTCTATCCATTGCACCTGGTTTATTTGTTCGTTCACTTGCATCATGTACAATGAATTCAATGTTTTGTTACAATTTATATGGTTTAAAATTTATTGAACTTCTATCAAGACATCGTCGTTCTATGGCTGGTTGTAATTTCTTCACTGCTGCCAGTTCAGAAGAATTAAGTCAATCACAACAAAATTATACAAATTTACTGGAATTAATTATGGATTTATGTTTACAATATATGTGTAGTTATTTGCCATTTATTACAGTGACGACAACAACAACACCAACTGTCAATACTACTGTTGTTGATGATGATGATCACAACAATCGTACTACCTCATCCATGACTAACACTAGTAAATCTTCCATTCAATTCAGTCATCGTTTTGGCTATTCTAAACGTGAATTTCGTTCTAATCAATATGTACAGAATACAGCAGCAGAGATTTTAACATTGATTGTTGAAGTAAGCTGATTGAAATTATATTTATTTTATTTATTTATTTATACACATAAATATTGGTACAAACATGCACCAGATTCATATGCGCCTCACAAATCTCATTTGGTTTGTGTGAGAGCTTGGATACTGCCCAAGTGCCAAAAACTGATACAGGTGGTTTTCTTAGAGGGCTACACCCGGAGCCTTTGACCCAAAGGTCTGATCCACAAGGCAATGGAGCATCGTAAGGAGATGAAGTCCCATAGTATCCGGTGACCACCGATTGACTCATACGTCATTTGTTCCTTCAGCATAATGGAGCCCATGTGTACCATTGGTTTGGAATCAGGGTTTCCCAACTCCCCTTGGTGAACTTTCCGTGTCCACCAACCCTATTAAAGCGCTGGACATTCGCTTTTCGTCCTCTCAATTTTGTAAATAACACCTCAGCCACGAGAAGGAAGTGAGTAGAACTTCCGTGGCATAGGCTGTATACGCGTTGCCATGTGAGAGCATTTCAAGAAGGAGAGCGGACTCACTCCACTCTAGGCCGTACCAGGGCATTTTTGGGGCATCAAAATTATATAATATAAGGAAAAGTGTTTTCTTTAAAAATTGTGTGTGTTTTAGTTTATGTTTACAAACAAAACATGATGGATTAGTTTATCTTCTAAGCTTTATGTTTTTAATAACTGACGCTTATTCATTCATCCTATTTTGCTGATAATAATCCTTTGTAGTTATAACATATGTGAATCTTTTTAAGCAATCAATACTGGACAAACATACATACCATGTGAATAAATCTCTTTCTGTCTCAAAGATTTACTCAGATCTGAGTCACAATTTTATATGAGACCGGTAAAAGTAGATAGTACGTTTTGTATTTGCAATCAAGTGTTTAAATGTTAGGATCTCTAAGACATTTCCTACCATTCACTAACTTACACCTTTTACCCCTCGTGGAGAAGCATAGGCCATAGACCAGCACTCTTCATCCAACCCTATGCTGGGCAATCGTGTCCATTTACTATACGATACAAAATATAAATTTTGTCGATAGAACGTTTTAATGATATACTTAAGAATACTGATTTAAACGTTCTTCAAAGTTCTATATTATTGTTATCAGCAGTTCAAACGTTTCTTAGAGTTGTATCCGACTTTTTGTAATTGGAGCAGTTATGTTCAATATTGGAACCTTAATACAATGTTTTTTTCTGTATTTCAGCAATTAATATCGATACAAGATGAATCTTTTAATTCATCACTGATAAATTCAACTTTAAAGTCCAACTCAAGTTTGCCCAATGTTAAGAATACCTCTTCTGGTACACGTATACCAGAATTATCGTCATCATCATCAGTATATTTAACTGGATCTACAAATCCAAATGTTGTTCCTCCTAATACAATTACATTTTCATCTATGATACAACAAGCTAATGGACGTCGTCTTGTACAAAATACTATACATCATACTTGTTTACCATCTGTTGTTTTACATTGTTTAGCTTCTTGTATTATGAAAGTACATTGGCCTAAAACGGATAAAAATTGGTCAGATTATTCAATGCCAAATGGAATCAAGTATGAATAATTTTCATAGTTTAAAATAGTTGTATATTAGAGTAATGTTCACTAAGCTCTAGAAAGTTTGGATTCCAGTACCCTTTTATTACCATCCCGACTACAGTCTAAAAATGTCTAGATGCTTTTATGTTAGTTTCTTTAAAAATTGACGAAGTCAGAATAATTTCAATGTAACAGTATAAGTCTTGAGTGCTATTAAATGTATGAAGACAGTTATCACTTCCCGGTTACCCACACCGTGGAAGGGTTCTTCTAGAGGTATCTGAAAAGAAAATGGATTATAAGTGGTCTTAATGACCTGAGAGTGTGACCGCAGTGCCAAAGGGACAACTGCTTGAGGTCGGTCACGCACGACCTTTTTGTGGGGGATTTTTGACGTGTTAGCTCCGTTCTTCAAATGACCTTACCACCGGAGACGGATATCCGTGGGATAAGGCGAGGTGTGTATTTTTAGGGTTGACCTTTTCTAACCCCACCCCTCCTTGTGGAATGGCAGCATTGCTGTCATGTTGGTTGTCTGAAGGAAACACCTTACTGCCGTCACACCTCTGTACAGTCATCAGTACGACTTCGGACCTTGGGTTTGCTGCTTTTAGTCTTGCCGGTCTTCAACCGACCTGTCTGACATGGTAGGACCTCGAGGAACGATTTTCCAAGCCAGTATAGCTCGATTGGTTCATCACGATAGACAAACCCGACCACCACGTCAAGATAGCGGCAACGGTAACTGTTTTCATCATTGGCAACACAAGCTTTGCCCTCATGAATAATGTGAGCTTTTAAATGTAAACGTTTTCTGTTAATTGAATTATGTTGCGAGTTACTATGATCAAAGTTTGTTAGCTAACTCAATTTATGTTAAACGCTTATCTTTGATAGACTGATGATTAGAAGAAAACCTAAATTACGGTTTGTTTTAAAGCAACAGCAAATATTACACTCCAGTGATTTTTAAAGCGATATCAGTCTCATATCCTAAAAATAGTTTTTATGTATAACAACCTGCAAAGTTAATTATCTATTCTTTGTCCCGAATGGGACGAAACACGCGTCCTAGATTCTACTGCTAGCCACTATCCATCTTTGCCTATAATGTTTGTGTGATATAGTTTAAGTCTAATTGGTGCTTTTATTTTATTAGTATGCAGTAATAGGTACCATTCAGTATTGTTGATTGGGTGAAGTGTGGTGTATGCTACGTATGTTGACAGATGTAAGTAGTATGTAACACCACTCAGAAATAGAATACCTTTCTAAAGAAGATTGAGGAGATTAAACTAAAAAAGTACAGAAAGAGAATCAGAATAAAAGCAGAATTAGAAGAATCATGAAGGATGTAAAGGACAACTGATGGGAGATGTGCAAATGAAGCATTTAATGTATGATTTTCATAATTTACGAAGGCACTTTAATTTTGCACTCGACACTAAATTGGTCTTCCCCACTACAGAAGTACTAGTATTTCGTTTAATTACGATCAGCCTATTTCAGTTCTGTCCTATATCCTTAATTGTTTTGGCATGTTAGATGAAGTGCCCACATCCGATGATCATCTATTTAAATGATTTATTTGGAATAAGTTTTAATCAGTTAGTGTAGATTTGAAAATTAACCGGCTATATGTACTTGAAGTGTAACTGTCGCACCTCATGTTGTTCATTATTAGTATGTTGGGGATGTTAGATCCCCATAACTCATTTGGTAAATGACTTATTTTTGTAATTTTATTTTGAAAATTTGAATTTCGTTGTTTTCGCGCCAAGAGCGCTCTTTTCACCTTCATGTCGTAATTTCCACTTGGGAGAATCCTAAACACTATTGGCTCGTTGTATCTTTTAGTATACTATTTTGTAAAGTTTTCCCAAGGGCATTTTTATGCTGTATATATACGTTTGGTTTCTTCCTGTTGTGATTTCTTGTGCTTCTGACTGCTAAAACGGAATATATTTTACCCCACTTCCGTTTTGGAGTTCTCACTCCACTTAGCGGAGCCTGGGTCGACGGATCAGAATAGCCTATCGTGTCACTATGTCTTTGATCTTCATCCCGTTACCGTGTAAGGAGACCTCGTAATTAGCATCAAGCATATCATAGTAGTAAATATAAAAAAATCTAATTTAATTCACTTTCACTTATATTCATGTTTCCTTGTTATCCTTACACAGGCAACTACCAATTTGTTTACAATTAATACTTGTCAATGATATCTTATCGAGCTTGTCAAAATCATTTCAAACTGCCCAGTTACAAACATTTTTGAAACTTTTCAATGCAATTCTTCATCTGAAACCATGGTATGGTTATTGTGATCGTATGTCTTTAGTGAAACATCATCAAATATCTCAACAAACATCAACAGAATTATGTAATAGTAGTAATCATTTATTATGGCCAGTTAGTCCAAGTATCCTCCTGTTAGATAATGAATTAACAAGTTATGATTTATTGACTCATTATATGACTGATATCTGGTCAATAGCTTGTAATAAATTACCTAATGCCCTAAATCATGAACCCTTATTTCGTGCCAATTGTTTAACAACATTATGGTGGTCTAGCTCTTCGAAAAGTAGTTCTTCAATGATAAGCATTGAAAAAGATCAAGTGAATTTATTCATTGAATTATTATCGATTGGATTATTATCACCATCACCGCCATCATCATCGAATGACAATAGTAACTATACAAGTTTTTTCACAGCTCGTTTAGATTTACATTCATTATGGTATAGTTTTGTATTTAAAAGTTTATCATATTGGGGTTGGTTTATTGGATCATTAATTCGTGTAACTATGAAACAAATATGTTCAAGTTTAAATAAACTATGTGATCGAGCTTATCAAGATATAAAAACACGATATATGAATAGTACTAGGTAAGTTCTATTCTTGATCAAATCTAATGTTTAATGGAGATGGTTTGTAATGATATTTATGTATGTACATTTGACTAGTCACTAAGTGATAACCACTATCATGTTTGTCTAGTCCGCTCTATCTCCCCGAATGCTCTCACATGGCCACATGTATATAGCCTCTGCCAGGGAAGTCCTACTCACTGTCTTCTCGTGGCACTACTGTTGTTTACGAAATTGAGAGAACGGAAAGTGAATGTCCAGCGCTTTAACCGGGTTGTTGGACACAAAAATTCCATCTAAGGGAGTTGGAAAACCCTGATTCTAAACCAATGGTGCACATGGGCTCCATTATTTTGAAGGAACAAATGGCGTGTGAATCAATCGTTGGTCACCGGCTATCATGAGACTGCATCTACTTAAGATGCTCTACTGCCTTGTGGATCATATCTTTAAGTCGAAGGCACCGAGTGTGGTCCCCTAAGAAAACCACCTGTTTCAGTTTGGGCACCCGGATAGTATCACAGCCCTTACACAAATCAAATGAGATTTGTGAGGCGCATATCTATCTGGTGCCCCTTAGCTAGCTCTGATTTTTTATTCCAAAAGGTTACTGCTACTGTCGTTTGAAGGGATTTAAGTCGAACCGTGTTATGACTTGACCTAGCCGTCGCCAATTTGTTATGTTTTTGACCTAGACTGTAGCCAATTGTTATGACTTGATCAAGGTCGTCGCTGATTCGTTATGACCTTACGAATTTTACAAGGACGTAATTCGCGTAAATTATCCACCTTCTACGACCTTCACACTGCGACAATGACGTTCGATTGGTATGAGTAATCTAGCGTCCTTATTGGTCCTTATCCGCCTAACCCGTCCACTTGAGTCCAGAACACCAATAGCAGCTGCTGTAATACGAATCGTTTTTTTCAAGCATACTTTGTTTATATATCAGACAGACAGGCCACATCATACCATAAAATAGAAAATAATATTTCTACAAAACCAGGCCAAATGAGGCTGTAAGCGTGGGAGACAATAATCAATAAAACTGAGTATAACATAGGGACAGTAAATCATATACTAATAATCAATAGGTCAAAATGAAGCTTACAATAAAATGAATATAGATATGGATAATCTAGTTACAATAAGAATGATAGTCCAATAGTAGGTCCTGCAAGTTACCCGTACTTATGTCTTCGCTACTACATAACAAACCGACTTTGTAAAAAAATTGTGACTGTTGAGGATTTGGTAGCGATGCTAAAAGTTCAAATATCCAGAACGGCCACCTCATTTATCTACCGACTGCTCTTATGCTCCAAATCATATTGGTCGGAGTTTTAGGAATTCATATTTTGTGCTCATAAATACCTCCCAGCATGTCTAAGTAAGTGTGATCAACACAGTAAATACCTCAATACTAGGCCATTTCGTTAATTTATTCATTTAAACACATAAATATTGGTACAAAGGTGCACCGAATACACATGCGCCACACAAGTCACTTCATTTGTGTGTGGGCTGTGATACTACCCGTTTGCCCAGACCAATGCAGGTGGTTTTCTTAGGGAGCCACACCCGGAGCCTTCGACTTAGAGGTCTGATCGACAAGACAGTGGGGCAGTCAGTCAGTCAGCTACAACGTATGACCAGGCACATTTATGCATCGGTCCAGTGGGGCGACGTCAAGCGATACAGTCTAATGGTAGCCGGCTACCAACGATTGGTCCATACGCCATTTCTTCCCTCAGGCTCCCTGAGCCCATGTACATCGTTGGTTTAGAATCATAGTTTTCCAACTTTCATAGGTGGATCCTTCCTATCCAGCATACCGATTAAAGCGCCGGACATTAGCTTTTCGTGCTCTCATTTTCGTAAACAACCCCCTTGCCGCTAGAATGCAGTGAGTAAAACTTACTTGACAGTGGCTGTATACGCGTAGCCATTTGAAAGCATTTCGAGAGAGAGGGCTGACTCTCTCCACCCTCGGCTTTACTAAAGCATTTGGGGGCTGAGGCCGACACCTCGACCGGGAATCGAACGCGGGCCTTCCACGTAACAGGCGGAGATACTTACCCCTATGCTATCGGGGTCATTTTTTGTACATACTACTCATAACCTCAGCATAAGTCAATCTTTCTCAAAAATTTGTTGCATCCGCAACTTTTCACTATTCACTTAGACTCATAGTCCTTCAAACGGTGGTAACTAAAGCTCTGTGTTCAGATGGAATACATTCAACCCCTTCCCTTAACTTGACTAACCTCGGTCAGTGAATCAATTCAAACCATAAAATGACCTGATTTGACTACAACCTTTCTTAATTAAATGGTCCGCGCAACTATGATAATTAATGGTCAGAGACTCTGTGTGACTTGTCTCAAAATCGATCAAAATGGCGTAGGTGTATACACTCCTTGTCTTTTGTTAAAGTGTGAGATTAAAATTACTTTATACCTTGCCTTATACGAACTAATTCTTTCTTTCTGTACTCTATCCTAATACACAATCTTTCTTTTATATATTACTACCATTGAGGTAACTACTTCTATGAATATGGTGTTGATCTTGGTGTGCCAATGAAGTGTAGTAACTCAGACCGATGCATGTATGTGCCGGTCCTACGTTGTAGTTGACTGACTATTTTGATCATTAATCTCACAATTCCAATTAACTCCACTTTCGTTCTCAATTTCGACCTTCCACCTGCCAACCAACCAAAATGAGGCGGGAATCATCATTTACTCTGTCGTAATCCATGACGGAGGTTATGTTTTTCTTTGTTACTTTTTCTGGCTTACATGAAAAATATAAAGTTTTCTACGATGGAAATATCATTTTTTCATGCAATGGACGCATCAAGTGTAACGCAATCAGTCATAATAGAAGAAAAATTACAACGCAGCAAAAGTCGTATCTCCGATTAATTCGTCCATAGAAAATTTTCCAATATATCCATAATTAAGTGACTGACTGAACGAGAACATAACTGTCATAACTAACTATGATACACTTGGATAAACTGACAACGTGGAGTCTATCCCAAACCTTCAGATTTCTCCTAATTGCATAATTAAATGACCCTTTAGTTTCTATATTTAAGCTTACCTTGTAAGTAAAGTTATAATTCCGCCTTCTGATTTATTCAGAGTCCTATGGTTGTGAATTAGTGGTTGTTCGCGAATCAGATAGTCTGTATGTACGTCAGATCACAGATAAATGAGTGTTAAACAAGAAGACTATATGATTGTTCTATACACAACAATTTACCTTTCCTTTCATCAGACTTTAAGATGATGAATTACTGTAAATTACATTAGATTGTGGTTAATTGAACTAGTTCTGCAATTACAAAGTGGCAGCTCTTCACTGTAAGATGAATTTATTACCTAAATGTAATCATATATGTTGCACACTTTGGTGCGACCATTACGTCTTTTTTCTTTTCTCTCTATTCTCATAGAAGATCACAATTATCAAATACAAGTGAATGGGAGCTTTTACCACCAGACTATACATTAACTGTATTAGCTTTGATTCAAGGTATTTGTCATACGTTTCTTCTGTCAGTTGGCAATTCTTCTTTACTGCTTACATCATCTAGAAAAGTGAATTCATTGCAACAAGCGAATGCATCATTGCGTAGTGGTGGTAATCCACCAACTGTTAGTCAATTAACTGGTCTCCCAGACTCAATAGAAGGTGCTTTGGAAATTGCTGAAATTCTTTATCATCATAAATTAAATCCACCAAATTCAAGTGGTCCTATACCAGAAGTTAGTAATACTGTACCAGCATTTGATCCTTTGTTTCCATCGCCTCTTACAGAGAATGTTGACCATTGTTCAAATACAATAAACTTTGTTTCTATGAATAATCCATCTGTGGACAATGTATCAAATTCGGAACCATCTGTGATATTAACCTCCGGAATCGGCGATGATAAGGTGGAGACAACAGAAATGTCAGTTCATTCTCCAAGCTCTACTGTAATATTTTTGAATCGTGTAAAAGTTAGTAGAACGTTTTCTTCTTTTATCTCATTATTTAGATTTCCGTTTGTCGTATTGGATGTCATTTTCTCAAACGATGTAATAATTTGTCCATTGAGTTTGAATAGTCTTATTACTTTTTGTATGAAAAGTATTTGCATTAAGAGTACTTTAGTTCCCCAGTAACATGAAATACTTTATTGACTTAATAAAACGATTTTTAAACTTATACTTACATCTTCATTTTAAAAAAGACCATTCAGTTCGAATACAGCTTTTGAATGTTAAAACTGACATCCATTATAGAGAAATCAGTTGTCTGATTCGTTTAGCCATTATATATATATATATATATATATATATATATATATATATATATATATATATATATATATATCAGTCAGTCTTGAGTGCTGTTAGAGGTATAAGGGCAGTTATCACTTTTCGGTTGCCCACACCGTGGAAGCGTTTTTCTAGAGATACCTGAAAAGAAAATTAGATTAAATGTGGTCTTAATGACCTGAGAGCGTGACCGCAGTGCCCAAGAGACAACTGCTTGAAGTCGGTCACACACGACCTTTTTGTGGGGGATTTTTGACGTGTTAGCTCCGTTCTTCAAAGGACCTTACCACCGGAGACGGATATCCGTGGGATAAGGTGAGGTGTGTATTTTTAGGGCCGACCTTTTCTAACCCCACCCCTCCTTGTGAAAAGGCAGTATCGTTGTTATGGCTGTTGTCTGGAGAAAAAACACCTTACTGCCGTCACACCTCTGTACAGTCAGCAGTACGACTTCGCCTTCGGACCTTTTGTTTACTGCTTTTAGTCTTACGGGTCTTCAACCGACCTGTCTGTCATGATAGGACCTTGTGGAACGATTTTTCCAGCCAGTATAGCTCGATTGGTTCATCACGATTGGCAAACCGTGACCACCACTTCAAGGTAGCAGCAACGGTCGGGATATATATATATATATATATATATATATACTGATCGTAGGAAATGTGTTGGACTCTAATCACTATAATTTTCTACAATTTAAATCTGAAACCTAATTATTATTCCTAATGGTTAATGTTTGTTTAATTGTTTACATTGTAAGCTGATCAGTTTCTTTTGGTATATATATAAACTTTGAACGAATTCCCCAATATTCCTAGTAGCTTTATTATTATTTAATTGTGACTATCAGTTTGTTCCCAGACTCATGTTCTGTGACCTAATAACTTAGCAAATTAAGATGTATTTTTCGACTAATCTACAGTCCGTCAATATCTTAGTGGGAACAGAGTTAAAATACACATAAAAATGAAATGTACGTAGCATATTTTACTACTATTGAACAACTAGTTATTAGTTCAAGCTTAGTTAGTCAGTCACAACGTAGAACCTGGTACGTATGTATATTGGTTCAAGTGGTCACAACCGACTGGCACAGATAAATGAAGTCTTTAGGCCTAATCTCGCAACACCAGATGTAGTAACGATTTCAGTGGTAATAGGAACGATTAGGAATCGAAGACGCGATTCGACAAAATATAAATTAGTAAAATAAAAAAGAAAAACAGGTTATGAAGAGTTTAGAATCTGAGAATTCGAGGATAAGAGGAAGAACGCATGTACCTGCGTCATTGCAAAGGATTTTGAGCCATATCATTTAAAGTCTATAACCATTGTTAATGATCTGTACTGATTAATGTGACTCAGTCTAATTGTTAATGACTTCATCTACTGGTATCGTGTTTGGGTTTGACTGTCACTGACTTATTCCGGCCTACTCCTACACCAGACGACGTTACCTGTTGCGGTAGAGGCTAGAGGAGTACACGTAATCGATGTTTGGGTCACCACAGTTAATAATGACTTGCAATCTCTTCAATCGATTCCCCATAGTAACCTGGTATTGAAATGCTCACCCGGCGCACTGCTTAGTTTGTGGTCCCAAAACATAGGAGCGATGCTTCGAGGACACTATGGATCAAATACTACTAACCTACCGCTGGATATACAAACAGAGACTTGTAAAGTCAGCATTAAATATCTTCTTTGTAATGGACTTCAAAGAGTGATTTTATCTAGCCAGTAATCGGTAACTGGATTATACTAATTAATCATTTAATAGTAGTGTGAAACTCTTCAGCTTGGAGTACCTTCAACATGTTCACATAATGAACGCATATGACCTTTCATGCGATGTTCGTGGTTCTACGTACAATTTGAATAATGTCTATTGGCTTGAAGCTAATCAATTTTTGAAGGACCCATGGATAAAATATTCCTATTGTTTTTTTTTAGTTCTACTTTATCAATTACTGATTCAGTTCATTATATATTTCTGTTTCTATTAATATAATTTTAGAATTCTAAAAATGTGAATATTAAAGATGATGTATTAAATCCTGAATTACATCCATATGTTCAAGCTCAAATGGAAGTATTACGTTTAATGCCTGATATTATTTCAAGCTTATCATTCCTGTGGAATACTCTTAATCAATCACCATTCTGTCAATTAAATAAAGGAAATTTCTACAAATCTACTTGTACAATGATTAGTCGTTATCCAGGTAGAAGACATATTATATTGACTGTTATTGTTTTAATTATATGTATATACCCTGTTTTCTCTTCCTGTCAATTTTCTCTTGATATATTTACGTTGAATATATCTACTGTAATTGATCCATATTGATCCTCAGGTTGTAGCTGACTGACTGACTGTCCTCAGGTCTTAGGATGTTTAGGATTAAGTAATTCAAAGATCAGTTGATATATCTTCCATCATACATTTTACATTGGAGAATAATAAATTCATTGGTTACAACGCTATAGCATGAGCATTGTTCAATTTTCTTGTTTTAATAAGCGTATTCCATAAAATTCTACGCCTTTAAATAGATAATTACCTGCGTGGCTTAATAGCATAACACCTACTAGACAAAGGGGCAAACGTTGATTCAATGATTTCTTTTTAGGTTATCAATGAACAGTTGTATTCCATATTATGAGTCTAACCTTCATATTGAAAAAGAACCAATAGTACACTTTCAACTGCCTTGGTAACATTTTGACCTCTCTTCTTTTGGTTTGATTGTAGTCAAAATATGTTGAACTCAACTCACACGTCCTCTTTTATCCAAGAATATTCCTCCAGTTTAATTAGTAAAGTTAGATTTATACTCTAGAACTATTACCTCAAGCGATTTTTATTTTTTAAAAAAATACTTTTAAAGCTTCAACTCCTAGCTCCCTTTACATTAATCAGAATCTATTTTTTATTGTTTGAGAGTTCAGCCTTCAATATTGTTCCGATTATTGGAACTGGTTAAACATATTTAACTTGTGTGCAGCTGGAAGGGAAGCAACCAAACACAATAACCGAAATCCTGGGGTCATTAGCGTTTTTACTTTGTTTCAGTATAGATCAAACTACTGAATAATAGTAAGTAGTATCGTGCCATAAACAAAAACTGGAACAAATAATTGAAGCCAACCAGTGATGAACTCAGAAGTATGATATAATATGATCGAGATAAGCTATTCTCCTGTTAGCTATATATATGAATTAATCTTAGTTTATCACTGGGAATTATCAAATAATCAGAAAGGAGTCAACTATCACTAATTATTTTAGCCATCACTTAATGGTATTTTCAAACTTTTCATTCTATATACTTTTCAGATAAAGAACATTGGTCGTTGTTAAACGCACCTATTCCTTCTGAACGTTTATCTCCATTAATTAGCCTTGGTTCAGCTACTCTTGTTCGTGGGGCTATTCGTCGGTTATTAAAGCCTATCGCAACACAACATCCAGATCTCTTATTGATAACAACTGCTGTAGCTTGGCCAAATACAACTTTTGATATTGAAACTGGTGGTCTGCTTGCTGGAGTTGATGCACTTATAAACTATGGCCCATTGGATATGCTTATACCTGTAAGAATGAAAAGGGATAATGGTACTTCAGGTAAGTATTCTCTATGTATGTATATGTAGAATGTAATGTACAGTTAGTCTCAAATCCATCAGAGTATTTTTTTTATCCAACGACATAGTTACACATGATATCGTAAAACCGAAATACTGGATTCGGTGTAAAATACAGTGTCGCCATAAAAAGCAAGCTGAACATGAAAAATTAAGAAAATCTTTGGTTTGTGTTTTGTACAGGTAACTGTACCCAACGGATAAAGACATGACCTATTGCTCGTAATAGTTTTGGAAGCTGTTAGAACCAGATAAATAATTATAATCTATAATTGGATTCATCACGTAAAATCCATTGAGCATCTATCCAAGTGTATTCATTTTATTGATACTATATCAATTTCTTAATCTTTATGTTGATGTTATATGCGATAGCTTCGATTGATACACGTCTATACTGGATCATTTGTTGAACCCCTATCTTTCAGTAAAAAGAAAAAAGTTCAATTTTCACAGACTTCAAGCATAGTTACAAAATTGCATTTATCATCTTTAGGATTTATCTATGATTATTTGAGCGAGACTATAATTTATGGACGACCTTTGAACAAATCTAACATGACCTCGAGAAATATTATTATTTATTGTTATTATTTTATTTAATCACATATATATTGGTACAAAGCGCACCGGATGCATATGTGCCACACAAAATTAAACATTTCATTTATTTGCGTGAGGGTTGTGATACTGCCCGGGTGCCCAAACCGAAGCAAGTGGTTTTCTTAGGGGGCCACACCCCGAGCCTTTGACCTAAAGGTCTAACCCACAAGGCAGTGGAGCATCGTGAGGAGATGCAGTTCCATGGTATCCGGTGACCAACGATTGATTCATACGTCATTTGTTCCCTCAAGATCCTAGAGCCAGCCCATGTGCACCATTGGTTTTGAATGAGGGTTTTCCAACTCCCCTAGGTGGATCCTCAATGAGAAATGTTAGCCAATCAGTAAACAGTCAGCATAGCGAAAAAATATATTATACAGAACCAAATAATTAAAATGGATACACTTCTTTTACATGGTCCAAAAACTTGTCAATGTTAGAAAAAGGTCCAAAGCTTCTAAAATCGTAATGCTTAAGGTTGTGGAACTCATCCATATGGCTCCATAATAGTTGGTCTCTGGAGCCATGATAAGGTCATAAAAACCCTCTCAGTCTCGACCACATAGCTTCAATATGGTTTGTATGTCTCCGGTTGTGTAAATTTATCATTTTTAATATGGATGTGTCCCTACAATACTCATACCACTGAACAGCCGAAGCTTCAGTAATATCTGCGATTATTTCAGCCAATGTTAGTGGTGCTTTTATTATACATTCGGTGGCAATTATTATAATATGCCTCAGTCTCAATCTGGATCGAGCGATATAGGTTCCTATTCTAGATAACGTCATCCTTCAACATATATTACATCGATGGACAACATCACGGTAGTTTGCACAATGTTTACAAGTCATTTAATACCCGTAATTACAAATACAGCAACTTCTTATTAGTCTCATTCGTTGTAGCCGCTTATTTGTCAAGTCTTCTCTATCGTACATGAACACCAGGTACTGAAATCGGCGCCGTAACCTTGAAATCCCTCAAACGCTTCTGATTAGCTCGTCCATAAATTATAGTTTCGCCATTGTTTGTTCATTGTTTCTTAGTATATCTCTCTGTATTATATTTCATTGATAGAAACAAGTTACCTTTCTTTCCCTCTATTTTCTCTCTTTATTTTAGAAATGTATTCCATTCCTTTACTACAAAAACAAATTAGTTTATTAGATTTAATTAGTGGTCGAACTTATGATGATAAACATTATGGTCCTATTATATCATCAACAATATTAATTAATAATCTACGAGATTCTATACGTCGTCCAATGAACAATTCATTTCTAGTACCAATCATTAATACTATTCAATGTTCTTATCATTCTACTTTGTTATCTTCTTCAATGGGTTCATATTCACCATTACAAGAAATACAAACATCATTGATAACAAGTGGTAGTAAAGTTATGGTTAGTTCGTTTGTTTGTTTTGTCTAAATTATATTTATATTGTTTTCCTATTTGAATGAATAAATAAGAATTGTTTAGTAAAATGAATTCATTGATCATATTCTCATAATATTCAAGTTGGTGTGTGTTAGCTGAATGGAAACCCAAATGTCAAGAGTGGGGAGGGGACACCTTCCCTCTCGGAATGCTCTCACATAGCCACGCGTATATAGCCTCTACCAGGGAAGTGCTACTTCTAGGTGGACTTTCTGTGTTCACCAACCCGGTTACAGCGCCGTACATTCGCTTTCCATCCTCCTAATTTCGTAAACAACAGTGGTGCCACGAGAACCAAACGAACGGTGCATATCGGCTCCAGGATCTTGAAGGAACGAATGGCGTATGAATCAATCGTTGGTCACCGGCTACCATTGAACGGCATCTTGGTTAAAGTGAGTTGGATATGATAGTAATTTCAATAGTTGAGATCATGAGTCCATTCAAGCTAGACCCGCCATGGAATGCCTGGAAGCATTGGATGATTGTTTCATCCTCTTGTGGGATTCTTCAGCAATACGCATCCACGATCTCTTCCATTGATTCATGATTTCAACTATTCATTCTCATTACTTATTCTTGTTGTTGTTGTTTTTCTTTTTCTTTCTCTTTTCGTTTAGTCAAATACAAATTCTGGAATAAATTTAATTCGTTTACAAACTAATTTATTACATTTATTTTATGCATGGCTTATTATGAAATCAGATTTTATATCATCTGATTTATTACTTATATTAATAAGAGATTTAATTAATTTACCAACAATCATTAATTATAATCATACTAATATAATGAATATAACAACAACTACTACTAGTAGTAGTAGTAGTATATTGGGCCTATCACCAGCAGGAATATTTATTCTTATCAAGTATGTTACATTTTGAGTTGTGTTTATTATTGGTTTTTGTTGTTTCGTGGTGTTTATGTTGGTGGTGAATTGATTTAACACTGTTTGCAAGCCAAGTGGCTAACAGTGGATGCGCGTGTTATCCTATTTGGGACTCATCAGCCAGATAAACCTGCGTCAGAGTTGATGTTCACTCTGAGACTCAAACACATTACCGTTCGCTTCAAACGCCATAGATTTATTCATCTAGCTACTGAGTCCCGATGTTCACTATGATGTGCAATGCGAGGGAGTTTAAATTCACTTGGTGTTGTTTGATTGTATCTTAGGTCTGTAATTGATTAGTCTCTTTTATATAGTTGAGATCATGAGTCAATGGAAGCTAGACCACCATAGAAAACGTGGAAGCACTGGACGGCCGTTTCATCTTATTGTGGGACTCCTCAACAGTGCGCATCCACGATCCCGCACCGGCGATATTCGTACCCAGGATCTAACAGTCTCGCACCAGAGCGAGGCGGTATCGTGGATGTGCACTGCTGAGGAGTCCCATAATAGAATGAAACGGCTTTCCAGTGCTTCCGGGGTTTCTATGGTGATCTAGCTTCAATTAACTCATGATCTCAACTATATAAAATTACTAAAATCTCCACGAAACCCCCTTCTAATGATTAGTCTCTTATTGTCATATGTGCATCCTGTGCAGATTGCCTCAATATTGCTTGAAGTCACAACCTTTTAAAGCAAAGATTGATAGTACCTAGCAGTGGAATCTAGAACGCGTGTTTCGTTCTATTAGGGACTCATCAACCGGATGTTTAGTGCATTTTTGTGTCGCATATTATTAGAAAATACTATTGACTGTCATTAAATACTGCTATTTTGGTCAGTATCAGTGATACATGAAATATGCCATCATTCAGTCAATGTAACATAGGAACTGACGCAAATGCTCAAGGTTTTAATCTACTGCAGTACATTAATATGATGAGATGCAATTAACAACCTTTATAGCAAATGAAATCGAATTAGTAAAGATTTCTAAGATCTGGTAATGAACTGGACGTAAAAGGTTAGGTTCGAAAAAATGAATACATTCGCACTGTAATGATCAGTGACATATGCAAAATCACATACAACATTTGTAAAATCTGACAACAGTACATCGGATACACAATTTGTATATCTTACTAGATTTGTGTCTAATATAATTCATTATTCTTCCATCCCTGTTGCTACACCAACTATTTCTGTTTTCATTTCTATTCTGTTTGTAAGAATTCTACTTCAGTTCTTGATTCACTCTGCTTATATCTGTCCGTATCTGTAGTACCCACCAAAACTTCACTTCTACTTATTATCAGAGACGTTGTCTCGGCTCTCCAACAATTAATCACAGTTGAATAACAATAATTCAGTTTGTGTTAGCAGGTCCCTGTCACCTGCTTACAATGTGTCATAGGGATACTTTCTATATTTCCAGCACTATTGAATATATTTTAAAAGATATATTTGAATACTGTTTAACATGCTTAGTGCCTCCTTGACTTTTTCGTATGTCATGCCATACTACTTTGTAATAAATAGTAGTTTAAAGAGTATTTAAGCATTTCCTCGGTCTGGTAATTATACCTTGTGGTACTCTGTTACCATGGCCACTTCAATGTGTCAATGAAATGAATTGCCATATAGTGATAACTCGATATTCCTAAATGATCTTTGTATTTATCTTGTATAAAAGATTTTGTTTGACTATCATCTTTAAATGAGAATAATTGGGTTTTTTTCTTTGAATGCATTTTCTTTGTTAGAATCTTCAGCAAGTTCTTAGAAACATCTAATTTTAGCGATGACAAACGAGAACAAAAAGAGTTACAGGTATGTTGCCCATACTTCGTTCTTAATATTTGAATTTTTCAGCATGGTATGCAACAAGCGACATTTAGTTAGGGAACCTAGAATGCAGATAGTTCGTTATTTGCTTTACTCAGTAAACGATCAATTGTTTAGGCGTAATCAACATACAATCTTGACATTTCCCAACTGGTGGTATTATTTATGAAGAACGATCATTTAGTAGTATATATCATTATAAGTCGGTCAGTCAGCCACAACATAGAACTTCTTACGTACGTACATCAGTTCGAGTTGCCATACCACATTAGCATAGAGATGCAGTTGTCTATTCAAATCCCATAGTGGTAGAAGTAGTAAGAGTACAAGCATTATGTGAAAGATTAGGGTTTGAAGATGTTATTGAAGGAGTATAATACAGTGAAATAAATTTGAAAAGGGAAAAAAGATAGAGACATGAAGAATTCAGAAAATTAGAATTTGGGAGAACACAAAGAGTGGATGCATCTTCTCCATTGCCAACGATTTTGAGCCATGCCATTAAAGGTCTCTAACCATCGATTGCTATCATCTCGCGAATCCCAATCAGGTAGTCTAGTCACTATAAGGCGTTCAAACAATTGATTTTATAAACACATTTGTTTCAATGTTTAAGTCACGTTTATAAAAGTTTTCTTCATTTTTCGGCATTCGAGCTTTAATGTTCGGGCTCTTTGATGAGATTCTGGATGTGTCTTTAACACTTAACAAAAGTGATGAAACCACTACTTTACTTTTAACTTTTTCGACTAATTTCTTTATTTTCCTATTTAGGAATTATGTCATCGACTCATTGAAACAACAGCTGCTATTGCTGCATCTGCATTGCATCAACCATCATGGTTTCGTAAAACTTTACAAGTTCGTCAACTTGATGGTGATTTGACCAATTCATGTACATATTCCCAGCCATCAAATTCTGTCGATTTAACTGATCGTATATCACTTTCAGGATCGGAAGTTTTTGAACCTATTAATAAATCTGATCGAATACGAAGTGGATCATCCGATTTAACAAATTCACATTCATTTGGACAATTTAATACTGCAAATGATTCATTGAATGATGTAGAACAATCTTCTGTAAAAGATTTATATGATAAATCAATATCACTGCCATTGCCTTCATCATGTTATTCAAAATCACGGCATTGTAAGATTTTTTTATTTTTTTCAACACATAAATATTGGTACAAAGGGGCACCAGATATATATGCGCCACACAAATCTCCTTCGATTCGTGTGAGGGCTGTGATACTGTCCAGGTGCACAAACTGAAGCAGATGGTTTTCTTAGAGGGCCACACTCGGAGCCTTTTATCTGAAGGCCTGATCCACAAGGCGGTGGAGCATCGTGAGGAGATTCAGTTCAATGGTAGTTGGTGAACAACGATTGATTCATACTTCATTTGTTCCTTTAGGATACTGGAGCCCATGTGCACCATTGATTTGGAATCAGGGTTTTCTAACTCTTCTAAGTGGACTCGCCGTGTCCACCAACCCTGTTAAAGCTCCGGACATTCGCTTTTCGTCCTCTCAGTTTCGTAAATAATACCCCCACCACGAGAAGGCAATGAGTATGTCTTTCCTGACAGAGGCTATATACGCGTTGCCATGTGAGAGCATTTGGAGAGGGAGAGGTGACTCTCCCCACTCTCGGCCGTACCAGGGCATTTGGGGGAATTAGGAACAATAATAATTGTAAGATAGATACACTATTTGTTTTGTTTGTTTCAATACTCTTTTATTTATGTAGACAAAACGATATTGTCCATTTGTGAAGTTTATGGTGGAGGAGAATTAGCTCACGTTTATCATCATTAGTGTTCTCGGGTTGGTTGTTAGATCAGACGACATCACTTGGAGAAACATTTTAGTTAATCTACAGTTATGCATCAGTAGAAATATATCATAATACAACTTGAATGTAATGTTGATATTAATCTTACAAGTCTTTTTGATGTGAAGCAAGTGATTATTAATTTACAGAAGTTATCTGGTAGACTGATTGAAACTGATTATTCATACTTACTAAGTATTCGCTAGTGATGTTCCATTAGATGAGGTTTTCAACTGATCTTAATCATCTGTAGTTCCAGTTTTCGTAGAAAAATGTAGAAAACCTGTCCTTTTGAACATAAATGAAATTCACTTCAACTGATATTGCTTCCAGACTGGTGTCAGGCAAAGTTGCTTACTCTCACCCTTTCTCTTTCTCCTGGTGGTTAACTGGATTATGAAGACGTCAACATCTCGAGGGAAGCATGGGATACAGTGGACAGTCAGGATGCAGCTGGACGATCTAGACTTCGCGGATGATCTGGTTTTTCCATCGTGCACACAACAACAATTGCAGGAGAAGACGACCGGTATAGCAACAGTAGGTCTCAACATACACAAATGGAAAAGCAAGATTCTCCGATACAACACAACTTGCATCAATCGAATTACACTTAACGGAGAAACTTTAGAGGATGTTAAAACCTTAACATATCTGGGCAGCATCATCGATGAACACGATGGATCTGATGCAAATGTGAAGGCACGAATCGGCGAGGCAAGAGCAGCATATTTACAACTGAAGAATATCTGGAACTCAAAATAACTTTCAACCAATACCAACATCAGAATTATCAATACAAACGTCAAGACAGTTCTATTGTATGGGGCGGAAACTTATAGAACTACGGAAATCATCATCCAGAGGTTACAAGTGTTTATTGACAGTTTTCTGGGCAAAATACTTCGTATCCAGACACTATCAGCGACATTCTACTGTGGAAGAGAACAAGCCATATTTCAGTGGAGGAAGAAATCGAGAAATAGTTCTTGAAGTGAGTAGGATACATTGAGGAAAGCAACCAACTGCTTCACAAGGCAAGTCCTCACTTGGAATTCTGAAATCCAAAGTAGAAGAGGAAGACTAAAGAACACATTTCGCCGAGAAATGGAAACAGATATGAGAAGAATAAACAACAATTGGATAGAACTAGAAAGGAAGGCTCAAGATAGTTGGTTGGAGAATGCTGGTCGGTGGCCTTCTGATCCATTGAGGGTAACAGGCGTAAGTAAGTAATCCAGTGAAGCACGATAGCCATTGATAAACCTCGAGAAATGGGTTCGGGCTTTTGCTAATCAAAAACAGTCATTCCAACTGTTTCTCCATGCTGTTTGAAGGAAGCTGTTTAATTAACAAGTATTTCGGAAAATCCAAGAGTAAAATATCGAGTATATTACATATTTTGTAGTTAAATTTATGGATTTTGCTGAATGCTGAGATCATTTAAACTAAGAATGACCTCCACAATCCCTAGTTATATCCATTTTGTTAAAGATAAACTGATGAAGGTGATTTCCCACAAATATTGAAAACTCAACTGATAAAATTCTGTTCTTATTACTAACACAACAACATAACCTATGAGTGAATAAACATGTTTCAGTTTAACAGTCAATAAAATCCATGGATTCATTCCGTTTTGACTTTTTCTTAAATTTTCCCCCTAAATCACCCAACATTAGGCGTCTGAGTATGCGTTAGCTACATCATGTATAAGTTTTATAGTCTCATCGATGAACTAATCTTTCCTTTCTTAAACCCTACTTTTTATTCTGTCATTACTCACCACCTGATGTTTCCATTTTTTAAGGAAGTAGTTTATCGAAGACAACATTTTTTTAAAAAGGTCACGTATTTTCAGCTTTAATCAAAGGTTTTAAATGTTAGAAGATTATTTATTTTATTTGAACACATAAATATTGGTACAGAGGGGGCACCAGATATATATGCGCCACACAAATCGAATGAGATTTATGTGATGGCTACGATACTGTCCGGGTTCCCAAACTGAAACAGGTGGTTTTCTTTTAGGGGGCCAAACCTCGAGTTTTTGAGCTAAATGTCTAATTCACAAGGCGGTGGAGCATCATAAGGAGATGCAGTCCCATGATAGCCGGTGACCAACGGTTGATTCATACGCTATTTGTTCCCTCAAGATACTGGATCCTATGTTCATCATTGATTTGGAATCAGGGTTTTCCAACTCCCCTAGGTGGACGCGCCGTGTTCACCAACCCGGTTAAAGCGCCGGACATTCGCTTTTCATTCTCTCAATTTCGTAAACAATAGGAGAAAGCAGTGAGTAGGACTTCCCTGTCAGAGGCTATATACGCGTGGCCATATGAGAGCATTTGGAGAGGGAGAGCAGACTCTCCCCACTCTCGGCGGTACCATGGCATTTGGGGGCAAATGTTAAAAATAAAATTGTAATCTCTATATTCGTCATCATTTTCATCGTGTCTTAGGATTTGATGTGCACTTGGGAAGGACCTGACATTCATGATGTCGATCACCACCCAGTGATCAATCAATTGTAAATTATCCAACTATGGATAACATGAGATATAATAATAAACTGTAGTATTGTTTTATGTTTCATCCGTCCATGGGTAGCATATCATACTGAACCCCAATTATTTACAAAATATGATTGTTTATTAAAATCTTTCAACTTAAATATTTGTCTTTTTTTATTACTTTCCCACAATATTATAGCATCGGTGAATTTGTTGTCAAATGAAATAACGCGTATCCGAATGCGCAGTGATGTGACGATACAAGCTATTGAGTTATTAACAGAGGTAGTTTTATTTGTCAAATAAAAAAAAACCAATCTTAACCTGTTTTTTTTTTCTTTTCATATCAGTCCTATTTATTTTGCTTTTATTTATCATCATTATAAGTGTGTGTAAGAGTAAGGAGATTTGAGGACCAAATATTGATTAATACTTACTTACGCCTGTTACCCCTCGTCGATGAGCATAGACCGCTTACCAGCATTCTCCATCCAACTCTGTCCTGGGCCTTTCTTTCCGGTTGTTGTTCATCCTTTTCATATCTGCTTCTATTTCTCGACTTAATGTGTTCTTTGGCCTTCCGGATTCCAAGTTATGGCTTTCCTCGTGATGTAGTTTGGGGATTTCCGTAATGTATGTCCGATCCACTTCCAACGTCTTTTCCTAATTTCCTCGTCAGATGGAAGCTGGTTTGTCCTCTCCCATAAAACTCTGTTGCTGATAGTATCCTTCCTAAACTTTCTAAACACCTAAGCAAAAAGTATTTACGATAACTGGATAATAAATCAAACACAGAATCGTCAGGTTATATGGAAAAAAATTCATATGTTAACAAATAAATTCCATAGTTTGTAACTGGAACTCCTACACTATCCCTTAGGTTCATCCAATATTTTTTTAAACAAGAATAACGAACATTGTGGAATGAAGTGAACTCATTTCATACACTTACTGATTTATACAAATAAATGAAATCTTTCGCAACTATAATTCATCATTGAAACTTAACAAAAGGTTATCAAGGGAACGAACTGCATGAAGTCGTCCAGTATTGAACTATATACACTGTCGACTTTCATGTTCTTTGTTCCTGTTACCCAGTCTAGCAAAAGTAACTTAAAACCTAACACATGCACTGGCTCAGTATATAAATAAAAGTTGTATAATATTGCGCGCCTTCTACTGGTATAAATTGAGTTCCAGTTATATACGATGAAGATCTCGGCTAGGTAATTACTATGGTGAGGGAGAACAGCCAGTGTTTTTTTTTCTGTTATTCCTCATTTATATGTTTTGTCCTTTGAAGAAATCTTTTAGTTATGTTCAGTTTTACTATTTTCTAATATGATTTGAAGTTTGTATCATTTCAAAATTACTTCTTTGTTTTTGATTCTTTCCAACCTTTGCGGGGGGGGGCTGTGATCTTTTAAAACTTACACAGAATATGGCTATATTTTTGGATTTAGTATATAAAAGTGATGAAAAAGATCGTGTATCAACATTTTTAAACAATATTTTGTGCAATATTTTTCCTTATCTTCGTGTTCGAACGTAAGTTCATTTTGATTCTATATGATGATGATGTAATTGTGTCATTATTTTTTTATCTCTTTTGAATAAAATATAACTAACAGTTTCTTCGTGGCGGGGGTGTTGATTACGAAATTGAGAAGACAAAAAGCAAATGTTCGGCGCTTTAACTGGGTTGGTGGAGATGAAGTTTCCACATAGGGAAGTTGGAAAACCCTGATTCCAAACCAATGATGCATATGGGCTCGTGATGCAACGAATGGTATATGAACCTATTGTTGGTTACTGGCTACCATGGAAGTGCATCTCCTGACGTTGTTCTACTGCATTTTGGACTAGACCTTCAGGTCATAGGCTCGGGTTTTAGCCCGCTAATAAAACCACCTACTTCGGTTTGGGTACCCGGGTAGTATCTCAACCCTCACACAAATAGAATGATTTATTTAGCGCATATGTATTTGGTGCCTCCTTGTGCCAATGTTTATGTGTTTAAATAAATAAAATATACAACTTATAGTAATGAATTCATGGGCTGGTATCCCAAATTTACTTGTGTGTTTCTGGACATTGTTTTCATTCATCTTCTCGGTAGTGATAAAGATTTCACTGACCCTTCAGTTTAAGGGTATCTGAAATCATCTACGGCTAAGAAGAACCAGAAATATGTATCACAATGTTCAGAGTTGTCTACTTCCAAGTATTATTATTAATATTGCTGCGTTCGTAATTGTTAATCTAGCATACAACAACAGGTTGTGAAATTGTTGATAAAGAGACTTGCTTACTTTTATTGATCGAATGGAAGTGCGTTGGTTAATGTAGGTTGAGATATTTATTGTTCTGATGTTGTTTGAATTTAGTGTTTATAAATTTAAAACTATAATTCAGCATTTTAACTTCCATCATGATGATCTACACTATTATTCACAAAGAGTACAAGCCACTAAATTTTCATGAGCAAAGATGACAACAGCCTAATACACTACCTGTTACCTACTTCACAAAGTGTGGTTCGACTCACTACTTGTAAAAGTTTTACTGTGTAAGAACTAATCAGTTTGTATTATTCTCTTTTCATTCCAACAATTTTCAGTATAATCATTAAAGTTGGATTAACTGACGCCTTCCCAATGCCCTGGTAAGTCCGAAAATGGGGAGAGTCCGCTCTCTCTAGAAATGCTCTCACATGGTCACGCGTATATAGTCTCTGCCAAGGAAGTACTACTCACTACCTTCTCGTGGCATTACTGTTGTTCACAAAAGTGAGAGAACGGAAAGCGAATGTCCAGCGCTTTAACCGGGTTGGTGGACAAGGCGAGTCCACCTAAGGGAGTTGGAAAACCCTGGTTCCAAACCAATGGTGCACATGGGCTCCAATATCCTGAGTGGACAAATGGCGTATGAATCAATCGTTGGTCACCGGCTACATGAGACTGCATCTCCTTATGATGCTCCGCTGCCTTGTGGATCAGATCTTTAGGTCAAACGCTCTGGGTGTGGCCCCCTAAGAAAACCATCTGCTTCAGTTTGGGCACGTGGTCAGTATCACAGTTCTCACACAAACCAAATGAGATTTGTGCGGCGCATATATATCTGGTGCCCCTTTCTACCAATATTCATATGTTTAAATAAATAATAAATGTTTGTATATTGCCTTTTTCTAATCTTGTATTCATTATCTTCCTACATTATATTGTTAATATTTTCCTTCCATTTTCAATGACAACAATTTAATCCTTTTTAGATTGAGTAATTCAGATCATTTTACTGTAGCCAGTAAATTAATTGCATCTATTAGTAGTTATCAATATACACGAAAATCATGGCGTCGTGATGTTTTGGATTTATTTTATGAACCAATATTTTTTCAAATGAGTCCAGTTGCATTACAAAGTTGGAATTTAATTATTGACAATTTAATGACACAAGATAAAAGTACATTTAAAGAAGCATTAGGTATGTGAATTGTTTTTTTTGGAGGGGGGTATATTATGTGAAGTATTTTTGATATGCCTGAGATTCCCCCAAAAAACATCAACTTTACTCATCGTCTTGTTTAACAAAACATATATTTTTCGTTACCTCCTCGAAATCATAGAATCATCGGTTATTAAGACACCATCACATGTCTGTTAGTTACACAGAAGCGAGTAATTTTCACTCCATTTTAGAATGAAGATTTTTTATTTCAATCAATACCTTGGCAAATTCAAGCACCTTCATTTATGAAGTACAGCTAATTTGTTTAAGAAAATCATACTACTCTCAAATATTAAGTAGTGTGATCGTAAATGTTATATCTCGAACTTAGTCTGTCGCGTAATACTTGAGTACTCGAACGCTGGAACCCTCTCAAGTCACAAATCAGAAGACAAGTAGAAGGAAAGTTATTCCGAACATTGTCAATTATGGTACAACACTATCAGGTATTTATAGCCTTCAGTAGAAACGAAATCATCATTATGGTTATCCAATCAGCACACAGGAAGTTGTCAGCATTGTCCAATAGAGAAGCTACACATGGTGATTTTAGAATATTCTTCAAAAAGCTGATTGGATGGAATATGTCCGGCTCCTTCTGGGCTTCTTGGAGCTTCCTCGACTTCACCTGTGGACCATACTCACAATAAACCTATCATATTTCTTGAACTAATCTGTCTTTTCTCATATCACTAAACTTTCGTGCAGAGGGACTTGATTTATGACTGATCGTTCACTGAGGAGTAACTAGATATGTTTTTCTTACCCTTTAGTACTGATATAAGGCTATCAGTTCAGTTTCAATGTGTTTTTTAGTATAAGTGGCTTGATGTCGAGTTCATCATTTCATTCATTTGTGTCAATAGAGTTCATCATTTCATTCATTTGTGGCATCGTGTGTTCGGGCACAGAGACGATAATTCAATTGGTGTCACCATCTTGAAACACCGACTTCGGTGGCTTGGACATGTTTTACGAATGTCGTCCCAGAGACTTCCACGTCGTGCATTATTTGCCGACCCTGGGACTGGTTGGAAAAAGCGGAGAGGAGGTCAGTGTATGACATGGTGTCGTGGCATGAAAGAGAGCTGCAAAGGGCTAGCTTCTGTTGGTCCTTCACGACTCCTTGGTTGGGGTCCGAGAGATGGTGCAACACAGTGGCTAGAGACGTTATCAGATATGGCTCAGAATAGAAGCCAGTGGCGATCCTGCTGCAACCTTCTTTTACTTTCTACATAAAGAATGGTTCTTACTTTCCTATTTGAAAGAGTCTTCTGGTTGTACATTTCAGTCCGCCTTATCTTCTCATCCTTTCTCTTCCTACTTTCATTATTTTATGTGGCGCATATGTACCTGGTGCCCTTTTGTACCAATATATATGTGTTTAAATAAATAAATGTCGAGTTCACTTTGTTGAGATATTAGATGGTTAGAGGTAGTCAACATAAAATCGTGCAATCATTTACTCTTGTGACGGTTAAATACTCTTTTTTTTTCCTTTGCTGTGATAATTGATATTTATGACATCTATTCTTTCTCGAACATCCATCTAAACTTTATTTCCTATAGTATGATGAACCAGAACTTAGGTTGTTCAATCATCAGATTACTTTTTCTAATGTTTGGAGCAGAGATAAGATAGTAAAGCCTTTAAAGTACGAAGCTAACGTCAGACACTACTTGTGAAAAGAGTACGTGTGACCGTCCGCAAGCAGTCTTAGCTTGGGAACTTCGGTCGAACTTCCAGGTTAACTTCCTCTTCAGATAATTAAACAAGAATTATGATTTCACTTTGTGTCATTCTGGGATTGTAAACCGACTATACACCCCTAACAACACTTGAGACCAACATTTCGTAATCAAATCCTTACTTCAATTACTGTTTGCTTTATACCTAAGATAGCAAGTCGATGAAGTATACAGTATCCTTTTTTTTTAATTTCCTTCCAGCTCGTCTTGTATTCGCTCAACCGGGTGGTTTAAATTTATTTACTAGTAAAGAGAGTGAATATGATCAACGTGCTGCCTGTTTGAAAAAATTATCTTATCTAGTCTATGCAAGCGAACCGGATCAATATGCGAAAGCAATGCCTGATTTATTAGGTATGTGTGTGGTTGTCAAAATAATTTTTCAATGTTTTTCATTCATTCCCTCCGTCCATTAATAGTTGTTTTAGCTAGCTAGTTAACAAGATGATAACCTTGAATAATTAACTAGACCTTATCCTCTCTGTCAGAATATTTTCCACTTATATCATCCATTCTGTTACTATTATTACAATTATCTCTTTGATAAATTGGGACAATGCTATAAAAAGACAAAAATTACTAGAGCTATGCTACATATATGAGCACAACACATTTCGAACAGTCTGATGTATTGCGCTAATATATCACATAGTTCCGATAATTTACACTATCCAAATTACAACTATTCTCGAAGCTGGTTGGTCCTGGATTTGAATCTCGCGGGTGCGGGATCGTGGATGCGCACTGCTGAGGAGTCCCATAATTAGACGAAACGGCCATCCAGTGCTTCCACGTTTTCCATCGTGGTCTAGCTTCAACTGATTTCTATGAAAATAATGATCTGTCTAAAAATCTATTTGGAGTCCTCGATACTTCTGTTTTCCAGTAATAATTTGTGGATGTAGTACAGGAACTTTGATCAAAACATGTTGTGTTGTCATTATAACTTTTACATTGTTCAATATATCAACTAGATCATTTTTACTCTTTGTCTGATTGTTCTATTATTTCCTTTTCTCTACAGAACGTCTTGCTGAATGTTTACGTTTAGGTCAAGGCATCATTCCAGTAGTTCATACTCAAGTATTTTTATTTGCTCGTGTCTTAATATCTCGTATGTCAGCTATACAACTGAATTCTTTATGGCCTATAGTTGTACCGGAATTGGTCAGTTTAATAACTTTGCTTCTTTTTCTTTTCTACCTAATTATTTGTTTTAATGAATGAATATATTTCCTTAAACGTCGTATCTCTTGCCATTTAGTAATGCCTGAATGTATATCTGTGTACTTGTTGCCTATGATCATCTATCGTTGTGGAAGACTCCTCATAAATAGTTTGGCTGTATTTCTCATATGAAATGTATCATTTTTTTTTAGTTAGTTGTACCTTTCACTACTATTGTAAATTTCAGTATTTTATTTATTTTTATTTAAACACATAAATATTGGTACCAAGGGGGCACCAGATATATATGCGCCGCGCAAATCTCATTTGATTTGTATGAGGGCTGTTATACTGCCCAGGTGCCAAAACTGAAGCAGGTGGTTTTCTTAGGGGACCACACCCCGAGCCTTTGACCTAAAGGTCTGATCCACAAGGCAGTGGAGCATCGTGAGGAGATGCAGTCTCATGTAGCCGATGACCAACGATTGATTCATACACCATTTGTTCCCTCAGGATCCTGGAGACCATGTACACCATTGGTTTGGAATAAGGGTTTTACAACTCCCCTTAATGGACACTCCACATCCACCAACCCTGTTAAAGCGCCGGACGTTCGCTTTCGTCCTCTCAATTGCATAAACAACACTCCCGCCGCGAGAAGTCGGTGAGTAGGACTTCCCTGACAGAGGTTATATACGCGTGGCCATATGAGAGCATTTGGAGAGGGAGAGCGGACTCTCCCCACTCTCAGCCATACCAGGTCATTCGGGGGCGCAGTAACCAAAATATGACTTTAAAATTTAAAACAAATTAAGAACTGATTACACAGTTTAATCAGAACACATATTTGGCCCACCTATATACATGATTTGTTTAGTATAGCTAGAAAGATATCTTTAAAGAACCTAATCAGCTACTTATAAACTGATATTTTCACTGATGTTTCCATGATAATTGTTATAAGATGATTTTGATTATGATATTCAAACTGCGTATCGGAAGTACTTCCCACCCTCAATCAGTTTGTTCACAACGAGTTAAACAGTTTAAAGACAGTGACCACTGGGTTTTTTTTCACCTTCCAATTGCTATGATGTTCTCCTTTTTCATATTGTAAGTTCTTTTTCTTTTATATTTATTATATATTTTGTAGTTCCTCACATTCAAATCCTTATCTCAAGCAATTCAAGAATGGTGAGTTCTTTTCCTGTGAATTTTTTTCTCTAGTATAGAGTGAACCTTCTAATTAAAATCTATGTTCACATTTCATAGCTAACAGTTACTTATTATATCATTCATTGAACGATTTAGGACTCACGCTTTCAACTATGAAAATACTAAATCTCCACAAAACCCTTCTGATAATAATAATAATAATATGCTCACTAGTGACTGACTTCGTGAGGTATTTCTTGAAGTTCTAGTGAGAAGCAGTGACTAGTGGAGTTCAAACCACGTCTGTTGTGAGATATCAACTCACTGAAGACAATTGGTGAATGGTTGTTCAACTTCGTGGATTGGTTGAAGTTAGACATTAACACCGTCGGATGCCGACCAGCTCAGTGGTCTATCGGTTAAAGGCTCTGGTGCGAGACTGGTAGTTCCTAGGTTCTAATCTCACGAGTGAGGGATCGTGGATGCACACTGCTGAAGAGTCCCATAATAGGACGAGACGGTCGTCTAGTGCTTCCAGGTTCTCCATGGTGGTCTAGCTTCAATTGACTCACGTTTTCAACTATGAAAATACTAAATCTCCACAAAACGCCTTCTGATAATAAGAAAATAAGGTTATCTATTATATACATGACATTTAACGTTCTATAATTTCTTTATAACCTTCGGCCACAATGTCTTGTTAGAATTCGTCTACTTTCCTTTCAATCTATTCCATTCATCGATTTATGAATGGTTTAACTCGACCGTTTTGACCTTTAGATTGGCATCTATATTTATGTGTGTGCTATGAAATGCTTAGGTGAATTTGAATTGTGTGTTTTAATTACACGAAGGAAACATGAGACAACTGTATGATACAACAAAGAAACTTGCTGGAAATTACCGTCAACCAGAAAGACCAGTGAAAAACAAGGAAGGCAAAGTAATCAACGATATTGAAGAACAACGAAACAGGTGGGTAGAACACTTCAAAGAACTCTTGAATCGACCAGCCCCACTGAACCCACCCAACATCGAAGCAGCACCCACAGACCTCCCAATCGATATTGGCCCACCAACAATTGAAGAGATCAGCATGGCCATTAGACAAATCAAGAGTGGCAAAGCAGCGGGACCAGACAACATCCCGGCAGAGGCACTGAAAGCAAATGTAACAGCAACTGCCAAGATACTCCACATCCTCTTCGGTAAGATTTGGGACGAAGAACATGTACCAACAGACTGGAAAGAAGGACTTCTGATCAAGATACCAAAGAAAGGCGATCTGAGCAAGTGCGACAACTACAGGGGCATCACTCTCCTCTCAATACCAGGAAAAGTCTTCAACAGGGTATTGTTAAATAGGATGAAGGATTCCGTGGACGCTCAACTTCGAGATCAACAAGCTGGATTTCGTAAGGATAGATCGTGCACAGATCAAATCGCAACTCTACGTATCATTGTGGAACAATCAATCGAATGGAATTCATCACTGTACATCAACTTCATCGACTACGAGAAGGCATTTGATAGCGTGGACAGGACGACACTATGGAAGCTTCTTCGACACTACGGCGTGCCTGAGAAGATAGTCAACATCCTACGGAACTCCTATGATGGACTAAACTGCCAAATCGTCCACGGAGGACAACTCACCGACTCGTTCGAGGTAAAGACCGGTGTTAGGCAAGGTTGCCTACTCTCACCCTTTCTCTTTCTCCTGGTGATCGACTGGATCATGAAGACGTCAACATCTGGAGGAAATCACGGGATACAGTGGACAGGCAGGATGCAGCTTGATGATTTAGACTTCGCGGATGATCTGGCTCTTCTATCACAAACGCAACAACAAATGCAGGAGAAAGCGACCAGTGTAGCAGCAGCCTCAGCAGCAGTAGGTCTCAATATAAACAAAGGGAAAAGCAAGACTCTCCGATACAATACAATATGCACCAATCCAATTACACTTGACGGAGAAGCTTTGGATGATGTGGAAATCTTTACATATCTGGGCAGCATCATTGATGAACACGGTGGATCAGATGCAGATGTGAGGGCGCGGATCGGCAAAGCAAGAGCAGCATACGTACAACTGAAAAGCATCAGGAGCTCAAAACAATTGTCAACCAACACCAAGGTTAGAATTTTCAATACAAATGTCAAGACAGTTCTTCTGTATGGGGCAGAGACGTGGAGAACTACGAAAGCCATTATCCAGAAGATACAAGTGTTTATTAACAGCTGTCTACGCAAGATAATTCGGATCCGTTGGCCAGACACTATCAGCAACGAGTTACTGTGGGAGACAACAAACCAGATTCCAGCGGAGGAAGAAATCAGGAGGAAGCGCTGGAAGTGGATTGGGCACACTTTGAGGAAATCACCCAATTGTGTCACAAGACAAGCCCTCACATGGAATCCTGAAGGTCGAAGGAGAAGAGGAAGACCAAAGAACACATTACGCCGAGAAATAGAGACAGACATGAGAAGAATGAACAAGAACTGGAAAGAACTAGAAAAGAAGGCCCAGGACAGAGTGGGTTGGAGAAAGCTGGTCGGCGGCCCATGCTCCATTGGGAGTAACAGGCGAAAGTAAGTAAGTTTTAATTACACATGCAGTGTATACTTGCCAAAAAGAGCAATTTACATCTGTCCCTCTCAAATGTCTTATTCACCTGCATCTTTTCTTGATATCCTCTTTGGATGGAAGCTGACTTGTTCTAATGGTATCCGGCCAACGGATATCGAGTATCATGCATAGACAACTATTTATAAATATATGTATATGTTTTATGGTAGTTTTAGTAGTTCTCCAACTTTTAGCCCCGTACAATGGAACTGTCTTAAAGTTTGTACTCAAAAAATTCGACTTTGATGTTGGTTGACAGTTCTCTCGAGTTCTATATGTTTTTTTAACTGTAGGAATGTTGCCTTTTTTTATTTGCCAGTTCGTGCCTTCACATCTGCATCAGAGTTAGAATTACTATAGTTACAAGGAATATAGTCATATAAAACAATCGTTTGCAGCAAAAATGTATTAATTTTCAGTCTAATTGTTCTTTATCATGCTGAACATGTTTATTTCAACGTTATCGCGATCATTTGAAATCTTCATTCGTTAACAAGTTCTGCCCCCCTCCCGCTTTTTTTTTTACACTTTTAGCGTTTCTAAAATTCAATCAAGAAAAGTTAAACCTGATACCTCCACGTCATCATCATCATCGTTTCTGTCTACTTCACAAATGAATTTATATATTAGTGCATGTAAATTATTGGCTACCAGTTTATTATATCCAGAATATAGATTGCCACAATTTTCCTAGTAAGTAATAATCTGTATTTAATAAATGTGAATTGTTGGATTCAATCAATTCATACCAGAATCCATATTGTATGATATAGATACAACAGTTCTTTGAATATTCCTTTTTTTATTACCGGTGATAGATGTAATCATTCTAGGGCATAGTACACGTCTGAACATTATAATATGTTCATCATATTTTTTGAAACACTCATTATGGGTATATATTAATACACATCATCATTTGGGACTCTTCAGCACCGTTGGATGCCAGCTCAGTGGTCTATAAGTTAAGCGCTCGCACGTGAGACTGTTAGGTCCTTGGTTCGAACCTCGCTAGACAGGATCGTGGATGCCCACTGCTGAGGAGTTCGACATTAGGACGAAACGGCTTTTCATTGATTAAAGGTTTTCTATGGTGGTCTAGCTTCAATTGACTCATGAATTCAAACATAAAATTACAATCAGTGTTTAGTTTTTCTGCATATTTATTTTAAATTAAGGGCTGGTTTATCTTTTTAAGCAAAGTTATTCAGAATATTATCAATGTTCAATACACATATTGTATTCAGTACTTTTAGGTGTTCTTCATTTAGTGTTTTAGTACTGCATATCAAAGATTTTATTTCGAGCTCATAGAGTGATATATATATATATATATTGTTATGTCCTATGGCCCTATCAATTATCGACTTCTATGACTTTGTCCTTGTGAAAGGTCAACCAGCCCCAATAGTCTTGCGTCAACTCTGAGTCTTTATTAGTCCTCTGTGTTAATGACTTCTTGTCTAATCCAGCCCGTTCAGTTCAGAACACAAATATAAATATCAGCTTTCGTTACATGAATTGTATATTTCAAACATAAGTTGTTTATATAAAAGCAGATCAGATCGCATGAAGGATAATAATTATAGAGGACACCAAGCCAAAACTGTCTATGAGTATAGGTAACTGTAACTAATAGATTGGAAATAGAAAAAGAATGGCAAATAACCAATAGGTCAAATAAATGGTTTTGATTAAAGGTTATTTAATAATTATCCAACAGGAATATGTATAATAATAGTCTATCAGTCAGTCACAACGTAGAACTTCGTACGTACGTACATCAGTTCGAGTTGCCATACCACATTAGCACAGAGATTCAATTGTCGATTCAAATCCCATAGTGGTAGAAGTAGTAAGAGTATAAGCAGTAATCGGAAAGATTATGGTTTGAAGATGATATTCAAGGAGTATAATCCAGTGAAATAAATTTGGAAAGAGAAAAAAGATAGGGACATGAGGAATTCAGAAGTTTAGAATTTGGTAGAACACAAAGAGTGGATGCACCTTTGCCATTGCAAACGATTTTGAATCACGTCATTCAAGGTCTCTAACCATCGATTGCTATCATTTCGCGGATCCTAACCAGGTATTGTGCACCTACCAAAATGACTCAGTCCATAGATAACTCTTAGTAGTTATCATTCATTGAATGCTTCATTTGGATGTTATATGTTTATACAATAACATCTCTCTTTTTAATGTTCATATTACAAAGTTTTGTTTACCTGATCTTCTTTTTTTTTTAATTTCAGTTATCAATGGGCATTTGTCAAAGATTTAAATTTTGATCATTTAACTAATCAAGAAGAAATGACAAATGTTACCATATTGAATAACAACAACAATAGAAGAACATCATTTCTTCCATTCCTTTCTGATGTTCTAATACAAATTGAAGTAAATTTTATCAAAATGATTACATTTCATTTGTGATTGAAAGTGTTGTGATAAGCATCTCTTATTGGGATATGTGCATACTGTGCACAGGTACATCCAGCTGACGAGTCCCAAATAGGACGAAACGCACGTCCTGGATTCCACTACTAACCACGATCCATCTTTGCTTACAATGCTTGTGAATTAAGGCTATATCGAGGCAATACGCATAATATGCACATATGCCAATAAGAGACTCACCAGTTGCAGTCCTAAGCGTCAATGGGAAGTTTCAAACAAGTAATATTAAGAGAATTTCAACTTCACTCCATCGCACAAGCAATTGGCTATCAAGACTCAGTAGCTAAGTGGATAACGTGATAACGTTTGAAGCGAACGGTACTGAGTTCGAGTCTCGGAGTGAACATCAACTCTGGGATGCAGGTTACATCCAGCTGACGAGTCCCAAGTAGGACGAAACGCGTGTCCTGGATTCCACTGCTAACCACTATCCATCTTTGCTTACAAATAAAATTTAGTTCGAAAACTGTTTGCAAATAAATCTGTTCTTATTTTTTTAGCCTGATATATAAGTTTTCGTAGGTTTATTCATTGATAGTGTCATCGGTACATACTAGGAAGGAGTCTTGATGTAACATGAAACATCTATTCAGTAAATTCTCATTTTCAATGTTTATCCAAATAAAGTCAGTCCATATTGAAAATAAGTGTCCCCAAACTTCATTTCTTGATGGTAAATATTATTGTTAGAATGAAAAAATCCATACGAGTATAATTTTGCTTCAAAATCAGAATAATTACTTATTACCACAATGGGAAATGACAAATACAAGAGGAGTAGACATGTTATTGTAACGAAGCAAGTTAATCACCTACTCAAGGTCACCATCATATACAATTTATGCACATAAATAATCGGTTTTATAATTAAAGCTTCCTATGCATTCTAGGCACTTACTATCATGTAACTGGTCGGGTCAAGCCCCCAAACGCCCTGGTACGGCCGAGAGTGGGAAGAGTCCGCTCTCCCTCTCGAAATGCTCTAACATGGCCACGCGTATATAGCCTCTACCAGGGAAGTCCTACTCACTGTCTTCTCATGGCACCGGTGTTGTTTACGAAATTGAAAGGATGAAAAGCGAATTTCCGGTACATTAACCGAGATAGTGGATATAGAGTGTCCACCTAAGGGAGTTGTAAAACCCTTATTCCAAACCAATGGTGCACATGGGCTCCGGTATCCCGATGGAACAAATGGCGTATAAATCAATCGTTGGTGACCGGCTACCATAGGACCGCATCTTTTCACGATGCTCCACTGCCTTGTGGATCAGACCTTTAGGTCAAAGACTTATCTACACTATCTGGTTTCCTTTTTTTTCTTTTATCAATTATCGATCTGTTTTCTTTTAAGTGTTTCTTTTAATTTTTTTGTTTTCTATGTTAATTTGTATTTTCGTACTTATTTTTTTGGTGAAAACATTTTATATTACCATAGAGATTACAAGAAGTTGATCTATCCAATGGTATTGATGTGATATCCACAGAAGCGTCATCTAATTTATATCAAAGTTGTTTCAGTATATTAGCTTTAGATAAACTTGTAAACATTTATTCACTTAAACCATTCTTTGAAAGGTAAGCTTAATTGAACATATTTTACTCTTTTTTGTAATGTTAGTTCCCTTTTTCCAAGCCTTACTGAAATATATATACAGGATAATAATGAATAACAGCATTTGATTAATCAGGTCTTAGTGATTAATCACTATAGACATTTCAGTTCTATAAGCGGAGGTCAGTGATGCATCAAATATCTTAGCGATATGGTCTCAGACTGGTGGTCAGGCTTGCCTATCGTAATGAACCAATCGAGCTATACTGGCTGGAACAATCGTTCCTTAAGATCCTACCATGCCAGGCAAGTCAGTTGAAGAGCGGTAAGACTAAAAGCAGCAAACCCAAGGTCCGAAGGCGAAGTCGTACTGCTGACTGTATAGAGGTGTGATGGCAGTAAGGTGTTTCCTTCAGACAATCAGCATAACAGCGATGCTGCCTTCCCACAAGGAGGGGTGGGGTTAGAAAACGTCGACCCCAACAATACACACCTCGCCTTATCCCACGGATATCCATCTCCGGCGGTAAGGTCCCAACAAGTACGGAGCTAACACAAAAATGACCCACAAAAAGGTCGTGTGTGACCGACCTCAAGCAGTTGTCCGCTGGGCACTGCGGTCACGCTCTCAGGTCATTAAGACCACTTCTAATCCAATTTCGTTTTCAGGTACCCCTAGAAGAACCCTTCCACGGTGTGGGCAACCGGGAAGTGATAACTGCCCTTATACCTCTAACAGCACTCAAGCTCACTGTATTCATAATCAATCTCCCTCAGACTATGGAACTGGGTGACCCAGTTTGAAATCTTAAAGATCATAGGTTCCTTCCATATTACAAGTACGCCTTGCAGAGGAGTACCGCCTACTATGAAACCTAGGTTGACTAGGGTTTTTTACCTAGCGATTTAAATATCCTTAAAACATAATGCTAATGAATAAAACTCTTAAATGAGCGGTTTTATTTTCATAAATGTAAGGAAACAGTGATATGTAAAATGTGGAATTTAGATTTGAAGATAAACTAGATTATGTATTAGGTTTTTGTTAGTCATGGAAACTATAAAACCCGTAAAACGTTTTTTACAATACAAAGATTAGGTTATATGAACTTGCACTTTTATGATGTTTACATGGTATCAGGGATGAGTTTAACAAAGATCAAAATAAATTACACAAGGAACAGAAAGCTGTCTATACGCGGTTTCATTCTATGGTAAAACTCATTATTAACAAGCGTTAAGAAGTAGCTTTCTGAATTCAACTCCTCAGATTTCTGATTTCTTCGATAGGAGATTGTTATGCACTTAGAGTATTTGAACTTCGAAGATGACCTGACCCTTCTATATACACGAACCAATGTAATACAGGTTAAGACAACCAGTGTAGCAGCAGCCTCTGCATCAGCAGGCCTCATTGTTCACAAGGGAAAAATCAAGATCCTGAAATACAACACGGGAGAACACTAACCGAATCATACTTGATGAAGAAACTCTGGAAGAAGTGAAAGCATTCATACTAGGATGTGACAGTCGTCCAGTGCTCCAAGGTTTCCAACGATGGTCTTCGTGTTTAGAAGAGTTACTAATGACCTTGACGACAATGATGATGATGATAATGATAAATTAACTACATTTTCTGTTAGTTCATATTTGATATTCTGATCATTTGTAACATAAATTTCACTATTTTCTATATTTATCTTTTAGTTTACATAACAGTTCAAATATTGACTCATCACAAAATTCATTCAATGATATTCCAATACTTGATAGTTTCCTTCTTGAACTAGCTATTGAAGCATCTTTAGCTCAAGAATTCCCTGAAATGATTCCATCTAGATAATAATAATAATAATCACATCCATGATCATCTTGATTATATAGATTTATACCTACCTCTTATTCAACTAATGAAAATTAAAGAGAACAACATTGAATATTTATGTTTATGATTTAACTTGTCTATGAACAAGTCGAAAGGATGCACCTATTGTCTTTCTAATTTATCACCTTCCCTTATGTTTTTGTATACAAATTTTTGTTATTCATTGTGTTTGTTTTAGAATTATTGAATTGTTTCCATTCATTGAAACAAACCTTAGATCATCTTAATCATCTATATATTCAAGGCTGTGGCTTTCTTTTTCTTTCTCTTTGTTTTGTTTGTTTTCTTCTTATCACATCCCTACTTGTCAATGTTTCTTTTTCCCATACTACTTATATCTGATTGTAAAATTGTTTTCTTTCTTCACCCTTTGATGTTGTCATTTATCCATCATAAACATTCACCAATACAAGACTATAATAAGTAGTTCCATTGTAATTGATGTTCTTGTTAAACATCATGTGGTTTATGTAGTAGGATAGGAAAACATCAGAGGTTTTTTTTCAACGAACACCAGAAAATGCAAAGAGACTATAATTCCTTAATTCTTTGAAGAAAAATGTAATCCATAAGGCTTCTATCTTGTTCCATTCAACACTTTTGTTACATTTCAATGTTTATCTATGTGATTGTATGTTATTACATTATTGAATACATATATATGATTACGTTTTATGATGAAGTGTTCATGCTTCTTGTAAGAAGAATGATATCCCTTCAAAACATTATTTGATAATACTCTAATATATGAAATGATATAGGCATCCTATTATCCCCAATTACCAAATTCAAACACCATTGATATACATTACAACATATCACAAACTAAGTAGAACAAACTAAATCGAAAACAAGTTACAACAAACAAAAACAAAACAATCGAGAAAAATAACTGCAATAGAAATTATGAATGTAGATAAGCATCGAATATCAGGAAATTAAATCAAATCATAAGTTTTCATCACAATTCTGGAAAAAGTTGGAAAAAAAGTAGGTGGAATTGTACTAAGTACATTGCAGATACCTCGTGGGTATAATCAGAATGTGTGGTGTTGTGCGTGCGGTAGCGACGCGAACGTGGCCTCGTGGTGTAGCGGTGAGCACTTCGGACTTTGAATCCGGCAACCCGAGTTCGAATCTCGGCGAGGCCTCACGATGTGGGCACTTTTGAAATCATCACTAACCATGTGCATCACTTCGATCACGTCGTCCCAATCACACCTCACCGGTCCACACAACACAAACACTCCTCAGTCTGATCAGTCAACTGGGCAGTCAACGACATGCTGGGATTCACAAACTCCGTCATCTGTGTTCGACCGATTCCGGTCACACACTCACCACTACGTACGCATGTCCAAATCACACATGTTCATCAACCTACCACATATCCACACCGATTCATCCTACTCTACACTTGTACACCTACATGTGACTATGGACATGTGTAATTCAGTCATTGTATTTCACAGACTGTTCCAGTATTGATGCTTGTGTGTGTATGTGATTGCAGTGTTGCGTGCACTGTTGGATATTTTGTGCGAGCGAAACAATGTTGTTGGTGGCATCACGTGTCGTTTGTATGTGTGGTGTGAATGTGTGATGTTATGTATGTGGTGAGCGTGGAACTACGGTGTGGTGGTGTGGAGGTTGGCACTCTGACCTGTGAATTCACTGACCCGAGTTCCAGTCTGGGAGGAGCCTCGTCCTGTCAGGTGTCTTCAAACTACCACTGACCACCATGTGAAACACTTCAACATGCCTTCCTCCGACCACATCACACCACTCACACTCGACCAGTGCACACTGCTACTTCTCAGTCGGCACGTTTGTCCAACCGTTTCGTCTGACCGGAATAGTGGTCGTGATGTCCGTGAGACGATCGAATGGCACACCAGCAAAACACACAGTGTACCGAATCACATGTTGATGTTGTCCTGAATAGCTTGGTGTATTGGATGACATAGATCGACGCTTCACTAATGTCAATGTGTCGGTGCTAGTGTGTTGGTGCACGTGTGAGTGAGTGAGTGAGTGAGTGATATATGAATTCAGTAGGCGATTCGTTTGTTTGTTTGTCTGACTGTCAGTTTGCTCCACATGTATGCACGTGGATGTCAGGGAGAGTGAGTGGTTCAGTTTTGTTGTGTGTAGGTGTAGATGTAGGTGACGGTGAATGTGAAGGAGAAGATGGGGATGAATATGTGAGTGACGTGTTGTAGATGCTGATAATGGAATGGATAATTGTATGTGGAATTGTTGTTGATACATGGTAGATAAGATGTAGTAATGATGTAGGTATGATCAGAATGTGTGGTGTTGTGCGTGCGGTAGCGACGCGAACGTGGCCTCGTGGTGTAGCGGTGAGCACTTCGGACTTTGAATCCGGCAACCCGAGTTCGAATCTCGGCGAGGCCTCACGATGTGGGCACTTTTGAAATCATCACTAACCATGTGCATCACTTCGATCACGTCGTCCCAATCACACCTCACCGGTCCACACAACACAAACACTCCTCAGTCTGATCAGTCAACTGGGCAGTCAACGACATGCTGGGATTCACAAACTCCGTCATCTGTGTTCGACCGATTCCGGTCACACACTCACCACTACGTACGCATGTCCAAATCACACTTGTTCATCAACCTACCACATATCCACACCGATTCATCCTACTCTACACTTGCACACCTACATGTGACTATGGACATGCGTAATTCAGTCATTGTATTTCACAGACTGTTCCAGTATTGATGCTTGTGTGTGTATGTGATTGCAGTGTTGCGTGCACTGTTGGATATTTTGTGCGAGCGAAACAATGTTGTTGGTGGCATCACGTGTCGTTTGTATGTGTGGTGTGAATGTGTGATGTTATGTATGTGGTGAGCGTGGAACTACGGTGTGGTGGTGTGGAGGTTGGCACTCTGACCTGTGAATTCACTGACCCGAGTTCCAGTCTGGGAGGAGCCTCGTCCTGTCAGGTGTCTTCAAACTACCACTGACCACCATGTGAAACACTTCAACATGCCTTCCTCCGACCACATCACACCACTCACACTCGACCAGTGCACACTGCTACTTCTCAGTCGGCACGTTTGTCCAACCGTTTCGTCTGACCGGAATAGTGGTCGTGATGTCCGTGAGACGATCGAATGGCACACCAGCAAAACACACAGTGTACCGAATCACATGTTGATGTTGTCCTGAATAGCTTGGTGTATTGGATGACATAGATCGACGCTTCACTAATGTCAATGTGTCGGTGCTAGTGTGTTGGTGCACGTGTGAGTGAGTGAGTGAGTGAGTGATATATGAATTCAGTAGGCGATTCGTTTGTTTGTCTGACTGTCAGTTTGCTCCACATGTATGCACGTGGATGTCAGGGAGAGTGAGTGGTTCAGTTTTGTAGTGTGTAGGTGTAGATGTAGGTGACGGTGAATGTGAAGGAGAAGATGGGGATGAATATGTGAGTGACGTGTTGTAGATGCTGATAATGGGATGGATAATTGTATGTGGAATTGTTGTTGATACATGGTAGATAAGATGTAGTAATGATGTAGGTATGATCAGAATGTGTGGTGTTGTGCGTGCGGTAGCGACGCGAACGTGGCCTCGTGGTGTAGCGGTGAGCACTTCGAAGCTTCAATAATGTCAATGTGTCGGTGCTAGTGTGTTGGTGCACGTGTGAGTGAGTGAGTGAGTGATATATGAATTCAGTAGGCGATTCGTTTGTTTGTTTGTCTGACTGTCAGTTTGCTCCACATGTATGCACGTGGATGTCAGGGAGAGTGAGTGGTTCAGTTTTTTTGTGTGTAGGCGTAGATGTAGGTGACGGTGAATGTGAAGGAGAAGATGGGGATGAATATGTGAGTGACGTGTTGTAGATGCTGATAATGGGATGGATAATTGTATGTGGAATTGTTGTTGATACATGGTAGATAAGATGTAGTAATGATGTAGGTATGATCAGAATGTGTGGTGTTGTGCGTGCGGTAGCGACGCGAACGTGGCCTCGTGGTGTAGCGGTGAGCACTTCGGACTTTGAATCCGGCAACCCGAGTTCGAATCTCGGCGAGGCCTCACGATGTGGGCACTTTTGAAATCATCACTAACCATGTGCATCACTTCGATCACGTCGTCCCAATCACACCTCACCGGTCCACACAACACAAACACTCCTCAGTCTGATCAGTCAACTGGGCAGTCAACGACATGCTGGGATTCACAAACTCCGTCATCTGTGTTCGACCGATCCCGGTCACACACTCACCACTACGTACGCATGTCCAAATCACACTTGTTCATCAACCTACCACATATCCACACCGATTCATCCTACTCTACACTTGTACACCTACATGTGACTATGGACATGTGTAATTCAGTCATTGTATTTCACAGACTGTTCCAGTATTGATGCTTGTGTGTGTATGTGATTGCAGTGTTGCGTGCACTGTTGGATATTTTGTGCGAGCGAAACAATGTTGTTGGTGGCATCACGTGTCGTTTGTATGTGTGGTGTGAATGTGTGATGTTATGTATGTGGTGAGCGTGGAACTACGGTGTGGTGGTGTGGAGGTTGGCACTCTGACCTGTGAATTCACTGACCCGAGTTCCAGTCTGGGAGGAGCCTCGTCCTGTCAGGTGTCTTCAAACTACCACTGACCACCATGTGAAACACTTCAACATGCCTTCCTCCGACCACATCACACCACTCACACTCGACCAGTGCACACTGCTACTTCTCAGTCGGCACGTTTGTCCAACCGTTTCGTCTGACCGGAATAGTGGTCGTGATGTCCGTGAGACGATCGAATGGCACACCAGCAAAACACACAGTGTACCGAATCACATGTTGATGTTGTCCTGATTAGCTTGGTGTATTGGATGACATAGATCGACGCTTCACTAATGTCAATGTGTCGGTGCTAGTGTGTTGGTGCACGTGTGAGTGAGTGAGTGAGTGAGTGATATATGAATTCAGTAGGCGATTCGTTTGTTTGTCTGACTGTCAGTTTGCTCCACATGTATGCACGTGGATGTCAGGGAGAGTGAGTGGTTCAGTTTTGTAGTGCGTAGGTGTTGATGTAGGTGACGGTGAATGTGAAGGAGAAGATGGGGATGAATATGTGAGTGACGTGTTGTAGATGCTGATAATGGGATGGATAATTGTATGTGGAATTGTTGTTGATACATGGTAGATAAGATGTAGTAATGATGTAGGTATGATCAGAATGTGTGGTGTTGTGCGTGCGGTAGCGACGCGAACGTGGCCTCGTGGTGTAGCGGTGAGCACTTCGAAGCTTCAATAATGTCAATGTGTCGGTGCTAGTGTGTTGGTGCACGTGTGAGTGAGTGAGTGAGTGATATATGAATTCAGTAGGCGATTCGTTTGTTTGTTTGTCTGACTGTCAGTTTGCTCCACATGTATGCACGTGGATGTCAGGGAGAGTGAGTGGTTCAGTTTTGTTGTGTGTAGGTGTAGATGTAGGTGACGGTGAATGTGAAGGAGAAGATGGGGATGAATATGTGAGTGACGTGTTGTAGATGCTGATAATGGAATGGATAATTGTATGTGGAATTGTTGTTGATACATGGTAGATAAGATGTAGTAATGATGTAGGTATGATCAGAATGTGTGGTGTTGTGCGTGCGGTAGCGACGCGAACGTGGCCTCGT